GGTGTTTGGGAAATTAATCTGCTTTATGTTTTAAAAAAGAAACGGCCAAATCCCAAAGGCAAAAATTTTGCCCAACGGGGAAAACGCAAAAAAAAAATTCTTTAAAACTTAACTTTTTTCTTGAAAACGATAATTAATTTTAATATGGTTTCCCGGCATTTTTTCGAATTTCGATTTTTGGGTATGGATTTTTTAAAAAATAGGGAAAAAAGGGGACAACCCCTTTAAAACTTTTTTTTTTACCCCTTTGATTTTTATCAAACTTTGGGCGAAAGGAATAGAGGGGTTTTATTTCGGGGGAATATGGGTTGGGGGCCCATGGGTAATTTTATTTTAAAAATCCAGGGGGCCCAAATTTGGCACCCAAATGACGACGGGTAAAACAGTCGATGAGGCCAATTGCGATAGTCTCGGTTGGGCAGCAGTGCTGATTCATATGCAGATGACGACAGTACGGTACTATGCCCATATTAAGATGCGATGGCGAAATCGAAAATTGATGGCGGACAGGGAAAAAAATGCGATGGTGACAATACGATAGTACTCCATGATCGGTTTTGTCTGCCAAGAGGGGGGAGTGATTAATCGAGGTACTGGCGGACAATCGCGTTTTGCAATGTCATGAGACTTTAGAGGTTATTTGCGCAACTGAACGTCGTCCTGCACTGTGTCTCGCATTGTCAATTATATTATGCTCTTTTTTTTTTGGTTGTTTGTTTTTTTTCCTTTTTTTACTGAAAATAACGGTCTTATGTTTGAATTAAATTTATGAACCGGATTCTGTGTAGTTATAACCTTTACTGTTTTGTTATCAATATGTAACTAAATATGTTAGAGAACATAATAATTATGATTAAACTTTTGTTATATGTTCCAGATATGTGTCATGTTTAAATCATTGATTTTAATGTATTTAAGATTAAATACAATGTATGAGTTATGTATAAGTTAATAAAGATGTCTGTTTTTCTGTTTCTGTTTACCCTGGACAAAATTTTAAAGCCTTTTGTGAAAAAGGAAATGTCAAAAAAATTCTTAATTTTTGTTACAATGGCAAGAAGAGGACATCTCAAAATCACTATTTTGAGTTGATTTTTCCATCAAAGCTGCAATTTCTCAATGGAATTGGATAGAGTGAAAAGCGTTTCAACGTTGGTTGCACGTTACCTTAAGATCGACCTGATGCCATTTTGAGCCTCTCACAAGTCCAAACATTTCTTAGAGTTGAGTGCGGCGGCAGTCCCCCTTCAAACCCTCATGCTGAAGAGGGCACAAACCCTTCTGGCAACCCGATGTATCTCTTAGATAAGAGGTTTGCGCCGAAAAGTGTTTGGGGATTAAATAGGGCATTGTTTTCACTATTTGAGGCTTCAGAGGGGTGGGGGTGCAAAACGTGAAAACACATCTATATTAGGTGAAGGGTTAAACACATAGTAAAATATGTTGACCAGTTACACTGTTGACCAATTAGATATCTATAGAAATATGTTATTTTGCCAGCAATTTCTTATTTATATTGTAATGTTAGTTAATATAAAATACTCTACATCTCGCAAACCAATTAATCCACTGCTGAGAAACTAAAATATTAAATAAATTGCTTAAGTGGCTTTTGCCGTATTTTCTTATTCTATATGATCAGCAGATTTAACGCACTGTACGTCATGCGAAAAACTGCTGACCAGTAAAACGTATAGTATAATTTGCTGACCAGTTAAACATATAGAACATTTATAGAGAAAACTTATATATTCAAAATAAAATATTTCGGCTTTTTAATTTTCGTGTATTTTATATAAGTATTTCCCCCATCTTTCGATATACAATGTTACTTTTTATTAATTTATAATTTTATTTACACGTTTTCAGTTTACAAGAAAGAAAAAGAAAGAAAGAAAAGAAAAAAAGAAAAAGAGATTTAAAACATGAAGAAAAAAATCTATTGACAAAAGAAAAAATTGTTCCCATATTATTTACCGTCAGCTTATTCGTCAGCAGTTTATAATTGTCCACCGGAAGGTGACAGTCGACAATGCGATAACGAGATGGCAACAATTAATAATATGATAGTGCGATGACGACAGTGCGATAACCCAATGACAAAAGTGCGAAAATGCGATGGCAACAATGCGACAGTGCGATACTGCGATAACCACAATGCGATAGTATTATCGCAATACCGTACTTTCGTCATCGCATTATCACACTGTCGCATCGCAATATCGCACCGTCGTATTGTCGTCATCGCACTATCGCACTGTCGTATTGTCGTCCTCTAGATTAGAAAATGTATAACCACGATGGCCCTAAAGTTATTCCATACATAATACATGAAATGTAACGTTTCTGTGATATGTTATGAAATTTCATACAATCTACAAACTGACTTGGACGATCTACTACATGTATTTCTAACAGTAAATAAATAAATATAAAAATATATGCCGTAAAAAAATAAATTTCAAATTGGAAATTTGACACCATGTTTATTGTCTTGAGCATGTACATGAAGTAGTCTTGCATTATAAGTATAAATAGAACTTTTTTAGGTAAAAAGTGGCAAGCCAGCCCGCATAGCTCAATCGGTTAGAGCTCGAGACTTGTAATATCGACATTGTGGGTTCGGTTCCTGGGCTGGCCAACTAAAACTACTTATCAGTTTTTCGGATGAGACTTTAAATTGAGGTCCCGTATACGAGTGCTTTAAAACTTAACACGCTAAAGAACCAAAAGAAGCTTCTGGAATTGGGGCATCTTTCTGTATCTTGCACCTAAAATGACCAATACTATTTAGGAGGACTCGCCTATATGGGCAACCGGTGGCGCAAATACACACACACACACACACACACACACACACACACACCAACACGCGCACCAACGCACGCACTCACTCACTCACGCACGAACGCACGCACGCACACACACACACACGCACACACACACACACACGCACATAAAAAGTGGACACATCCATAGGTTGTTTTTGTTGCTGTAAGAAGTCTCTGCTTAAAATCTTTGTCAGTTTGGCCTCCCAAATTTAATTCACATACATGTACCGTTTTCGTATGGATTACTAAAGCTATAAGTGACTTAGAGGTATAAATTGAACAGAGGTGTGAAGGTGTGAAAGGCAACAAAAGACTGTACGTTGTGTTTTAAATGAAAGATGTTTGCATTGTATTTATACAGTTGACTGGTTACTAAACAATTAGATATGACATGAATATATGTTGTAAATATTGTTTGTAAAAAGTATGTTAAAACTATAAAGTTGTAAATATGTTATGTTAACTTTAAAGCAGCACACCTCCAGATTCATCCTAATTTTCATGAAAATTTTGAAAATGTATTTAAAGGTAAAATATTGTTAAATGAACACAGAGAGTACTTGACACATTACAATCGGCACTTAGAATCGACGTAAATTACCAAAAAGAGGTCAAAATATGCATAAATAGCCCCTACTGCGTTAGTAACGCAGTAGAAATATAGTGATAAATACTACAAAATACAGTCATTAATTGCACATAAGATATAAATTATCACTTGAATCTTTAATTTGTTTACTTTTCTCAAAGTTTTAGTGATTTTTTTCCAAGTTTAATTTTCTTGAAATATTTTTGGGTCATCTGGAGGCATGCAGCTTTAAAGTAAATTATGATTGAATAATATTTGCAATTATTTGTTTGACACTGTATTTATTCAAACTTTGATGAATATATAAAAGTAATGGTACTGATACTTAATTACTTCACAAAAAATAGTACTGGTACTGCAGTACCGAGCTAAAATCTAGTACTGGTACTGGTAATGGTACTGCATAATTTGCCAAGTACTGGTACTGGTACTTAAGTACTACACCCTTAGTACTGATGCAGCTCTGCCTATAACCCGTTACTTTTTTACTTTTGGTACGGTACTGTTTGATATCTGGTAGATCAAGACCTGTTCGCGGACAGAACGTGTGCTCTACCTTTCTCAGTGCTGCATAGTTAATAAAGGAAACCTAGACATAGGGGCGTAATTGTACAAAATTACTTAGTGAATACATGAAACGCTTTTTTTTCTAGAAAAATACAAATATTCAAAATAAACAAGAGCTGTCAAAATAAACAAGAGCTGTCAGAGGAAACAGCTTGCTCGACTAAGTAATTACTGGACACAGACAAACTATGAAAACAAATCATTTATAATATTTAAATATATTTCTGTATCAGTATCAATTAAGAAGAACTAAAATGTTCAACCTGTTGTCACCTCATTACATGAATGTGACCATGTTGATGAAAGTGAAACAGAAATTTGTACGCTCTAAAAACTGAAAAGATAAAACAATAATTTGGAACAGTCCCTCAAGTAACAAATATTATAAGACTAAGAGCATAATTATGATTTTTGAAGCAAAACTCTTAGTTCAAATAGGAGACAACTCTTGAAAATAAGGATGCTAGAGTCAAACATCATGCGTGTGATGAAAAAGAACACTTTTCTTAATTCTAAAGAAGATACCATTGGGCTTTTCTGTGTTTTTTTTCTCTCAATGTTTTTGTTGCATCAACACAACAAGTTCATATGGCAACTTTCCAGCTTTACTGGTGAAGCAAAAAGAACCACAGACAACTCCGTAAACTATCGGAATAGCTCACTCAAATGAAAAATCAACTGACCCTAATATAGAGACTCCTGGCACCATTACAACCCCTTTTGCTGGTGGATCATAACTTATATTACCGGAAGTTCATATTGACCGTAAGGTCCAAATTATCCGTTGATAAATGTCCCAGAAACTAATTTGTACATGTATATTGTTAAAATAGATTTTCTGCAAAATGCATTAGGGTCAACCGCACTGTAAGGATTGTGTTATCTGTATTTGTAAATACGGGTGGTTATGATATTCGTTATAGACACAGTTACTTTATTTATAAACCAGCCGAAATAAGATTTCATTAAATTATATGAAATTTAAGATCCTTGCCTGTTATATTTGCGTGAAATTTACGCGAGGTGTCTGTAGATTTTCTGTAAGTGAGCAGCTGTAGATTTATAGATTATGGACGCTCCCAGCTTCCGTGCTCATTATATATTTTTGTCCGAGTACAGTTCTCCGTACAGTGTTTAGTCTGTTTATGTGTTACACGCCGATTTTATAGAAGGTAAGTAAACTTCTTAAGTCATCTTAATTTTTACTTTTTGCAAGATATTAAAAGATAGTTAAGGGTTTATAGCTTTACACGTGTTCATATAGATGTCAATTGTACAGCAACTGTTATTTTTTGACAATTTGTACACGTATTTCTCATTAAGGCTGAAAGCGAAAGTGCATGCATATTTATTCAAAGAAGAAAAAAATGGAAAGTAAGTCAGAATTTGACTGTGTCTACTATTTGGGCGGCAGTAAACCGCGTCACAAGAAACAGACAATTCTGTGATTTCTATTTGACAGGTCCGTGCATTAATTAGATTTACACCATCACAGCGGTTACGTCACGCTTTGTTACTGTGCTGATCAGGGGAAGTAACCGCTTCGGGGAGTTTGCTACAACACTGTTGTACAGCGTCCACCGGATATAGCCCCTCAAATCTCCGAAAAGAAAGTAAAAAGGGTTTACGTCGAGTGCACCCAAAGTAATGTTCCATCTGATTTCTCCATCATAACTTAATCAATTTTTCCAAATCAAACAATTTTGTGAAGCAAAATATGTCAGTGTTTAGAGCAGTATTTGTTTTTTCTGCAAATTGAATACGGCGATAAAGTTGACATTTGCAAACGATGTTGATATTTACCTGTAAATCATGATCAGTCCCAAAATGCAAAATCCGTATTTAATATAAAATATAGACTTACTTCTACTTGTATTTGAGTGGTCATCAATCAACTCGAGCTGCTATTAGCAAAATTTACGAATAACAGTCTTTCCTTGTGTACAGAATCTAGCAAGTGAACATAGTGTAGAAGTTTAATGTACAGGGTTAAGTAGAATGTCCGTACTCTCAGAGCCTGGAAGTGTGGATGAGCCCTAATTAAGCAAAGAAAAGAAGATCACAGGTCGATAATTGATCAGACACCTAAAAGATAATGCACGAGCGTCATTTTCTACAAAACAAAATTAGCACGTGTCTTCCATAAAACTAATTTTAACCGCATTGAATAAGCAACGTGTCGACTTATAATTGAAATACTTGAGAAAAATTATGTTGATGTAAAAGAATTGATGAATTATATTGCACTCATAGTTAGTATTCATAAACAGGGACAACTTCCCTTCATTTTGTGCAACTTAGATATTTCATTATTCATTTATAGCAAGTGACTTTTTTTAATTTATGAGGGACGTTAAATGGTTTTAAAAGTGCGCGATTCTTTTAAGTTTATAGAAGTAGCATAGACGATAACTACAAACGACTTAAGCAGTTTTGTTGTTTGTTGTTGTTGTGTTTTTAGCTCACCTGAGCATATGCTCAGGGTGAGCTATTAGGATCACTCTTCGTCCGTCGTCTGTCGTCCGTCGTACGTCGTCCGTTGTCCGTTCACACTTTTAAAACGACATCTCCTCTGAAACCATAAGGCAGATCATAATGAAACTTCACAGGGATGTTCCTTGTGTGAAGCCTTAACAAAGTTGTTCAAAGAATTCCATTCCATGCAGAACTCTGGTTGCCATGGCAACCGAAAGAAAAAACTTTAAATATCTTCTTTTAAAAAACCCAAAGAGCTAGAGCTTAGATATTTGGCATGAAACATCTTCTAGCGAGTGTCTACCAAATTTGTTCAAATAAAAGCCCTGGGGTCAAAATTGGCCCCGCCCCAGGGGGTCATTGATTTTCCCTATATGCATAAAAAAAACTTAAAAAATCTTCTTTTAAAGAACTCAAAGAGCTAGAGCTAAGATATTTAACATGAAACATGTTCTAATGGGTGTCTTCCAAGTTTGTTCAAATAAAAGCCCTGGGTTCAAAATTGGCCCCGCCCCGGGGGTCATTGATTTTTCTTATATGTGTATAGCAAAAACTTAAAAAATCTTCTTTGAAAAAAACCAAATAGCTAGAGTTTAGATATTAAGCATGAAACATCTTCTGGTAAGTGTCTACAAAGTTTGTTCAAATAAAAGCCCTGGGGTCAAAACTGGCCCCGCCCCAGGGGTGTCATTGTTTTTAACTATATGTGTATAGTAAAAACTTAAAAAATCTTCTTTTAAAAAACCCAATGAGCTAGAGCTTAGATGTTTAGCATGAAACATCTTCTTATGGGTGTCTACCAAGTTTGTTCAAATAAAAGCCCTTGGGTAAAAATTGGCCCTGCGGGGAGGGGCAGAGGTCATTGTTTTTCATTATATGTGTGTAGTAAAAACTTAACATCATGAAACATCTTCTAATGGGTGTCTTCCAAGTTTGTTCAAATAAAAGCCCTGGGGTTTAAACTGGCCCCGCTCCAGGGGCCTACATACAGGTGAGCGACCTCAGGGCCATCATGGCCCTCTTGTTTTTGTTGGGTTTTTTTTCCCTTAAAATAAAAAATAATTTGTTTTTAAACTAGCCGTAATCTGTTCTTACAGTAGAAGTATACTGTATATTAAAGTGGTCTAAACGTCATTCGAGCTGCATTTTATTGCAATAAAATAGCATAAATCTGAACTTGAAAAAGCATAGTGATTATAGCGTTCAGCTAATAAGAACAGTATTTAATTTCGAGCATTATTAATATGAGTTTATTTCCAAATCATTTTGATAACAAAACGTCAAACCAAATATTTTGCACATTTGTAGTTGGTTTTATCTACACATAATGTTTTTCTTTAATTGCTTATAATCAGTCATTTATCTCCTTTAACTGACTTGAATTATGCTTAATACAAATCAGTGGAAAAATCAAGTTCTGAGGTAGCTCTGTCTTAATGAAATATAACATTCTAACTATAAGCGGGTAAAGCACAACAACTAAATATTTGATAAAACGGCTTTTCCGGGATCCGAACATTTATAATTCGAACGCTTTATAATACTGCACGTTTGTAACGTCGTTTTTCAATGGATAATCGTGACGTTTAGATAGTTTTATAAACATGGGTGCAAGTTTTCAGGCATATGCCTGAAGTTCAGGTTTTTGTGACAAATTTCATCATGTTTTATTAGATTATGTAGAAAAATGATTGTGAATTACAGTTTTCAGGTTTTTCCCAATTTTTAACTTGCACCCATGTATATACACGGCTGCTGTCGATTCATGAAGAAATATTACTTTTTTCTCTAAAAATATCATAAATTCGTTATAAAGATTGTTGACACGTTATATGGCCGTATATAAACGGCTGTTTGCAATATAACCCTCGCCTATATATATATATATATTATATAGTGTCATATAACCTGTGAACAAACTTTATAATTAATAACATAAATGCGTCATTACGCATTATTAGTATAAATAACTGAGTAAGAGTGCAGCTCAGAGAAAAATTAGGTGATAGATTTAAACGTTTGTTTAATATACATGGTATTTGTTACTTTTAGTTCTAAAAATAAAGTAATAAAGAATTGATTTCGCTCAGTCAAAACATCTATTTACCCATAAAAAGATGATGGCTTATATAGCTGAATTGCCTAAATGAAGGCAAAATATGAATGGGAAAAAGATTGCTTTGCTCTGGGCTTTGAACTAATGCTTTACCAAAACTCTGTAATCTCAATGAAAATGAACACTCTTTCAAATAGGTGAATTTGCATTAAGCATTTAATACTTTAAATTTCCTTATTAGATGTCCGTTTATTGTAAGTGGAACCTATTAATTTTACGGTTGTCTTGTCAGCTGCTGTCACGGCAGTAGGAGGCACAACAACAACAAGTCGTAAACGCAATTTAAGTAATATGACGTTGACTTAACAGCTAGAGTATGTTAAGTGGGGGTCAATATTTTATTGATTAACCAAGGGGTCACTAATTTATATACTAGGGGATCACTATTATATATAAAATAATGACCGGGGATCATTATTCTATGGGGGTCACTTTACAACGTTACACCAGCAATTACTAAAAAAGGACAAAAGCTAGTTTGTTTATACTTTGTATGTGGATGGAGGATAATGTGGAGATTATGAACATATTATATTTTTATCCGTTCGTTTGTATGTCATTCTGTCCGTCCAAAAAATGGTATCTTTCAATAACTTAAAATTTACAAGAACTAGTTAGGTTGATGATGCTTGGTTCATTGATAGAGGGTTATTTGGAGATTTTGCATGTCAGTTTAAGTTTTCTGTCGTTCTGACTGTTCGAAGAAATCGGGATCCTTCACTAACTAGCAAGTACAAATTCTAGCTTGCTGATACTTGGTATGTGTATAGAGGGTCATATGGTGATTATGCACAATCTTATATATTTTTTCACCTGTTCGTCCGTTTGTCATTCTGACCTCCAAAGAAATGGCGATCCAGCAAAAACTCAAAAAGTGAAAAAGCTAGGTTGATAATACTTGGTGAGTTGATAGAGGGACATCAGGTCATTTTAATTTGTTTTCCACGTTCATATATATGTCTGTCATTCGAGATCTTTCTATCTGTATAAATATAGATCCTGCAATATCAATGCAAAAAGTGCAAAAGCTAGGTTGATGGTACCTAGTATGTTGATTGAAGACCAATTAAATGGAGATTATGCATGGCATATTAATGTTTTCATCAAATGATAAATGTAATTGCTATGGTTACAGAACTATAAAATTGGATACATATTAAATTGACATCATAAGATTACTCGTTACGTAAAAAATGATGCTCTTAGGGGGAAAAAATGTCATTTTCCTTACAATTGCTCTAGTGTAATTTCTGCCTAGTTATGTTTTTACTATCGAAATCTGAAAAAAATTCTTTAAAGCCAATGTCCACATAAATATGAGTTGAGGTTGGAAATCAGACAACATAACACAATTAGGGGACTGCTGCACAGTCTGTGACAAGCTTCTGTTAATCTATGATCGACTCCGAGCTGCTACTTTGACGACTAGATGAATCCCTGCTTTGAAGCGTAAGTCCCGAAAGGTCCATAATCAGTTGCTTGAACGAAGCATACGTCTATGACGTCCAGTCATACATCCTGGTCTAGCAAGGTCATCGTGTAGAACGCTTTGACCTGTAAAGATGACATAATATACACTTCACACTTTACACACCGCAGGACTGGGACCGTGTCCTGTTCACGGATGAGTACATTTTTCCCTATATATCGTATTGTTGGTGAACGTTTCAATGACTTTTGTGTGATTCAACGATGTCCTTTACTTCGCCTGCGAAATCAGCCGTTGGCGTACACATTGAACCTGTCATGTGCGTTTGTGAGAATATTCGATTGTCTTCTCCAGACATTTTAACAAAGTTGTCACATCAACCAGGCGTCGTTGATGAGCTACGCTTTGTTTACAGAATGTGAACTGAAAACTGATATTCAATACATTCAATATATTCAAGACGCTGCTATGACAATAACTGAATTAATAAAGCTTGTGTTAAAAATAAAGAAAAAAATACAAAAAGAATGTCCAAAACGGCAAATTAAAAATGTTGTAGACTCGGTACGTTTGATTGAGTTTGTTCATAGAAGGTACTGGGAAATACAGGGTGCCGCCCACGTCCCGGCCCTTACTACAGGCTCAAGCAGAATTAAACATTTCAACATGAAAAGGGCAAGATTTTGAATTTCAAACTATGAATTTATGAGCTCGAAACTGGGAAAATACTTGAAATTGTTGAAATTGTGAATTTGTAAACTTAAGATCATGAATTCATGAAGTCAATATATCCCCATCTAATTCGGTCTTGGTACTAGTAAATGCTAAACTGACTTGACATAATTATATGACGCATATGGTAAAGCTGATTACATGTCTAACATCTCAATGATTTATATTTCACATTTATAAAATCTCACTGAAGTAGGAAAACATTCGACCACTGAAAAGATTTAACGCTAGATCTAAAATGAGTTTAACCTTGCATGCGATTTGTTTACAGCGACAAAATGGGAGGAAAGTTAACAGACAAAGATATGGACCAGCTAGAACAATGGATAGGTACAGGTCCTAAAACATTTACACTTCTCTACGCCATTACAAGAGATGGATGTAATGCTACAACGTTTCATCAGAAATGTGACAACCAGGGACCTACAGTCACAGTGCTGTATAATCAACAAGGATCGGTGTATGGAGGTTATGCTCCTGTAAGTTGGCAAAGTTCAGGAAGTTATAGTAATGATCAGAACGCATTCCTGTACCAGTTACACTACAGCAAAACACCAACATATACGAAATTTCCACGTAATGGTCAAGGCAATGATACTTATGGGCATCCAAGTTACGGTCCAACCTTTGGCGGGGGACACGATCTTTATACCTTCAGTGGAACTGTCAACAACTCTGGAGGTTATTTTGCCCTGAATGGGTATATGACTAGTTTTGGAACAAGTTACAGTAACCAGGGGAAAGATATAACCCAAATCAACAACGGAAACATGATTGTCACAGAACTCGAGGTCTATAAAGTAACCGGTAAGTTTTAACAAACTAGTTTTTGTTTTCTGCATGAATGCGAGATTCAAGAATAATGTAACTGGTATCCTTGAATTCATGTAACGTAACATATCATTTATTTAAAAAATGATTACTAAATTGCGTGACAACAAAAAATACCCATCGAGCACTAGATTTATTTACTGCAAGGCTTTACAGAAATGAAATTGCATCGAATACAAATGCTGGTTAATTAACTTAGTCATTTTTTTCTAAGCTACACGTGTATTTGAATTTTGCCATTACATAGTCATAACTTTTCGCATATTTGAACATCAAGGTCATATAACAATATATAGAAGTCTTAGAATAAAAGTATTTTTGTAAGGCTGCATGAAATGTTTCTTTGGAGAGTTTTCTTTTTAATTTAGATGGTCAAAGGAAAAAGATTAAAGCAGAGCCTTGGCGCAAAACGAAAAGCTGGAATGAAAAGGTACATGTTTGTAAATATGATGTGTCCAAATTGTCCAACCAAATTATGTCACTAAGTGGTGACTGGGTGAATAGCTATTTTATCGCTGGTAAATCCTATTATTTCATATGGGTTTGGGGGAAGTTTATTTAGTTAAAGTTAGAATAAATGAATGTTATAAACCGCATAAGTTCAGTCTGAATTAATATTTATCTGTGAATCTTTACAGAAAATAGTATCAAGTAAACTGTCGTTGATTGTAGAATAAAGAAAATAAAAATACCAAAACGTATGCATTATCTTATATACAAATAAGAGGATGTCAGGTTTAGTGCAAATTAAACGTTTTCTTCTATGTACTCGAGAAATAATTGTGTTACAGAGCAATTTCAATTTTCAATTAGTTTTATATACTAACAAGTGTCTGTAAATGTTAAGCAACAGTCATTACCACCGCCTAGCTCTTCTCGAACAGGGAACAAGTGGTGCCTGCACATTAAGAACATCGCCCAATGTCATGTCTCCAGCAGCCTTCAGAATGTAAAGTCCCAATGATATGTCGCTGCACCATGATACGGCGATATCACCTATAGGTGTGTCATAGGGAAGAAACACAGTGCGGAAACTGCGGACACGTAAAAACAGGACTCATACATAAACACTCTACTGACGGTGGGGACAGTCAGTATGACTATAATTAAGATGACATTTGCAGTATTTTTTGGTCTCGTGGCCACGACTTATTATCTTGAGGCTTCAATATATTATTGTGTGGTCACGACTTGTTATCTTCTGGCCACAACTTATTATCTTACAAGTGGCCTAAAATATTATCTTGTGGTCATGACTTATTATCTGGTAGCCTCAAGATATTCTCTCGTGACATGTGGCCACAACTGTTTTATCTTGTGACCACTACTTATGATCTTGTTGCCTGAAGATATTATCTCGTGGCCACGACTTATTATCTTGCGGCCACTACTTATTATTATGGGCCACAAGATCTCGTTGCCATGACTTATTATGACTATGCATTCGATGTGTTCGGAACAAAGCGAATTTTAAATCATAAACATGGAAAATTAAGCAAAAAATGGTTTGATAAGGATTGCTTCGAGGCAAAACAGGAATTTAAGAAAGCACGTAATGTTTTTAATAGGCACAATACAGTTGATAATCGCCTCCATTTTATACATACGCGAACGCGTTATAATAAAATTAAACGATCTGCAAGACATAAGTTCAAAATAAAAGAAGGCTTAAAAATAAATATAACTTAGCTAAATCTCAACCCCGGAAATTTTGGCAAAACATAAAAAATACTTATAAAGATGATAAAGAAAAGACTGATACATTAAATGTTGAACAACTTTATGACCATTTTCACTATTCGGCGAGGAAAGCCAAAATGAAAATGAAAACTTTTTATTTAAATGATAACTTAATTGATGAAGATCTAGACGCAGAAATTAATGAGTGCGAGTTACGGAAAGCTATATTTTCTCAAAATAATAATAAATCACCAGTCTATGATAAAGTAATATGTGAAATTTTTAAAGCAGCCTACGATATCATGTCTCCATTGTTGCTTAAACTCTACAATAGATTGTTTATTAATAGTGAATATCCTAAAGTTTGGGGGGAGGGTATCATAACGCCTGTTTTCAAAAGAGAGATGTTAAATTAATGATGCTAAAAATTACAGAGAGATTACACTTATTAATATTCTTGCGAAAATTTATTCCCAGATATTGTTAAATAGACTTAGTAAGTGGTCAATAAAACATGATAAAATTTGTAGTGAACAATTTGGTTTCCAAAAAGGAAAATCAGTGTTTGATTGAGTTTTTATTTTTCATGCAGTTATATCAAATGTTCTAAATTCGGGTAATAAGTTATATTGTATTTTTATTGATTACGAAAAATGTTTTGATAAAATAGATAGATCGATTTGTGGCAAAAGCTTATTGCAGAAAATATCAGCACGCGATTTGTTAAAGCAATAAAATCAATGTACACTACTGTAAAATCATGTGTAAGGTATAATTCTACATATTCATATTTTTTCAATTCTCATATATAGGCTTGAAACAAGGAGATCCGAGCTCACCTCTGATCTTCATGTTCTTCGTAAATGACCTTATAGACAATATTAACACTGATTTAGAAGGTATTTTTACAATTAACGAACTTAAGCTTTTTCTCATTTTATTTGCAGACGATTAAGTACTTTTTGCTAAATCCCCTGAATCTCTACAGGGAATGCTAACGGATATTGAAACTTATTGTAATACATGGGGTTTGAAAATAAATACATCTAAAACAAAAGCAATGATTTTTGAAAAAGGCAGGCATACACAGCATATTTTTAATATTTACAACACCAATCGAACTTGTAGAATCATTTAAATACCTTGGAATTACCCTCTTTAAAAATGGCAATTGGTTAAGACCTCAAAACAGAATAGCTCAACATGCCTCATTTGCTTTACATAACCTGTTTAAAGCATTTAAAAATATAGAACTGCCAACATATCAGAAATGTAAATTATTTGATTCTCTAGTCGGTTCCATTTTGAATTATAATTCGGAGATATGGGGAATGCACGATGCTAAAGATATAGAAGTTATTCATACTAAATTTTTGCGGAGAGTCTTAGGGGTTAAAAAATCTACTAACTTGTCAGCACTTTATGGTGAGCTTGGTCGTTACCCGTTACATATTACTAGAAAACTTAACATGATAAGATATTGATCAAAAATACTTAAACTTAATGATGCATCACTTGTTAAGCAAACGTAATTTACTTCTTAAGTCAGGCACAGATGCTGGTCGAAATTATAACGGAAAAAATTGGGCTTCTTATATCAAAGACACCTTGTCAAGTCTTGGCTTTTCATATATTTGGGACAATCAGTTTGATATAGATATACCATATAATACTATAAAACAAAGATTAATTGACACCTTTCTACAAAGTTGGTATGCATCTATCAATAATTCACCAAAATTACAAACATATTGTTTATTTAAGCATTCTTTTGAAATGGAAAAGTATTTAGATCATGTCCAAGAAAGTAAATACAGAACTGCTTTAACTAGATTTCGAACTTCTTCCCATGATTTATTTATAGAAACTGGTAGATACGAAAACATTCCTAGAGAACAGCGATTATGTAAATCATGCAATATGAAGCAAATAGAGAGTGAATACCACTTTCTCCTTGTGTGTCCCAACTACCGACATCTTCGAACAAAATATTTTTAAAAATACTACTGCATGCCATTGGCCTACTATGAATAAATTAGATAATATCTTGTCGTCAGACTCAAAGAAAACTATATGTGCCTTAGCTAAATTTTTGTATTGGGTAAATCATAAACGTATATCTTAATCTGATATTTTTTTCTGAAAAACTATATTGTTGATAAGTACAAGTCTTATTTGTTCCCATATTAACTTGTATTCTTCAGAAAACTTGTGTATAATTGTTAACTGCTATTTTTCTCACTGTACATGTGTATCATTGTAAATTGGCTATAAGCAATGTATTTTGTTTTATGCTTAATAAAATTCGTATTCGTATTCGTATTATCTTGTGGCCACAAGATTGTGTCTTGAGGCCACAACTTATTAGCCAATAAAAATAGTCGTTTAATTATTGAAAGATTAACACATGTATCACACTGGCCATAGCTTTTGCAGAAGCGGTGGTTCAAACGCTGCGCCAGTGGTGCATTCGCCACAGTGGAAAAATGACGTCCAGTTCCAGGTATCTTTCAGTATAACTCATCATATATCTTCAATGATTATGAGCATACAACGAGATGTAACATCAAAAACTATTTTTGCTTTGCAGGTTTTTATATCAATACCAAATTGAGATTTTCTTTTCAATTTATCTCAGTTTTTTTTTTCAAAATCATAATAAGAATTAAGAATAAATTATTTTGTACTTTTGTAGTTCCTAGATGAGCTAACAGAAGATGTAGTGTCCTTTAAACCTTTTCCGGATTTGGACATCTCAGAGGCTCGAATCTTGATGATAGGTCCAGTTGGAGCCGGCAAGTCAAGTTTCTATAACACTATCAACTCCATATTCAGAGGTCGTATTACACAGAGGGCAGGTAGTGGCAGCGCAGAACAAAGTTTGACAACAGCAGTATGGTTTCTTTTCTCTAGTTCTTATCACGGGGGTGGAACCCCATATGAATCTCAAAAATGAGCATCGGTAAAAATGATGTGTGAATTTCCGCTGCACCAGATGTGAAGCATAACATCAGATGTGACTGGAAAAATAGGCCGATCGCAGGGTAAGTTTTCATCTTTTTAAACATTTATATAAAATTCAATCCATTTTTTAAGAAAATCGAAATGTGATTCTACCCTCCTGACTCTCCTCTATATTACCCCTTGTTGTTTTGGATTTCTATGCAGTCTTCATCGAGATATTCTTTCCGTCGTGGGTTCTGGTGTGTCCAAAACATGCAATATGAATGAAGAAAATGTCACTAAACGGACTCAAAAAACATAGATTTTACGAAATCTCACTACCGGTCGGTGCTAAACATTCAAACAAATCCTGGTTTAAATATTTATTGAGATTTGGCTACATACAAGGGAATCGCTGCTCAAAATTGCATTTGAGCTCCAGATGTGCTGAAGACATTCATAAGTGATGTAGAAAACCATCTACAAAACTACGGACCTCTTCCATATAATCATTGAATAGCCAATGTATAGAAACAGTATAGGTTTTGCATCTTTTGGCTGAAAGTTTAATTGTAACATTAGTGTGTTTGATTACCACAGTGACAGAGCTTACTAGCTTATACTAGCATTAAAAATACTAAAAGGTTCGAGTACATGAAAATGTTGACGCAGAGCGGATATTATGGGTACCTATCGTGTCATATAATATGTTTCTTTAATAATGTTTACATTAATAAAAATATCTTTAACTTTAATATTCCACAAGTTATAGTTATAGCGACAGACTGTTATGTGTAAATATCATGGCCTGATGCGACATCGAAGGTTTTCTTTACAGGATATGGGCCGAGAACATTGTCTGTAAGGAAAACCCGAGATGCCGCCCCAGGTCATGATATTTCTACATAATAGTTCGATATATTGTAACTGTTTTATCGCATGATAAACAGAAATGAGAATTTTAATAAACATAAAATTTCAATTTATGATTGGCTTCTCTCCATAAATTAAATATCCCACCCGAAACCTCGGTTACTTTTTGTGTAACCCATTTCATCCATAATGTCTATCTGTTTATTGCAACTGACTTTATTTATCTATGCAAATCCTTTATGTGGAGAACATTTCATGGGACTTAATAGTTGTGAATTGAATATAAAGCATTTTTCTTTGAATTGGAAAAAGTAATACGTGCACTTTCTGGTGAATTCTTGGACTTTGGAGTCTGCGATGCGCGGAATCTTTTGACACATGGGGACAATTTAAAAGGCGAAAAAAGGATATGTAAGCGCTGATGACTTCTTCTTTTCACGATACAGGTGACGTTTTATTCTTGAAAGTTTTAAACCTTTCCTTTTTGTGCCTAAAAAACGACCCATTTTCCTGAAAAATAACAAAAGAAACGAAATAAGAAAGTGTTTATAATTTACAGTTCCCACTGAAATGACAGTTTAGTGATCTTTTTGCGTACATGAACATTTTCAGGAAACAATCTATGTGCATTCTGAGCTACGCATGTCCGCTCAATACGGTTAAGATATGTTAAAGTTTCTTTAAAATCATTCAAAGAATTACAGAGCAGGCATAAAATTCAGATAGGCATTGACCTATAATTGCGACTGTGGGCATTAAGTGAACCATGTAAATATTCTGCAGGGACGTTTCTTAATGTGGATAATAAATATGCAAATCTTCTTTGATCTTTTTTTAAAAGTTTATCACTAACTTTCATACAGCATCATAACAAATTCAAACACGCTTCACATTACTCTTCTATTAAGCAGACAGTGCAGTCGAGTGAATAATTAATTAATTAATTAATTAATTAATTAATTAGTTAATGCATGGTGGCATAAAAAGGGAAAGATTGCAGTACACACAACGTCAATAAGTCAAAAAAGCAAGGCCTTCCTACCATATCTACGTATTTTAATCAAAGGGCTGCATGCTCTGTGGTATTTTCTGATCTTTCCTGTATAAGTTTATTTTTATATAGTATTATTCATCTTACGCAGTGACTGCGTTTAGATTTTTTTCTATAACAGTTTGAGATTGATACATATGGAATTTTGCATGCCTAGAGTTGCATCAAAAAATCATTTTTCATTTTTTTATGACAACCACACTTTATCCTTGCATATCGTGGCTACTTCCTTAAAAAAGACACTTCAAAAAAAATGTTGCCTCGACTAGGATTTGAACCTTAGGCCTCTCACACTCTAAACGAGCGCGCTACCTCTGCACCACAGTGAAGTAATACGTATGAAACTTGAATAAAAACAAATACATTGTAATTCTAAAATTGAGAATTTCCATTTCGTGTTTCTAATCCTTATTAATTTTGAGGTATTTTGTTCACGATAAACCTGTTGTTAAACACTGATGAAAATAATTTAGCGAAAATCTTCTCGCCAAAACAGTCCGACATGTATATATTCCATTGCTCGACTGTCAGATTTATTTGTGTACTACGCTCTGGAGTATTCGGTAATCGACATAGCTATAAAAAAGCATTTTCATTGATTAAGCTTTACGGAAATAGTCGAACATTTTTCATTGGGTAAAAAAGACATTCATCCATGAAATTTGTGATTGTAACCTCATATTTCTATTGACTAATCTAAACTTTTAATGCACTGTAATTCGTTAAATGCCTACATTTAAAATTATTCTTTCTTTTAAATTGCTGGTTTTAAGCAGTTTTGAGTGAGAACTACTTTTCGTTATTAGGTCTGTGAGGAAATTTTGTGTTAGACCGTCGTTGATGTTAGCTTTGTATTTACTGATCTTGCGATCAGAAAATACAAAAACCTTTCGTATGCAGAATGTCTTATATCTCTTTCTATATGGATACTATGTTATTCAAGCTCGTCTCGTGAAAATGTGTCTATTTCGGATAATAGTATTTATTACAGAATGATACACAATAGAAGAAATTCTAGATTGTTGCAAATTTTTCATGCTATGCACATATGAATCTCTTCAGCACATCTGGAGCTCAAATGCAATTTTGAGCAGCGATTCCCTTGTATGTAGCCAAATCTCAATAAATATATAAAACAGGGTTTGTTTGAATGTTTAGCATCGACCTGTAGTGAGATTTCGTAAAATCTATGTTTTTTTGAGTCCGTTTAGTGACATTTTCTTCATTCATATTGAATGTTTTGGACACACCAGAACCCACGACGGAAAGAATATCTCGATGAAGACTGCATAGAAACCCAAAAAAAAAAGGGAAATATAAGAAAGGAGGGTAGAATCATTTTTTCATTTTTTAAAAGAGGATTAAATTTTATAAAAAATTTTTGAAAAGATAAAAAACCCCCGCGTGGGCCCTTTTTTTCCCCATCACATCTGATGTTAGTTTCACATCGGTGCAGCGGAAACACATACATTTTCACCATCTCTTTTTGAGATTCATAGGGGTTTTCCACCCCGTTCTTATGCCCCATTAAAATTTTTATAAAATTTAAAAAAAGGCACTAATTCACCCACCAAACACTCATAAAAAAGGCCCATATGGAAATTGTCTTTTCATTGTAATAAGAGTTACTAAAAAAAAAACCCCCGTTATTTTTTAACCCTTTAAATTTTTAAGCTGTATTTTTCTTTTTGTTTCATAACCCCTTTTGGGAGATTTCAAACCCGGGTGCAAATTTTAAAACTAAAAACTGTGTGCCCACAGTGGTTTAAAAGGAACGGGGGGCTAGATTTTTTAAATTTTAAATGTTTTACGGGAAAGGGAAAAAGTACCGAATTTTTACAGGAAATTTAGAGAAACCAAAATATCTAAATTTGTTCAGTGAATTCACGATCTTTTTTTATTATTTTTACTTTTTAAAAAATATAAATAAATTTGACATACAGATTTCATTAAGTTAAATTTTTACTTTTAAAAACAAAAATAAATCTCATTTAAATCAATCAATTTTCGCCCCGCGTACTTCTTAGCGACCTAGCTACCCCGACAAAAGGATATGTTTTTCATAATTGTTAATCATTATTCAATAATGATTGCGATTATGCTCAACACGGGCAGCGCGGCCGATAAGTTAACGCGTTGGATAAGTTACCTAAGGATTGCTGACTGTGTGGGTTCAAACAAAGTTGTTTTCGTCAGCAAGAGACTTTATTACACTTTACACTAATTGGTTGGTTCCAGGAACGAATTCGGAATTGTTGCAATACGCTCAAAGCTTCAAACACAATTGAACTAAGGGAATTAGTATCAACTTACCGTAGCATTTCAATCAAGTTAATTAAATACATATTTTCCAAGTCAGGCATTTTTATTAAACTTTCTAAATTGCAGTTCAATCCAGCAACGCCAATATCCACAGACCACGACGGTTATATAAGCAAACCAACCCTTGAAGATAAAGTGCATTGTGTGGTTTTTGTTCTAGATTCTACTACACTTGAAGTTTTGCCAGCCAAAATTCTACAAAAAATGAAAAGTTTCCAAACACTTATGAACCAAAAAGGTATTTTATGTCCTATGCCAAAATACATTTTATTTACACATTTATTTTTCCGTGTAAACTCAAGTTTGGCTAACAAACTGAATAGATTTAAACATTGAGTAAAATATTGTAGATGATAATGTATCACATGATTTCCAATGTAATATTATCACCATAGCGTATTTATAATACTATACACGTGAAATATATACATGTATAACGAAACTTATGCTAGGCGTTTGTTTATGTTGTAAACAGATTGCTTTGGTTACTTTTATTAATGTAATTAAAATAATGTGACACAAGTTGTCATTTGATAAAAGCGCTTTTGAATCTCGTCCGGCAAGAATGTTTTTAAGCCCACCAACGGCTCGCTTAAAAGTATCTACCAACACTCGTTTAAAAGTTCCGTATTGGAAGTTATGAAGTATAAAGATTTCTTATATGGTATACTCGGTACCGACAACGCGTGATTAAACATTTGCTAAAAAGCTTTTTTAAAAAATTGTTGCAGTACAATTTCGAAAGCCATGCACAGTTGTTAGTGGTGGCCGCTTTATTGCTGAGTACATAGTGCTATCGTTTGCAATCTGATGCTAAATTCAAACAAACCACAGGTAGTACTCTAAAAAACTGACATTATTCATAGAAAAATTAACATTTTCTTGTCAGGTATTCCGCAGGCACTTCTACTCACCAAAGTCGACAAGCTTTGTAAAGATGTAGAAAAGAATGTGTCTCAAGTCTTTAAAAGTGAAACTGTTGAAGAACATGTTGAGAAAGCGTCACAGCTTCTTGGCCTACCACGTGGTAATGTACTTCCGGTGAAAAACTACGAGAACGAGATGCAGCTTGAAGATAACATCAGTATCTTGGCGCTCATTTCTCTGCGACAGATTTTACACTTCGCGGAAGATTACATGGAAAATATTGCCGACAAAATGGCTGCTACTCAACGAAAAATGGAGAAAATGAAAGTGAAAAAGTAAAGCGTTTTGAGGTGATGTGACTTTAACAAGTACAGAACTTAAAAAACTTTTCATAGATCTAGCCATTTTGTAAACGTAAACTGTCTCTGTGAAAGTTCATATCTTGCTCTATGTTATCAGATTTAATGTTCATCCTAGTGAGTTATAAAAAGTCTTAGAAGGTTTCAATATTTACAACTGTTTGGTTTGTATTACTGGTACATGTATATCCTAGCTGGTGTTGTTTTCTTTATTTCTGAAATGTTTGATTTGCTTTTGAAGTTTATATTGTACTGTACCAATATTTTGTATGAATAAAGATTAACCCATTACATTATACCGTGCTACAATTCAAGAAGGATAGTTTGAAAAAATCACTACTTTTAGCAAAACTGTACAAACCATGTGCACTGTACGCAAAAAGTGAACATTACACTAAACCGTATAGATCTAGTGGATTTTGACCAAGTTTCACATTGATGTCCCTTATGATGTCCTTAACAAAAAGTATTATAAGTAGTCTCGGTCTGATGCACAGTCAGGGAAAACAGCAATGTCGACAGCTTAGATGTGTACATTTGTAATATGTAACATCGTCTTAAATCATGCCTCCATGTAGGCAGGTTCACAATTGGCTCGCCTGGGGGATCACTTAGTTCGCACAGACTAGGCTTAGGGAAAGTGCATTTAAATTCTTATCTATTTCTCTAAAATAACTTGTCTGAGAGCTTATGATGAATGGGGGGGATACACAGGCAATTTGTTTACATAATGACGTAATCGATGTCGATTTTATGAATAGAAAACTGGACATTTTTTAATGAGGTCATGATGTCGATTTTCTCATTTGGACTTGTTATTAATATTTTGTCCTAATTTTCTATTCATAGTTTAAACCAATAATTTGATTATAGTTTTCCTTTTGTATATTTTGACCGAATTAGTTACTAGTAATCCTTTATGGTATCATTTTTCTATTGTGTATACTTTAGACCATATTTATGTGACCCCTTAATTCCTTTATGGTCGTAACTTGTCTATTGTTCTATTTTGACCATTTATTATGTTAACCTAATCCTTTAGGTAGGCAATTTTCTATTTCATAACTTGACCATTATAACGTCACTTATGTAAACAAATTAAAATGTATAAAGTTTCTATTGAAAAAATGGACATAAAAAAATGTGTCGGGTTTTCTATTCAGAAAATCGACATTTATATTACATCATTATAAATGTAGTACTTTTTATTAAAAATTTGAACATTCAAAAAAAATGGTCACATTTTCTATTCAGAAAATCGACATCGATTATGTTCATTAAAATTGTCAAGTTTTCTATTCAGAAAATTTCGACATCATGACCTCATTAAAAAATGTCCAGTTTTCTATTCATAAAATCGACATCGATTACGTCATTATGTAAACAAATTGCCTGTGTATCCCCCCCCCCCCATTCATCAAGCTTATATAAAGATATTTGACATGCAGCATTGCATAATATACCTCTACAGCATGCCTCTTATGTCAAACATGACCACCTCGGAAAGCATAACATATAAAGAGAAAGTCGGAGATGTTTGTGCAAATGCAGAACGCATCTTGACGTGCTTGGCAGTGAGTGAGACTCCCATCTGTTTACCAATGCAGACGGGCTTACACCAATAAACACCACAACACATATAGGCACAAGTATAGAATGGTATTTCTTTCTTATCTATCTTCATCCATGTAGGCCTACAGGTTCAATATCATGTTGATTACAAGCTGTAATTACGTAACACCTCAAGACGACCTACAAAATTGTAACCGCTAAAACGGCTATGAATTTTATATATTCTATATGATAATGTAATGAGTAACATTGAAATGTTACGTTTCTATTTGTTGTTTTTGTTGCATAGACTTGCAGTGTAATTACAAGTCTCTTCAATATAGCACTAATTTAAAATCTGGTAAATCAAATAATTACTAACTGACATTTATAATATAATGATTTAAAACAAGACCAGTTTGCTAACGGCACGCTCCACTTTTCTTAGTGCTGCATAGTTAATAAAAGCAAAGTAGAAAAGGGGGATAATTTTGTAAAAGTCCTTGGCTTGTTAGTCAACATATATTCCAATTTATTTAGTGGATACTTTTTTGAATGACCTTATCCACTCGGCCAAGAACACCACAGAAGAAATATAAAATATAACAATTTTTAAATAAATTTCAGTGAAAACATGGATATAATTCTTGAAATATATGTGCTAGACGTATACATCATTCAGTGTCGATACCCAATAGATACAATGATATTTGAAGTTTAAAATAAATCCCTAAAGAAATTATAGAAACATTAGAGCTGTCGGTAAGACAGTCCGCTTGACTTTTATAAGAACATGCCTAGAGTTGGGATGATGGCCACTAACAACTATTAAAATTTTGAAAGAAATGCCTTATAGGGGACAGGAAATACACTCGGAGGCACTTCTAACCCGACACTGACATTTCTCGGTATCATTGACGGATTGTGTTCAAATTTGGACCTTACCAAATCCAGGTACGTATATTAACGTTAATATACGTACCTGCCAAATTCAATATGTCATTCTTTCTTCTTAGAATTTTATTTACTATTCATTGTCAAGAAAATAGAAAAAAATACAAAACAAGTAAGCTAGTCTGTTTTAATAAAAAATCGCAGAATCGTTGTAAAAAATTAAAAATCGATACAAAATGAACAGTCTCTGAATCGCACTAAATATGTATGGTCTAATTATTTGGCTGTCATTCAATGGATATATTAACAACGTGTAAACACCTCTGTCTCATGGAAATGACATAGTTTCTCATAAAGGCGTATGAACACATCTGCGGATGTTTCAAATTCCAAATTTTACCATTGAATACTGCTCTAGCCGTTGCTAGGTGGCGTGGACGTTAACTTGCACTTTCCATTATCGTTCATGAACAGGCTTAATCAAACCGAGCCTGCAGCATTGTCGATTTCGTCGTTTTTGCGTTCTTTCGGGAGTTTTTTTTTATTATTTCTCTCTAATTTGGGGAATACTTCTCAATTCCTGAACAAAGGCTTGCTCGAGTTTCTGCAAATTGAGATGAACTAACAAATCTGTTCAGTTCATTTTACAATTGCTGGAACTCGAGCAAGACCCTTGGTCAGGGATGGAGAAATACTCACCAAGCCTTCATGAGAAACTACGTCACTTCCACATGTTCCATTGAGACAGAGTTCTAGCCATTGGATAACACACAAAGTATTGGAACAGGTTAACACAGGGATTTAGTGCATTCAGAGACTGTTAATTTTGTTACGATTTTTACTGCCATTCTGTGATTTTTCATTTTACAGTCGCCTAATTGTTTTATTTTTTTGTCAGTGAATTGTTAATAGAATTCTAAGTAGTTAGAATGATATGTTGATTTTTGCATTGTCCAAAATTTGATCAAAATCCTTCAAGAAATGACAAATTCATACCAAAAAAAGTAAGTGTCGGGTTATAAATGCCTCTGAGTGTAAGTGGGGTGCTCGGAATTCTTAGGCAAAAAGGGGGGTAATTTTATCTTTATCCTTGACAGAAATATGTTCTTTTGCATCGAAGTGGGGATGTCAGCCACTAACAAATATGGTTTCAAAGCAATACTTAAGGACATAAGAAATAAGTTGGGTGGTAAACAAACTTTACCAGAATTCCGAGAACACAAAGGGCTACTTAAAAGTACATACTTTTGTTAAAACTCATGACAGAGGAGTCCAAAAAGGGGCATACATTGTCAAAATTCATGATAGAGTTATTTAAAATAAAGCAAAACCTCAAAGGGTCGATGTGGGGTGTACAAAAAAAACTAACCAATAGCGTGACGCAGTGGTCGAAGCCGACACCAGGGTGAGTAGGATATAGCTCTCCCTATTATACAAATACACTGATAATAGTCGAGCTAAAAATAAGGAAAATTCTTAAGTTTAAGAGGGGAATAATTCAAGAAAAGGGGATGCTAGAGTTATGCACCTAGTCAATTATAATGATGAGGGAGGGAATATGATACGTCACTAAAAGCTCCTTCTGGAACCCAAGGGAGCTAGAAAAGGGTAAAAAAATGACTGTTGATAACTGATCACCAGAAAGAACATAAAGATGCATCATTTCATATACATGTATTTTAACATAATAATACAAATATCATTACAATTAATCAAGAAATTTCAGACAATATCACCTGAGTATTAACAAAACATACATGATATAACTCTATGTGTAAGACAAGTATTTAAGTAAAATATTAATTACATTCTATTGTTATCACAGTCTGAGACATGTTATATGAATCTATCCTAGAGGTATCATCATAAACAATTGGAATGAAACAAACATTTTCAGAATGCCTCTACAACATTATTATATCTATATATTATTATATCAGCATTTATTCTTTATCATTATCTTACACGTGACAACATGCACAAACCCCAGTTTTTATATGTAACAAAATATTTGAATAATTACATAAATGAACAGACCCAACATTGAGCCAAAATGATTATAATTAAAATATTTACAATTAACTATTCACCTTATCCATACAAAACACTGCTGGTAAAAGTTAGTTTGTTGGGTGTGGTTTGAAGTTAAACCAACATTGTTGAGGTCATGTGGTAGTGCTGAACAGGCTTTACAGCTTTACTGGTGGGGGAATACCTAAATTACCCTCCATGCATTATTTCAGGCACCTGCAAGCATTTTAGTAGAAACTTGGACCTTCAGTAAGCCAGCTGAATAGATCAATCCAAAGTCCCCTTGACTGGATTCATATTCACAGCGAAGAGGGGTAAGTGATGTCAAGTCAGTACCTACACCAATGGGCCAGGGAAACAATATATATAGTTTTCATATAAAATTTGAATCTATTTCATTTAAAACATTTTACCTTACATCGGAAAAATACCCCCCTGAACTAATGATAAACTCTATTAATATGAACAAATTATATATTATCTTTGAATGTCTTTGTTAGATTGAAATTAATTTTTACATACTCTGTTGAGGGACATGTTGTTTCATTATTGTATTTATTTCATTTGATTGATAAAAATGAAATTATGGATCTACAAGTTCAACCCATCAATGGAAACTTAGTTCAACCTATGAATGGAAACTTAAAAATAATTCTTAAATAGCAAGTTCTATCTTAATAACAACAATGCAGAATGTATGGAACATATCATACATCAAAACAAATAAAATATTTCCCTTACATGGTAAATTTAAAGATTATTCACTGAAAAAGAAACACAAGCTTGATTAATCTTGATATTATCCAATCACCAAATAGCACTGTAACTTTAAATTAAAAATTTTTATTCAAACTTGGCAAAATATCTTTTAAATTCCTTTATACATGTATCATACCAATAATTATAAGTTTACATATCAATTAACAATAAAACTTGCTCTTTTAAAAACAACATTAAAATTTTACATTCATAAAATACACATAACAATGCATAAATACATAGGGTTATTACATTATCAAAGCTAAATATCTGTTGAAAAATTGTTTGAATTTTGATTTTTGAAAAAAAACAATTCTATGAAATATGATTATTGAATGACGCATGCACAGAATTATTCAATATTGATAAAATAAAATGGTAAAAACCTTACTAAAAATAGCAGCATAATATTTTGAACAAGAGCATTTGAGCCGCGTCACGACAAAACCAACATAGTGGGTTTGCAGTCTGATCAGGATCCTTGCTGTTCGCCTGCAAACCCTATAACAAGTAGAGAAACTGATAGCGAACAGCATGGATCCTGATCAGACTGCGTCGCAACCCATTATGTTGGTTTTGTCATGAGGCGGCTCATTTTATTTTGTTTACATACAATATTATTTGTGTTAATTAAATAACACAGACATTTTATGTTACAAAAATTCAAGTGTCAACCATACAATTATGTAAACAGTATAATTTTACTGTTTATAGATTTTATAAAAATATTTCATAAGACATAGCTTTATACCCGTTAATGGGTCCATTGCAAAAAAGTAACTGAACTTAGAAGAGTTAGTTATGTAAGGTTTAAAAACTTGCAATAGACCCTGGGTACAATTACTTCCAAACCAGTAACAGTTGTTTCAGTTGTATATATCCATTTACTCTTTATTTCATCACTGGTTACCAAAGATACAAGTTCAGTTATTGAGGAAGCTTATATTCGATGTGTCTGGTTTATGAAGGGTCCATATGCATGTCTGTCCAATCCCTGAGCAAGAAATTACCTTATATCCTCGTGTTTCCAGTTTGTTCAGAACTATCCTTGGTGGATCTTGGCTTTTATATTCCAAACTGGGGAAAAAAATAATGCAAATTTACATAAGAAAAATATGAAGTCCATGAACTATTTATGCAAAATGAGAAGCACTGAAGAAAATTTACAACAAATATTTCCATGCAGAATCAAATTCATAGCATACATTGTACAACATTTTTAACTCAAGTCAGGCTAAGAATAGCACAAAGATACAATTTTCAATTTGATTTTTGACATATTTATTTCTTTACTTTTGTTATTGCCCCGGATGATCTATGTAAAAATCTCAAATTATGTATTAAGCCTTTTGGAACTTAGTGGAGTACCTGTAAAATAGTACATGTTGTTAACCAAAAGTTATGTCAATGCATAACCATGACAAATTTATGTTTTTATATATTTGCATGATATTTGTCCTGCCTAAAATTAGAAAATGCTCACTATCAATAACATGTCAATGAAAGGATTTCAACATAAAAAAGGTACATTTATGTAGTCAATAGAGTTAACAGATTTGTTCTCTTTAAACCATTGATACAGCAGCTTTACTTTAACCTTGCTAAATATCTTAGTTAGACTTGTCCAGCTTTTAATCTGGGCAAAACCATTCGTCAATTTTAATTTTAGGGAAAATGCAAAATACATGCATGCACAGACTGAATAGCGCACTGTGCATAGATGTGCATGCTAATCTTGATCTGCACTGGTTGCATGGGTAGAATCTGTTGATGCCAGCAGTCTTAGAGTTAAACAAGGTATTAACATCTCCTAATCAACTGTATGTACAGGGGTAGCCTAGTCATTAATATGTCTGCTGCTCAGCATAGGAATCATGGTTTAAGCCAAACTGGGGTTACAATCATATTCCCTTATAGGACACTATTACAGTTAAGTTCCAGAATACAGGCAAAATGCTACAAATAAGCTCTAAAGTTTTAATGTCAAAGCAAAGATAAAAATATCTAAACAAACAGCATGAACATTTTACTCTTTTTAATAACTTTTACCACAGTAAGTTTTCTTATAAAATTCACTACATCTAGCTCATAAACTGTTTAAATCCTTGTTTTGTTTTATTTAACTCTCACTCAAATGCTTGGATGTCAAACCACATAAGGTATTGTAGTAATGTCAACAAATTTGACAACTTACAAATTATTGCCTAAAGATTTCACAAGAGAAGCACCCAAATATTCCATGAGCTCTTTATCACTCCACTCATCACCCACTGTTGTTGGTCCTGATTCCTTCAATAATAAAACAGATTACTTCTATTTAGCATTATGCAAACTGCAAAGCCTGTCTTGTCTGTAAGACTAACATATTTTAAGATAATCTGATACACTGAAAACTTTTTTATTGACTCTCTTCTTTAAAATCAGAAGAAAATTTCTATGTGAGTTCTAAACGGACTAAGCTGTTGACCCCAAAAAGGTCATAAATCATCAATTTTTTGTCAAATAATGTTACATACTGTATTCATGAAAATTAAGATTTGAATCACATGACATCAAAGTCTATTGCTATGGTTCTTGCGTGGTATTACCACCCAATATTGCAGATATTTAAATGCTACAGTATTTACCAGCCTCATTTCAATCAAAGCACATGGAAGCAATGGACGATGAATTGAGAAAAAAAAGGGTTTTTTATGCCCCAACTCAATTTCTGTCAATTGTAGCTCTAATACTGTAATAGTATTTTACCCAGTCATGAAACTTTACAGGAATGTTGATAAGTAATATTAAGTTATGCATCTGGGGGTTTGCTTGTGGATCAGTATACTGTATATGTAGAGTTATTGTCCTTGACTAAGATTTTTTTTGCAATTTTCACTTTTGTCACATGTAGCCCTAAATTCATTTATCTAGTCATGAAACTTTACAGAAATAAGGGTTGTTCACTGCAGGTTTTGCTTGTATTGTCCTTGACTTAGCAAAAACTGTTTCAATATATTGTGTCACATGTACCACTAAAATTGCTTGAGCTAGAGTTAACAAACTACATGTACATGAATGTTGGTCAGCATGTGAAGTTGTGCACCTGGGCTTTCCCATGGGAGGACGCTATTTGCACACTGTTTAGGTCTACACACCAAACAAGTCTGGTGTCAATCAGATAATTGGCTCCTCCCTATGACCTCTGAATTTTTCAAGATGGCGGCGCCCATGTTGTTCCATAGCTGACTTGTCTGGTGTGCACATAATTATATTACTATAAGAGGCTATTGCGAACATCCAGCTACCTGACTTGCCTGTTGTGCACGTAATTATATCATTATTAAAATGTGCATGTGCGTGTGTTTATGTGTGATTAATGACCCACCCACCCATATAAAATTATATTCATGAAAAAAAATTGATTTAATTTATACTATTATTATCCATATTTATAGTATGTTTTCATTGTTGTCTATAAAAAAACGACAAAGAAACTTTTTTCATCCAAATTTAAATAGTGAATTATCACATTGTAATTATTTAAAATCATATTGTCTAAGACTATGCAATTCAAAATTGAGTAGAACGGCATAGCGTTTTATCATTTAGAATCCCGCCTATCCCAGCCTTTACTCCGCCCATTGACCCGACTTGTTTGGTGAGTACTTTACGACCTTGTAAGTAGCGATGTCCCTTTTCCATGTGGATTAATTCAGTTATTAGTTATTTCCCTTGACTGAGTAAAAAATTGAAAAAATAAATAAATAATTGTGCTCTACCAGGAAAGTAATTTATATTATAAACATAACAATATAATTATATAGAAAAGAACTTTCCTGACTACAGCAATTTAATTGTTATGTTTATAATATACGTCCATGTAGAGCACAATTATTCATTTAATTCTTTAAATTTTTGTTTGCATATTTAAATCATTTTCTGAACTCAATTTTAATATGTGAGCTTTGAGTTTCATAACTTTCAGTTGCTGTGTATGAAAAAACACACCACTTTGACGATGGTTTGGTTTAAACATATTTATTTAAGCTTGATTGCGAAACAAGTTCTTACAACTTATATTAATCACTTTCGAGTCGCTTCCTGGAGCCAACCAGTGCTGGTGTCATATAAAGAAACATGGTCGTGACCCGAGTAGGGCTCGAACCCATGATCTCTGTGTTGAGAGGCAGACACCTTAACCACTAGGCCAGTCTCACTTTGACTATGTGCTGTAAACATGATCTTATTTATAGGACTAGAATTATTGGTAAAGCATGTGCGAGAAATAGAATCTTTCAATTTCATCTATCGCCAGGTAAAGGCACTTTTGTAAAATGGTAGATTTTAATTATATTTTCTATAGATTAACAGTACAAAGGTTATTAGATAAAAGATATTTAATCTGCATGCTGCAGATAAGAAGTTTTTATTTTTTATGAAGATATATTAGAATAAATGGAAGAATTCTTTTATTTAAACAAATCCATACCATCTCATTGGGTGAAAAAGTAGGGCAACATCACATTATCACTGGACTTAGCATTCAAACAAATTATCCGAAACATTGTATTATCCGAAATTATAATTACTTCTTCAATAACATTGCTCGTGAAGGAGATAATGAATGTTATAGTTTAACATTATTTTTGGCGTAAAATCAATTGAAAATTATAAATACGTTTTAAACAAGCAATAAATACTCTTTACCAAACGTATCTGCGTGCTAATAAGTACATAAGGCATGGTTTTATAAGGAAATAACTTTTAATAAAACAGCTGTTTTTGTTGACAACTTTTAACTCTTCAAATTGAAGGAAGAAAGAACCTACTTGTTTGAACTTCCGCGTTTTGACAGCTCTGCAGTCCGAATTTCGTCCAAATTCCTATCACTTGTTTTCGTTTTTAATTTTCATAGAAATGAACTTCTTTCGACAAAATAACGCCTTCTTTGCTTCCCTTGGTGCTGGCATGGTCATTGGCATAATGTATTGGCGCATGACACAGAAAATTATGCGAGAATTGCAGAGCCTTTCTGGGGTGATTGCAGAGCTTCAAACCGAGGTAGTCCAGCTGAAAGAAAAGCTTGACAACGTTGCTAGAAGACGCAAAAGTCCAGGGAGTGGTTTCTTTTCTCTTGGAGCAAGCAGTGGAGATGACGATGATGATGTTTATGAAGAGGCATATGCAGGGTATTTTTTTATACAGATCTACATATACGATTTCTGTAGTCCAATATATCAGACGATACAGGCTTGTTTCATATAGTTTATGTTGGTCAAGCTTTGCCCAGAAGCAAAACAATCTCAAAGCGACGTCATATTTATAGGACTACGATTTCTGGAATTCATGGACCATTCATTAGATCTGCTTGATCTATAAATAGCCAATTTGCCACATAATCATTTATATATAATTATATGGCCTTCAATTTTCAACTACTATTTCTTAAACACTTAATGTCTGTTAATTTACAGATGAAAATTCAGATATATCCTGGAATAGACCTGGGTCTAAACCAGGAGTATATATAAGGTTCAGTCCTTATCTTTAGTGTATTATATACAAGTTTTACTTCTAAAAAGTACATAAAGCTCTAGGGGTCTAATCTGAGGAGATTGCCGATTATGGTTATGAAATACACAAACACTTCCAAGGATGTGTGGAGTTCTAAGCACAATATATATATATCAATAAAATTTGATTTTAAGCAGGTTTTTTTTTTCCAAAAAAAGTCATATTTCAACATTTATCACATAGTACATAATGGATATATTACATTGACAAAGATACAAATAATTGGAATTGATAATAATTTGCCCCACTGACAATTCACCCCTTGGTGTGTGGAGCTCCAAACATGTTAAAATCCAAATAAAGATAATATAACCATTTGCCCCACTGAAAATTTGCCTCATAACGTTACAACTTTCCTCACTTTAGTGGCAAATTGTTATATTACCTTTATTTAAATTTTAACAAGTTTTGAGCACCACACCTCAAGTGTCTGTGACTGATTAAACAAACAATTTGAGGACTTTTTAAAAAAAATTAAATTACAAAGTCATCAATTAATTATTAATGGATCCTTCCTTTATAATTACCAAAAAAAAAACTTGTCTAAAGCTTCGAATTGTAGTATTAAACTTAAAATAACAAATTTCACAGTTTATATGTGTGTTTATGGATTGAAAAAATCTTTAAATTTTACCAGCATTCATAAATTTACTGACTGTCCATAAATTATATCAAATCCTAGACCTGTTTATTTTTTATTTTATTTTTAAAGAGTATTGATTACCATGTAAAATTTTGTAAAGTCTGAAATGCTTCTCAAATTTGGAACTTAAACTATGTAGTCATAAACTTTGAAAATAAGAAATTGTATTATAGAAGATCAAAAATAAAGAGATTATTTTAATGTTATAATTCAGGTGTTGTCTATGAACTGTAAATGTCACATTTGGAATATTATTATATATGTAACCTGTCATACTAATTAACTTTAACTTATGAAAGAATTTGATTCTTTTTTTTTTAAATGTAATGAATGAAAATAAATGGTATCATTCAATGCATGGGTTGGTCACAGTGCTTAATAGATGATGTTTTTATGATAATAACTATGATTTTAAATCGGAATCAAATATAGAATTGGGTCAGGTGGACAGCAAAGAGATATTACTTTTCAAGAGGTAATGAATGTAAATTAAATTACATTTATAACATTTCTGTTTTGATAACTGGTTTGATTACCAATATTCTATAGGTTATGTAGCTTGCTCAATGATAGAAACATGTTACAAGATCACTGTTTGACTACATGTTTCCTTTACAATGTTACAATGTATATACATGTACTGTGAAGTTAATTTAAAATCTTTACTTTCAGGAGTGACTTGGAGGATTTGGAAGAACAGATGATAATTACACCAAAACAAACAGATCAGGACATAGAACCTACAGATGATATATTTACAGAAGTTGATCAGTTATTAGAAGGAGCAGATGAAGATAAACAAAAAGCTTTTGAGATTCTACAGAGGAATAAAAGCAAGGTAGATATAAATGTTTATACATGTATAAATGGAATTAATAAAAACAAAAGCAAAGGTTGGTAAAATGTATATGGTATATGCATTTGAAATTTTGTATAACATTTATTTATGTATATTTGAACTTCTATTGGTGTTGCTCTTCATTGACCATTTCCATGCTGAATTTAGTAAAATGGATTTATATCATTTAGTTAATTCAGTAATTAGTTATAGAAATATTAAGTAGAATTATCAGTATGAGTTCTGATCAGATTGTACAAATGTTTAGACTCTGCTGAAATATATGCAAATCCCTGTTGCCACCAGCATTCAAGGATTATTTTTTTTCAGGACTTAACAAATATGTTTATTTACTTTTTCAGTATTTGACAGATCCCAATTTCTACTGGAGGTTTTCAAAGACAACATTTCAAGTTTCTCAAATACTTGGTGCGAAGGGTGACTTGGAGAAAAAGAAGGAATATGTATACACTGCCAAAGATTTAGCTCAGAAAGCTCTTGATCTTGATGACCAATGTGCCAATGCTCACAAATGGTATGTTTATGTCTATGAAGTTTAAGAAGTTTTAGGCCTTTCAACCCTGGGACTGGGGGGTTGGAGCCTGTGGAAGTCAACAGAATGCTTTTTTCTTTTAATATTGTATAAGATCATTACTGGTACTGATAATGTCATATAGTGATTTACATAATTATTACATGTACATGGGAACTTTTGGAAAGTTTGCATAATTTCTTTATTAGATGCTGCTAATGAGATCCAAAATACAATAATGAAGTCACTCAAGCACCAAAGTTGCTCTCTCTCTCATCAAGATGCACACACTTCTTGTGACATCAAATCTACTTTTCTTAGGTTTCAGCAAACCAGGCCTCTTTCTTGCATGAGGAACACCAAGTTGAGTTATTTTGAAAGAATAACTTCAAAAATATTTAAGAAATTTAATTGAAACTTCCTTGAGTAAGAAAAGTAGTGCCATGTCTAAGAACCATTCTATATTGATTTTTTAATTATCTCCCTTTATGATACTTACAAATATTTGATCATTGCTTGCCTAGATTATAATTTCTAAACTTTCAAATCTTTAAACAATGATTATTACATTGAAGCTTCCCACATCTTTAAGTGCAGTGTTATAGAATCAATCCTTACTCTATATTTCATGCTTTTTTGAGTTATCTCCCTTTATTTATAAATAAGGGCAGAGTACATAAACAAAAATTCTACTATGCTTATTTATTTTATTATCCCTTTATGGTACTTAAATTGTTTAATAATGCTTGTTAAGAATTTTAACGTCGAAACTGTGAGACATATCGCATTGGATTTTTACATGATTAAAAACATGTAAGAGGGAATAGCATAGTTTTTTAATTATCCCCCTACAAATATATAATAATGCTTGTCTGGCAAATTATTTGAAAAATATTGAAATGATTGTATTATCACATCATACAGTGATAGAAAATAGAGAAAAGAATTTCATTTGTCAATAATGATGATAAAATTTTCTTAATATTTCAGGTTTGCAATAACTATAGGTAGTGTAGGTGAATATGAAAGTACTCAAGACAAAATCAAAAATGGATTTATATACAAGGTAAATTTATGATATAACTTATATGAAGAAAACTGAAGTATATACTTTAAGTTATATAGATTCTTTGATCAGCTATATTATACTAAGCCCAGTATAAATTGTTGTAAGCTATACATGTATTTCCTATGTATGTTGAAAACAACTGTTTATAAATGGCCAGAGAACCTTTCATTAATCTTTATAACAAAATTATAAAGAAAGCAAATTCAGCTTCTTTAGTGTTTGAAATTATTTATTGTCCAGTAGGATTACAGCATTTCAAATGAATCATAACACTTTACTTTAGTAGATCAGCTAACCAATAATCAGTCTAATAAATCAACTGTTAATCAAAATAATTTCAAGCACTAAATTGGTTAGAGTTCCTTAGTAAGCATTTACCAAATGGACCTGGTCAAACAGCTGTGTCAATCTTGACTAATTTAATTTTGTAAGCGCTTAGTAATAAACACTAGCCTATACTTAATTTATGTTAACATGAACATTACTTTATAAATCTACAGCAGCAGTGTATATACATGTAGATTATATTGAGGTTTCATTTTAATTATATAAAAAAGTGATGTTACAGATGTGCAGTATTATTAATTGTTTTATGTGTGTCTGTCAATAAGTATATATTATCATGCAATGTTCTTCATTAAGGTCATCATAAGAGTTCAGTGTATACATTTGTATGGTTTTGAGAATTTTATAGTACATAAATATCAAGAAAAAGAATTAGACAATGATTTTTTTTAAAAGTCAGAATTTACTATGCACACTGATAAAAACAAAAAATTTGCCCAATCTTTCAAACCAGGAGAGATACAGTTTTAAATCTTATGGAAGCATTTTTGAATTTTTTATAGAGATTTGCATTGTAAGAAGTTGTAAAATCTTGAATGCTTAGTAAAATAAAGATAAGATACAATAAGATATAACGAGTGCAAAATCATGATAAGTTATGTCCCCTATCTCAATGCTATAAAGTTACATGTTATTGTATTATTAAATATTATGATGATATAATTATGCTAATTGTGATTTAATCATAATTAATCAACATTTCTCTTTTATTCAGGAACATATAGAAAAAGCTGTTTCATTGAAACCATTAGACCCTTCCAACCACTACCTACTAGGCAGGTGGTGCTATAGTGTGAGTATGTCTTTACTTTTTTTGAGACATGCTTCCTATATCAAGTTGTTTAAACTTTTTTCCCATAAGAGGCATCCCTTGTAGACCCCTATAAGCATACTCTACTGACTTCCCCTTCAGGAGCCTCCACTGACTGGATGTTAATGGACTTTGTTGGGTTGCTATCAACTCCCCTTAAGGAACTATTATTTTTTTTGTATCTTACTCCCCTTACTGGACCCATTGATTGAACATTAATGTGCCTATGTTCTCTATCCTGTTAGGACTTTTGTTGACTGTGCCTGTTGACTGTCCCTTAATTGAAGCCTAGATTGTTTTAATTGAGCCTCTAGTGGCAGCTCCTTTAGGACATGTAGGAGCCTCTGTTGACTTCTCCTGAAGAATCCTCCATTTATTGCTCAAAAAGGACCTTCTTTTCATTTCTGTTTTGATACTACATGTACTTGGACAGTTTATTTGATGTAAAAGCTTGCTTAGGAAACTCAATTGCTCTACTTATGTGCTGGAAATCTTTTTTTAATAAGGCTCTTTTGGGAAGGGGGAGGGGGAAATCTTGCATCTTTCTATACCACAAAACAGGCAAAGTCATCACATGACCTTGAGTCCTTGACCTTCACTTCTATTACAATGATAGGCAAAGTTTATATTATGATAATTATGGCTTTACATCTAGGATGAACTGAAATATTTTTCATTTAATTTTCCAGGTATATATGTTATCTTGGATAGAGAGGAAGGCTGCAGCTGCACTTTATGCTACACCACCATCTTCTACAGCTGAAGAAGCTGTTGTACATTTTTTAAAGGTAACATAACCCTTGTTGTCTTGATAGTAATCAGGCAATGACTAGAAAGTGTCATAAAAGAAAAGTAGAGTCAGTGTAACCAGTTACATGTATATTAATTTTCACAATTTTTAGTAGATCTTCTATCAAAATTGGAACAGATTTTAGTATTGTATGTTTTTATTTTGGAGGTGTATAACCTTTATCTCTTAAATGCTTATTAATTTTACCTAACACATTCATGTTTGTATCACACAAGTTATGCTTATGTGTGGTTATTTTCTATGCATTCATTGTTTTAAAGGGACTCCACTGAGGTTTTTTGACATGACGGGACTGGAAATAATTTTTTGGGATTATTACTCCATCTGATGTAGACCTATACTAATAACCTATGTACAAAATTTCAGATCATTAGCTCGCTCTGTTTTTTCAGAATAATTAATAAAATAGTGAAAAATGACCCAAAATTGAAAAGCGTTAAAACGCTTTTCAGTCAAATCGAACTGAGAATAGCACACACATATGATTTTCAATGTATTTCTTAATTATAATTTATTTATATTTCTGTTTTAACTGCTCATGCTAATCTATGTGAAAAATTAAATTTTTATGTTTTTAGGCTTATAAACCTCAGTGGAGTTCCTTTAACCACTATAGATGTTTATATATACATGTATATGTGTAAATATTTAATTTTTGTCTCTTTTGATAAAGTTATGATAAAAAAAACTAAAGTTTATGGAGATCGTATTATTTACGAAATATTTGGAGTGTTAAAGGCATTTTGAATTTTTAATGGATTGTAATGAGCTACAAGCTTATAGACAATTTGAGCTCAATCATAAGCAATTTGAGCTGCTTTGCAATTTGAGATCATGGATAATTTGAGCTCTTGAAAATCAGCTAATTAAAATTTTGAGCTCATTAAAATTCTTAGCTCACTGCTTTTTGAGCTCACAGACAATTAGAGCTTATTGACAATTTGAGTTCATTGACAATTTTAGATAGTTTGAGCTCACATACTTTTTAGACACCATAGACAATTTAAACTCATTGACAATTTCAGAAGATTTTAGCTCACATTCTTTTTACAGGCCATAGATAATTTGGGCTCACTGACAATTTCAGACAATTTGAGCTCACATACATTTTAGAGCCCATAGAAAATTTTCAGCTCATTGACAATTCAGACAATTTGAGCTTGCATACTTTTTAGAGCCCATAGACAATTTAGCAATCTTGAGCTCCTTGACAATTTCAGACATATTGAATTCACATACTTTTAAGAGGCCATAGACAATTTTGGCTCATTTTAGCTCATTTACAATTTCAGACAAGTTGAGCTCACATGCTTTTTAGATCCTATAGACTATTTGGGTCACATACTTTGGATAATTTAAGCTCACATACTTTTAAGAGCCCATCGACAATTTGAGCTCACAAACTTTTTAGAGCCAATAGACAGTTTGAGCTCACACACTTTTCAGAGCCCATAGGCAATTTAAGCTCATCGACAATTTCAGTCAATTTGAGCTCACATACTTTTCAGAGCCCATAGACTGAGCTCACATACTTTTTAGAGCCCAACAACAATCTGACCTCACATGCTTTTTAGAGCCCATAGACTGTTTGAGCTCACATAACTTTAAGAGCCCAACAACAATTTGACCTCACATGCTTTTTAGAGCCCATAGAATATTTGAGCTCACATACTTTGGACAAATTAAGCTCACATACTTTTCAGAGCCCATCAACAATTTGAGCTCACATACCTTTTAGGGCCGATAGACAATTTGATCTCACATACTTTCAGAGCCAATGAACAATGTGAGGTCATACTTTTCAGAGCCCATCCACAATTTAAGCTCACATACTTTTCAGAGCCAATAGACAATTTAAGCTCATACACATAGCACTTGTCAGCTTCTGTTATTCCTGCGCAAATATCCTGTAATGAAACATGGTCACCTCAGGAGATCTCCTACCCTGAATGTATGAACAGAAAGCCTTATGCTTTAACCACTTGACAATAGTTACATTTACATTACAATTTATTGTTACATAATTATTTTTAAGGCAGATGAGCTGAATCCTGGGAAGTGGAAAGAAAATATTTTATTTATAGCAAAGGTACAGTACACTTTATGTTGTATTCATAGGGTTTTTTGGTTTTTTTTTATATAAAGATTGAAATTTATGTTTTGCAATGTTGTTATATAAGAGAGACAGATCTATAACAATGTGGTATAAGGTAATCGTTTTAGTAAATATTTTCAGTATTTAAACCACTTTAACAGCAGAATCTGTCTGAATAGAGATATCAGGAATTACCGTCTCAATCAGTGAGATTATTATAGACATAACAAAATGAACATCAAACAGAATTGTTGTTAATTAGGCTTAATGTAAGTATACATTAGTCATGTCAGGCACAGAGAGTACAGACTCCCTGTATCAGCTGATATATTGTATATGACCATATATATAACTTATATCAAAGGTCCAAAAGCTAAGAAACATTAAATTTGATATTCTTACATAAACAAACTTGGGCAGTTAAAATGGAGAGATATGCAGAAGATGATAAAGATAATTATATACTCAGAATAATATTGAAAATTGTTTTCTTTAGTGCTGATGTTAGTTTGAATTGAGTTAAAAGCATTATTATTCCCTTTTTGTCATTAAATTTAGATTCATTATTTTTCTTTTGGAAAAGGAAAGTGAATGGACAATCTGAAACTTTACTGTCACATAATTGGTCCAAAATAACATCAAATAATTCAAATGGTACCCATATTATAAATATTTCCAGTCCTGTCATGTCAAAAAAACCTGAGTGGAGACTCTTTTAAGTTGCCCTTTTTGGGTAGTAGCTAATGATGCAAATATACTGTCATAAAATATGTGCTAGCATCACTTCAGAACTAGTGAGATTATGACTTCCAGTTTTCAAAGTTTTATAGTTTAGTTGTTAGTAATAGGTCAGTTGCTAAGTTGATCTTTTCTTGACATTTAAAGTCATCCATATTCTTATTTTTGTTTACATAGTTTACTTTCAGCCTCTGAACAATCAGTACCTTGTACTAAACATATTGCTGCTTTCAGTTTGGAATTTTTTAATAGTTGTCTTTATCAAACAAAAATTCTTTTTTTTTCTGGACAACACAAGTACCATACTCTCATTGCTTTGTAATGTCTTTTTCACTATTTATGTATTTATGTCATACATGAAAACTAATGAAAGGGTAGCTTTAGTGTAAGATCAATGAGGCAAACCATTTCATAATTTCAAAAACACATTTAAATGACTGATATATAATGTCTTTATCTATTTTCAGTGTTATATAGAGATGAGACAATATAAGGAGTCAGTAAAATGGTTGATAAAAGGTCAACAGATCCCTACAGTTAGTCAAGATGTTAGTAAATATTTATCATAATTTTAGAATTTCAAGAAAAGCCACACAAAAAAATTGTTTTACCTTTTTAAAGAGTCATCCCAAAAGTCAACTTTTTTCTTCCAGGCTCACCAGGCTTTATACTATTAATACTGCTCAATTTTTGTTTACTTGAAATTTATTTCACTCACAGTTTTCATACTGCAGGACATGTTTATGTTATTAAGATTTGCGTTATGTTATTTAGATTTACATAATGTTATTAAGATTTACACTTTCTTATTAATATTCAAACTATGTTATTAAGATTTACCCTATGTTATTAAGAATTACACCATGTAATTATGATTTACCCTATTTATAGTATTTATTTACCCTTTTCTATTATGATTTATCTGTTATTATAATTTACTCTATGTAATTATGATTTAACCTATGTTGTTAACATTTACCCTATGTTATATGATTTACCTTATGTTATTAAGATTTACTCTATGTCATGTGTGTTATTATGATTTACCCTATCTATTAAGAATTACACTATGTTATTAAGAACAAGCAAATTCGTTGAATTTATATCCCCCGCCGAGTACTGGTTATTATTAACACAACAACTGAAGACATAAGGCTTTATTTATATATTAATCATGGCATAAACTGTAAAATTCTTTGAACTTGAAGCCTTGTACCTTCAAACAAGAAGAGTTTTTAAGTTTTCACTATATACATATAAGGAAAATCTATGACCCCCTGGAGTGGGGCCAATTTTGACCCCAGGGCTAAAATTTGAACAATTTTGGTAGAGGACCTATATGTTATATCATATACCAAATATCAAAGCTCTAGGCCTTGTACTGTCAGACAAGATTTTTTAATTTTGCATTTTTGAAACTTCTTTTCTGGCACCGTGTGACTGATGATTGTGATTGAAAATTACAAAATTTTACTAAGTCAAGGGCAATAACTCTAAAAATACTAAAAATATCCAAACGAAAATACCCAGGTGCACAACTACACATACTGATCAACATTCCTGTAAAGTTTCATGACTCTAGGTAAAATACTTTTTGAGTTACATGCGATCAAGTTAAAAAATTACAAAATTTTACTAAGTCAAGGGCAATAACTCTAAAAAAAACTAAAAATATCCAGACGAAAAAACCCAGGTGCACATATGCACATGCTGATCAACATTCCCATAAAGTTTCGTTGAATTCCAGCCATTAGTTGCAGAGAACTACTCCGGAAACGAAATTCGGACAAAATTTTACTGAGTCAAGGGCAATAACTCTAAAAATGCTAAAAATATCCTGACGAAAATACCCAGGTGCACAACTACACATACTGATCAACATTCCTGTAAAGTTTCATGACTCTAGGTCAAATACTTTTTGAGTTACATGCGACACAAGTTGAAAATTACAAAATTTTACTAAGTCCAGGGCAATAACTCTAAAAATACTAAAAATATCCAGACGAAAATACCCAGGTGCACAACTACACATACTGATCAACATTCCTGTAAAGTTTCATGACTCTAGGTCAAATACTTTTTGAGTTACATGCGACACAAGTTGAAAATTACAAAATTTTACTAAGTCAAGGGCAATGACTCTAAAATTACTAAAAATATCCAGACGAAAATACCCAGGTGCACAACTTCACATGCTGATCAACATTCCCATAAAGTTTCGTTGAATTCCAGCCATTAGTTGCAGAGAACTACTCCGGAAACGAAATTCGGATACAATTTTACTGAGTCAAGGGCAATAACTCTAAAAATACTAAAAATATCCTGACGAAAATACCCAGGTGCACAACTTCACATGCTGATCAACATTCCCATAAACTTTCGTTGAATTCCAGCCATTAGTTGCAGAGAACTACTCCGGAAACGAAATTCGGACGGACGGACGGACGCACAGGACAGTAATTATGTGGCTACTCTATTGTTCTCTCTATTGTTCTTTTTAGCCACGCAAAAGAAAATAGCCACATAAAAGCATTACGGAATGAATGACATCAAAGAGAACCTATTGTCCCTCTAGCCACATAATTACTCTCCTGTGAGTGCGGACGGACGGAAGGACGGACGGACAACGCCAAAACTATATCCCCCTCCCGATTCCATCGGCGGGGGATAATTACTTACACAACTGAATTAAACTTTAATGTCATCATAGCAAACAATAATCAAGGATAAATGTACAAGTTCAAGAGAACTGATACAACATTTGTACATTTGAATGTCTGAATGTTATTAGCTGTTTGTAGCTGTCAGGACAAGGTGGCTTTCCTCTTGAATTCTGCCAGAGACCTGGAACTTTTTCAGGCAAATAAACCTGTCCAGCTAGCTAACATATAGAGAATCAGAGGTTCTATCTAGATGTTAAAGGCACATGAAGCTTCAGAAATGACTACATATTTTCTTCATATTAAAGAGAATTGTGTGCTTTGTAATAAATTAATAAGTGATTTAGACCATGATTTATGTTTATCACATGAAAAAAGTAGTGCTGAATGTGTAATAAATTAGTCATAAAAGCATGGGCATATGCATGCAGCTCAGGTTTTTTGTGACAAATTTCATCATGTTTTACTATTAGATTATGTAGTTCAATAGAAAGCAAAAGCTTTTGAGAAATTACATTTTTGGAGCTTAACAAGCCTTTAAGATAAAGTTTAGTCATTTGTGAATTATGCTTTACTTTGCTGACATCTTTCTCTAACATTACACCTGGAAGTTCTATATGGCCTAGAACTTGATCAGAACAGTTGGAGAAAGTTATAAAGGTATAAATTACAATGCAAAATATATTTTATGACTTATTAGTAGAGTTTTATTACAAAATAGTAAAAAGAAGTGTTTTGGATAATTCAGTGATTGAATGTTTTAAAACTTATATTTTTCAGGACAAAGAAGCAGAAGTAGAAATGGCATCCCTACTAGTGAAATATAAATCCTACTAAATCTTCTAGATAATACTCTACACAAAAGTGCTATATGTTATTAATTGTCTCATTAATTATATTGCTTACTTGTCCTTCAGATTGTTTCTGGTTTATTCTTTGACATTGGTCAAATGGGAGAACAATATGGTTGATGTTGTTTTTTTTTAAGCGGGACACATTTTCATTTGTTCACACATTTTCATTTGTTCATTGATGTATGTATAACTACTACATGTATTTTTACATTTGAAAATAGAGGTTGTTATGTTAGCCAACCCTAATTCTGCTAAATTTGTGATATGGATTTGTCCAACTTTAAATTTGGAACTGTCCCTTCTTATTTTGAAGAGTTTAAATATAACAAAAACATTGAATGAGTGTAGGTTCAATACTGAATTTATTGTACAAGCTTAATTAAATTATATTATGCGAGCCTCTGGCCTGAGTTCAATAAATTCAGTAATGAATCTACACAAATGTAATATTATTTTTATCACATACCTGAAATAAAGACTGTTTAAAATGCAAAAGAATACATTTTTTATTGACGCACTTATAGTGTAATGCTAACATTTAGAGCATCTTTAGACTATGTTTGTATAGCGCATTAATGATGTCTATCAAAATATTTGCATGGCCATGCAATACCATTTTTACGGAGTCGCAAAATCAGTTTGGGATTGTCTTAGACCTGTCCAGCTTCCATTTTGGACCCGTCCATCAGCAATTTTTGGGAGTATCAATATAAAAATTTTGAACTTGGTCAGTCAACATTTTATAGTCTGGTCAGAAAGCATGGTGGCCCAGGCTGGCCTGGCTATATACTGGTAACCAAGGCTAATCACTTTCAGTTCAAGCAGTGTAAAGGTTAAGAGTTTTTTTATACCACTCAGTATTGATTTAGAGTTTCTATTTTCATATATTACTGTTCTATGTTTATCTATAAATGCGGTTGTTATTTTACTGGTATTGTTAGGTATATTTTCTGTGAATTTATACCATGTACGTGTATAATTGTATTTATTTAGAAGATCAAAGGAAAAGAAGATATTTTGTTGAGATATTTTTTATGAAAATCAAAACTTGTGCCATAGAGTTCAGTTTTATACCAAAGAACGTATGCCCTGTAAGTTATAAGGGAGAAAAAAAGCATTTATTATCTGAATATTTTAGGATTAAAAAGTGTCATAGATCTACTTATTCTGCCATTTTTGACAAGGTTTATAATGATGTTATATTTTGTACACACATTGACAATGTCAATCAAATAAATGCCATTGCATGTATTTCACAATGTTTGGTTTCTTTATCATTCTGTTGAAATGTTCTTATTGCATAAATTGGGTCAAATGTTTTAAATCAGTATTTTTGTTACAAAAGTTGTCATCACAATTTTTGTGTCGCCTCTACGGAGTAGTGGCGACATATAGGGATCACTTCTCCGTCGTCTGTCTGTCCGTCTGTCTGTCTGTCTGCACTACCGAATAAGGATAGGGGGCCATCTAACTGTAAACAGAACAAAAGAGAACAATAGAATTCATTCCGTAACAACAGAGTAAGGGGCCATTGGCCCTCTATTAAACAATAGAAAATAACAAAAGAAATGGCCCCTTATTCCATTTCGGCCGGACGTCCGTCTGTCCGTCACAAAACTTGTCCGGATTACTCCTCATAAACTATTGGTGCAATTTCATCCAAACTTTACAGGAATGATCAGTACCAAGTCTAGTTGTGCATATTGTCAGCATTTTCAGGTTCAATGATTTTTGTCAGAGTTATGGCCCTTTAATAATTTTTATTTTTAAAGTTTGTCCGGACTACTTCTCTTATACCCCTAATGCAATTTCAATGAAACTTTACAGGATTGATCTGTAGCTCAAGTCCTTGCGCATATTGCACACTGGTTTTCCGGTTGAATGATTTTTGGCCGAGTTATGGCCCTTTGATAAAACAGGTGTTTTTTTCTGTGTGTTGCCAGATACACAAAAGCTTGTCCGGACCACTCCTCATAAACTACTGGTGCAATTTCATCCAATCTTTACAGGAATGATCAGTACCAAGTCTAGTTGTGAATATTGTCAGAATTTTGCCAGATACACAAAAGTTTGTCCCCACTACTCCTCATAAACTACTGGTGCAATTGCATCCAAACTTTACAGGAATGATTAGTACCAAGTCTAGTTGTGCACTGTCCGTCTGTCTGTCCGTCTGTCACAAAACTTGTCCCAACATGAAATTGGCCATCATGAGGCGACACATGTGATCACTGATCGCTCTTGTGTTGCATTTATTTTAACATTAAGCTTAGGTGAGTATGATAGATTGATGGTTATTTTTTATAATCTTTTTAGCTCGACTATTCGATAAGAATAAGTAGAGCTATTGTAGTCACCCGAGCGTCGGCGTCGGCGTTGGTGTCCGCGTCGGCGTAACCACTTATGTTAAAGTTTTTGTAATAGTTCAAATATTTTCAAAGTCCATTGACATATGGCTTTGAAACTTGGCACACTTGTTCACCATCATGACCCCTACCTGTAGACAGGAGGAGATAACTGTATCAAGCATTTTGACAGAATTATGCCCCTTTTTTCGACTTAGAATTTACGTTAAAGTTTTTGTAATAGTTCAAATATTTTCAAAGTCCATTGACATATGGCTTTGAAACTTGGCACACTTGTTCACCATCATGACCCCAACCTGTAGACAGGAGGAGGTTACTGTATCAAGCATTTTGACAGAATTATGCCCCTTTTTCAACTTAGAATTTACGTTAAAGTTTTTGTAATAGTTCAAATATTTTCAAAGTCCATTGACATATGGCTTTGAAACTTTGCACACTTGTTCACCATCATGACCCCAACCTGTAGACAGGAGGAGGTAACTGTATCAAGCATTTTGACAGAATTATGCCCCTTTTTCGACTTAGAATTTACGTTAAAGTTTTTGTAATAGTTCAAATATTTTCAAAGTCCATTGACATATGGCTTTGAAACTTTGCACACTTGTTCACCATCATGACCCCAACCTGTAGACAGGAGGAGGTAACTGTATCAAAAATTTTGACAGAATTATGCCCCTTTTTCGACTTAGAATTTACTTTTAAGTTTTTGTAATAGTTCAAATATTTTCAAAGTCCATTGACATATGGATTTGAAACTTTGCACACTTGTTTACCATCATGACCCCAACCTGTAAACAGGAGGAGGTAACTGTATCAAGCATTTTGACAGAATTATGCCCCTTTTTCGACTTAGAATTTACGTTAAAGTTTTTGTAATAGTTCAAATATTTTCAAAGTCCATTGACATATGGCTTTGAAACTTTGCACACTTGTTCACCATCATTACCCCAACCTGTAAACAGGAGGAGGTAATTGTATCAAGCATTTTTTTTTACTATCAAGCACTAAGAATAGTCGAGCGTTGCTGTCCTACCGACAGCTCTTGTTTCTTTTACAGACATAATATTATAATCTGATAACATTTATTTTGTTATCTTGAGTGGGAGTTACCATATGCCTATCTGTTAATGATAATAGGCATATATAGGTATATAGAGTGATAGGAGAGGTTATGGCAACTTTTCATTCTAGTAGCAGATATTATCATTGGTGTTTCACTGAACCAGCCTTATGTTAAATTGTTGTTAATCATAACTACTCTAAATATCAGGGACCAAAACCATTATTCATTCTAATAGTGCAATTAAAATACTTCTTTTTTTATTACATTTTCACAAATGATACTTATATAACATGTAATATGATGTTCAAAAACTTCTACCTTTCAATCTAAATTATACATAGTCATAAATTATACTTTATATTTTTCATAATCATATTTAACAGCTTATCATTAGAATAACAAACAGGTAAAAATAACCAATGAATTATTTGAAAATCAAACCATTACAGTCATTTGAATCTATTGTTTTAGTGGGCTGAAAAGAAATACATGTTAAGTTTGTTTTGTTGATCAAATGAAAGATTAAAGGAAAGCATATGAAGTTCTTCTATTAATTAACACCAAGTCTTTTTTGTATAAAATGTTGATGAATAGTTATAATGTCATGATGAAAGTTAGAATATTCCAACTGGTTCACCATTGTCTTGGCTTCATATAAGTACATGTAAAGTTTGACATAGAGTTTGTGATTAAAACATGTACATGTATATACATGTATGTATGTTGGGCTGTGTATGATACTACCTCTTTGTTGTATGAATATTATTAAGTTTATACCAGATTTTCAGATTTATACCTTGTTTACAACACTACAAGTTGTCTTCTGATTTTATATTGTATATGTATAACCAGTATACCATCACAATGTTATACCATGCCTGTCTGTTGCTTATTATTAACCCTACCTTTCTAAATATTAGTAACAGACTTGTAATGATTTGAAATTTGAACAGTCCCAATAGTTATTTTTAGGTTTTTTTTAATCAAAATGTTAAATTGAACTGGCACTAGTATTAGTTCTAAGTCTAACACAGATATGAGACGCGTCAATTGACAAAACCAACATAATGTGGGTGCGACCAGCATGGATCCAGACCAGCCTGCGCATCTGCGCAGTCTGGTCAGGATCCATGCTGTTCGCTTACAAAACCTGTAACAGGTAGAGAAACTGATAGCGAACAGCATGGATCCTGATCAGACTGCGCGGATGCGCAGGCTGGTCTGGATCCATGCTGATGGCAAACGTTCTATGTTGGTTTTGTCATGACACGGCAGATATGTGGCTAGCCTATGCTGGTAAAGATTTTTAATGTCATTGTGAGCTCTTATGGGTTAATTTTCCATCATTGTTATTAAGTGTGGTGGTCCGTGTTCGCAATATGTTGTTCAATTGATAAACAAATTTGTTTACTTAGTCAAATTTTAATTCTTGTAATTTAATGGCATGGTCTATTCTTGTTCTGAAGTGTCTTTTTTTGTTTGTTAAATGCCCATTATGCCCCAGAAATGCTTTTATTTTATCTTTAAAAAGGTTTTCAATTTTGGTGCCCTGTTACAGTTTCAAAAAAGATACTTATTGGTCAATGACATGAACTATTTTTGCTTTTTTTGCTTTTTCTTGATGTAAGCATCTAACATGCTTTAAACAATTATTTAAACATAATAAATATGTTTGCCCTTTCCAAAGAACCAAAATTATATTTGTTTCTGTAAATTAATGGATTTCAGCTGGCAGCTATGGAAACTACCCTTTTGAGGAATGCAGGATAAGGTCAGCTACACATTTGTGCAGTGTTTGCTATTCAGGTAGTATTTATTTTAAAATTTTCCTTAAAATGATGACTGGTTTAGTCCAGATTGAAAGACGGTCAGGTGCACATAAGATATTTAGTGGGGTAAGGTTTAACATTCAAATATTAAGGAACAGACAGGATAGAGTGTTCATTAGTATGCTAATTTCACAGGTAAATCATTATCCCCAAAGATTTTAATGTAGAGACTAGTTCATAAGGACACAATCTGGAAATTAATGTAGAACTAAAATAATGAGTGTTCAGTAGCGAATGTGCATGTGACAGTAATAAGGTTGTATGTTTCATTGTTTAAATAGGTTGTTTTGTTTGTTAGATAGCAAATTGTGATGAAATTATCTGATTAACTAATAATGTTAAAGTAGTACCAAAAGAGTAGTATCACATGTATATAATTGACATTAAAAAAATGCTCAATTTATTGTAAAGCCTTTGACTTACAATGTATTGAATTGGTCAATTTTGTATTGTTGTGGAATATCCAAAGAATATTTATTTATTGTATAAACAGTTATTAGTAATTATATTGTATGTTGAAGTAACCTGTTAACTAGTGTTACTTTAACAACATACACCTTACAGTAATATACATTCATTATGAATCATACTCGAGACAGGAAAAAAATTACTCCTTATTCCTTTCATTTTTTTTAGTGAAAAAAAGGTGAACATTCATTGTCAGCAAATTTTGATGAAATAAATTGTATTTGTAGTTTATTGATATTAAATCCAAAAGACCAGATGTAATGCTCTTGTGATTGTTCTATTGGCATAATGGACAAGCACAATTTGTCTAGAATGTAAAAATCTCAATGCAATGTCATCATAGTGTATAGCGCTACAGTTTATTTAGAAATCCACTATTGAAGCTCATGTACATTTTAATTTTTAGCTCGACTATTCGAAGAATATGAGAGCTATTGTAGTCGCCCCGGCGTCGGCGTCAGCATCCGCGTCGGCGTCTGCGTTGGTTAAAGTTTTTTGTAAAATCAAATATCTCAATTATTACTTGAGATATTCAATTGAAACTTACAATACTTATTTATAGTAACAAGGTACATCAGATTGACAAGTTGGATAACTCTGCCTACAATATTGACAGAATTATGCCCCTTTTTAACTTAGAAATTTTGGTTTAAGTTTTTTGTAAAGTCAAATATCTCAATGATTGCTTGAGATATTCAATTGAAACTTACAATACTTATTTATAGTAACAAGGTACATCAGATTGACAAGTTGGATAACTCTGACTACAATATTGACAGAATTATGCCCCTTTTTAACTTAGAAATTTTGGTTAAAGTTTTTTGTAAAGTCAAATATCTCAATTATTGCTTGAGATATTCAATTGAAATTTAAAATACTTTTTTATAGTAACAATGTACATCAGTTTGCAAAATTGCATAACTCTGCCTAAAATATTTGCAGAATTATTTGCCCCTTTGAAACTTAGAAATTTTGGTTAAAGATTAAAGGTCTTTAAAGATATTTACTTGAAACTTTACATGCACTTAGGGTCATAATTGGAGGGTCATGATTGTATGTCACTGACCAAGTTCCATAACTCTATCTTGCATTAAGGCTGATTCATATCCCCTTTTCTACTTAGTCTCTTGGTTAATGTTTACATGCAAGTTTTACATATCTCAATAACTATTAAAGATATTTATTTAAAACTTCACATATGCATTTAGGGTCATAATTGTTGGTCACTGACAAAGATCCATAATTCTATCTTGCATTTAGGCTGATTTTTCTCCCCTTTTTCAACTTAGAAATTCATGGTAAAGTTTTGCTTGTAAGCTGTTATCTCAATAACTTCTGAAGGGTTTGTGCCTTTTTTGGGACAATTTTATGCATTCATAATAATAAAGCAGTGATTTACTTGATAAAACATCTTAATAACAAGCCTTTGTACCTTTTCTGTCAATTTATTTATTCATAGGTAATTAGTATTATTATACTCAATAAAACACCCTTGTGACATTACTGTATAATTAGACTCTCTCTTAGGCCTATAACATGAATTTATAAAAAAAAATTAGCCCTTTTGTGAACTTTTAACATTATCAAGGCTCTTTTACTATCAAGCACTTAGAATAGTCGAGCGTGCTGTCCTACCGACAGCTCTTGTTATATAAAGTAATAAAATGTATGTTAGAGATGTATTGACTGGCATATTTGGTTTTCTAAACCAATTGTGTTAAAATATCTTTTACATGTATGTTGATCTTTTTATCTAATAAATCAATATGATCAAAGTTGATTCTACAGTCATTTTTCAGACATGAGAATTGTTATTTATATCTGATAAAACTCTGCAAAGTAAATTATTTGAAAATATCAACCTCGTTGTTTTATTTCTTTTACTAATACTGGAAAAAAGTGGTTGATTCATGTTACATGTTAAGTAAACAGGAAAACATTCAGTAGTTTTGAAAACTTCTGTTGCACACACAATTTTAACCAGACAATTTGTAAGTGCAAAGGGCCATAACTCAGTCAGAATACATGCTAGAGTCACGGGCTTTAAAAAATGACCTCCAATTAATAAATATCAGAGACATGTGAGAAGTTTCAAGCAAATATCGTAAGTGGCTGATGTGATACAAAGTTGAACAAGAATTTGCAAGTAAAATTTTGGTTAAAATGTTACAATGATACCAATGCCCTGGATAAGTAGAATAACTGAATAGTCAAGCTAAAAAATGCATCTTGGTAAGGAATGTAATGTAGAGACCTTGGAATAATGCTCCAAATCTCTACCCTGTAACCCTGAAACTTTCCCCATTACTATTAATCATTTGTTAACTCTGACACTCCCCTCCCATGTTTCAATTATGTCAGCACATTATGTATGGGTACAAAGCAAAGTGTAAAATAGACACGGAGCTGTAATCTAACATGGTCCTCTTCATTTTTCAAATTAAGTTAATTGCCTTCTTGACTTGAGTTTCTTGACTTATTTTAACAAAAATAACCAACAATACTTTCAGTAAACACTGTTTTATTGTTTTGTTTGTTTGTTCATCATCATTTTACAGTTTAAAAGAAATCTAAAGTAACATGAATTCATATGCAATAAAGAATCTTAACCCTATTATCAACAGCACTTCATGCTACTGGCAAATGATATTGGACATAGCTATTTCTCTATATAATAAACAGTATATAACAGTGGTCCATTCTTAGAAATGTATAGATGTGCAAATGTTTAATAAATAGGATGAACAAAAGATGTTATCATGATACAATGTAAATGGTGATATAATGTAGAAAGATAAAATGATTATATATAGTATAACAATGCATTAAATATGTATATACACAAGAAAAAAAATTTGCATTCTCAATGATAGAAATACATTTAACTTTCATTTCTAAAATTTCAACATAATCTAATAAAACAAATATTCCTAAGACTAGCAATTGTGTCTAGAATAAATTTATGTCAAGACTTGGCATTAAGCTTAAACAAAAATATATAAAATACATATAATTATCTCTTCAAAAAAAACGAACAATAATAACAACTGAAGAGGATGTATTATTATATACAAAGTATAATATTCAGCTGTAGAAATACATACATGTACACCCAGATCAATTTTGCATATTCAAACACCTTGTATCACTTGAGTCGTGACTTATGTCCATTTATGTTATATCCATACACATGCACTTAAATAAATAATTCTTTCATATTTTTTCACATTTTTTTTTTTAAAATAGATTTTACAAAAGAAAAAAGAGAGGAAAGGTACATTAGAGTGTTGATCACTCTCCTTGACTGCAGGATTGTGGAAATACAACTTTTAACAATTAAAACAAGCAATACAACCTTCCAGAATAGCACACTCGTGAAATAGTCCCTATGTATCAAACTTATGTGTTTACCAATGTTTTCACAAAGAATCTAGAATTATTTTTCCAATCAAATTCTCAGTAAATCAAAATATAAGACTTCAGGATGCTAATAAAAAATGCTGGCAGACTTCATTTAATATTCTATCACTCCACGTGATTTTGTCACTATAGACAAAGAAGGAAAAAAAACAGTGTTAAACTGCCAATAAACACTGGTTAGGGACTACTTGTATATGCGGCTTTTATGTTTTCACCCTCGATTATATAGTTTACAAAGCCTTTTAAAGCAACAATAAAAAACATTTTTATTTATATTTTCAGTTCTTATAATGTTTTCTTTTCATACAATATCGAAATAATATCTCACATACACTAACGCCACATATATGATCCATATCAGTTAATAAATATTTTGACAAAACGGCGCCAATCCGTAAGCAGCGTAATGACGTCATCGTAAGTAAACAACTCATTCATAAACAAGCTGACGTTATTTCATACATACAAGAATGATAAATTGGGCACTGATGTAAACACAATACGACGTAAGTTTTTATTGTTGAAAACTTGATAAAATAACATTTATTTTTCTCATTATATATTTTGTTTAATAATTTCTATATCTTTGCAATAGTAGGGTGCGAAAATCGAACAGCGTTTTACGAAAATCGGCACCGGAAGTTATTTCCGCTTGAAAAAATAACATTAGTGATCTTCTTATTTTATCGTGATAGAATCGAAATAACATCGGCCTGAGAGGTGTATATCGGCTATTTAACATCGGTTTTGTCGTTTTGATGCGAAAAAATTAACCACTCAGGCCTACGGCCTTCGTGGTCAATTCCTACGCATCAAAACTCCAAACCGGTGTTAAATAGCCGATATACACCTCTCAGGCCGATGTTATTTCTTAAACAAATCTCACATATATAAACAAGTATTAAAATATCTCTAAAATAACCAATGGCCTTTTTACAATTTTTGTTGTTTTAAATATCTTTTTCAAGGCCAGCATTATTAAATTTAGACATCAATGTAAGAGAATCAGAAAAAATAAGAATAGATACAACATAGCCCTATGTAATACTAACCAGAGTTTTTCAGCAAAACAGGTTAACATGATCAACTATTAAAAAAAACCTTTATCATTTGGGTTTTATTCTTACCAAGTAACATTTAGATCAAGATATTTTATGACCAATAATCATTTTCTTAAATCTACTTAATAACACTAACATTTGAATTTGTATTTCATAAACATAATCATTACTGAAAAGTTTTAATAAAGTTGTGTTAATTTTGCAGTAAATTGAATCTGTTTAAATAGGCTCCCATCTTATGTATTTACAGCCTAGAGTATAAATAATATAATTATGATTTACTTTCATCTATGTGGTTATTCAAGTAGTATATATTTACTACACTGTCATGATTAAAGGTTATTTTCATTGATTAATTGTGAACTTCCTTCTTTTTTTTTCAATTTCTTCTAATATTGCAAACACAGTTCCAAATACGGTAGCAGAAGACCTTCATTTCCTAGTACAGTAAACTGAAAGTAAACTTTATTCAAACCACAGCTTTAATTGAATGGAGTAGAAAATTCTAACAAACCATATATAAAATGCTGTATTAATCTTGTCACATATAAAGCTGTATTGTATTTAACAGTGCAGTGATCAATAATTTGAAGCTGAGCAAAAAATGCCTGTACAAAAAGGACATCTCATGATGATCTACTTCACAAAAAATCTTGTAGCTTTACTATTTATTTCCAGATTTTGAAAATTTTAAGTTTATTTTGGAAAGGAATACTTCTTTAATACAAATATGTATTTTATTTGACAAAATATGGCCTTTCCGTCAACACTAACAATGAAGCCTGGTTCAAACTGCCTGCTACTGAGTGTTACTTAATTACTGTTATTGTGAGTACTAAAATATCCTGCAAGCATTATCATTATATTACACAACAGTTTCCGGTTATAAAGTAGCTCCTTCGTAATCTTTTCTCCAGTTTAACACTCAAACTTGACCATTTTGGGACACATTTTTGCTAAATTTTATCCATGGACTTAAATTATTGACCTTAGGTGAGTTCACAGTTTTAATGTATACATTCAACAGTCAATGCACTCTATGTAGTCACAAAAGCTCACATTCAAACACTTTATTTTTCAGGTATGCTAAAGAAAGAGAAAATCTACTTTCCATGCTTAAAAATTTTCAAAACTAGCAAACAATATAATATATTCAACAGAATAGAAACAAACAAGGGTAAAAATCTAAATATATATATATAGGAAAAATAATGTGCAAATGTACAAAAACATTATGAAAATGGGGCATGTATCAACTGTAGGCTGCTTTTCAATTTTAAAGTTTGCCCACTGAAACATTTCTATACAATGTAAAGGGCCTTTGAAAATTTCTCCTAACAAATCATTATTCCATTACAGCCCTTGTCTAAAAAAAAGAAATATAACATGAATTATCTTCTCTATTCTTCTGCCAGTATCAATGTGGTACAATGCTATCAAAAACCAGACTTTTAGGTAGGGAGGAATAAATATCTACACCACTATATGGATAATAAAGAAAAAAGCTTATTTATTGCTTCTCTTTTGAAGTTTCTAAAATCAGTTGCATAGTAACATAATTATTTTGAAAAGAAAATAATATTAAAACAAATATGAGGAAATTGTTACAAAACCAGTTTTTTCTTAATGCCAATATTAAAATATAGAGGGATGAACAAAGAAGAGTAAAAATTCTGCCAAAAATGATGAAATCACAAAATCCATGTAATTTTTACACAGGGAAGTGTTATCATACCGTAAGTTTGAATTAAATCCAATAGGAAATGTAGACAAAATTACACATGAAAGAAATTGTTTAAAGGACCATTATGTCCAAAAATGGTTGGATTTTATTTCTCAAAAGATTTTTTACTTTTGTTGTCATATTATAGTTTCCAAAAAATTACTCATTGGTTAATTACCTCTATCACTTATTGGCTAATTACCTAATCATATTTTGCTTCTGTTGTACTTAAGCAATTAGTACAGTTTTAAAGTCTTTTGTATTGATGTCAAAATACTACTTTGTTTACATTTTAGTACTTTTATGACAAATAACTCATAATTCAGCATAAACTTCTTCAGATAATAAGCACCAAGCATATACTTACCCTATCAGTAAAATATTATAACTCATATATATTATAATATTTGGCATCTTTATGAAGGAATATTTTTTTTCGTTTTTAAGGCATAATGTGCTGTTCAGGCCATTAGTGCACCTACATTCACCAATATTGTAACCAGTTTTCTCTCAGAAGACCAGTTTCAAAGATTTAAAATATCAATTATGTACAGGAAAACACTACCCTATATAGGACAGATATTTCCTCATCAAACCAATTAACCCAATATACATATACGGCAGTTCATTACAGAAATACAGAAAATAGTAATGTCTGAACACAAGAAACAGTAATCATGAACACAACTTTAACATATTATTAACAACTGCAAATAATCCTTTCAACTGTAAATAATCCCTAAAACATAATTTGTTAAGAGTATTTTTGAAAGAAAAACATTAATTTTTGAAACCTATTTTTCTTTTTACTACTACTTCAACACTTGTATAAGCAATGTTTATCACATATTTGACAGTAAAATATCCACAAAGTTTGCCTTATACATGTATAGTTAGTATTTTCATTTTAAATTTCAACAAAAAGACACAGACGGTTGATCTATATTAATCTCCTCTCAGATTTAGCACAGTATACACTGACTTTAGTGTTAGGAAGGGCAGTCTCAAGTTTGCTCTTCAACTGGTCTACACTCGTGTACTGGACTGCTGAATTTTTAACACTGTCACTCGGGTTTGCATTTAGTAAAGTCTGAAACGGGATCCACTGTTGTTTTCCCTCGGGACAGTTGTCTGAACTGGAGTTACTGTTATCATCAAGGATAATTGATGAGTCACTACTTTGTGCAATAATCCATTCTAACGTCTTTAAATCCTTCAGACTCTCAACAGCTCGACAAGTGTTTGTATTTACTTCACCCATCTATATTACAATACAAAATATAAAACATTAATTTTGTGCTTTGTTTTTAAAGTGTATATAAAGCAATACATGTATCTTTGCTGTCTGCAGTTTACAATATTTTTGTTTGATTTTGAGAAGTGAAAATTCCAAAATGTCTGTATAACAGAATTATGTTTGTATATTTTCTTTTCAAGCCAATAGCACTTACATGAAATCGTTGATAAACAGTTATATACAGTTAAAATCCTACTTAAACAAGAGCTGTCAGAAGGACAGCGCGCTCGACTTTTTTAGTGCTTGCCTATAAAACAAAACTTTGACAGTTAAGGGCACACAAGACTTTAACTAGGAATTTCTAAGTACAAATCAAGAAACATTTTCACAGAGTTATCTTCTCTTGCTTACAGATAGGTCTCATGATGGCACATAAGAACTCCAACTTCCAAAGTAATATCTCAAATGGTTAAGTCAACAAGTGGACAAGAATGAAAATCTTAACTGAGTTTCTAAGTCAAAAAGGGCCATAATTCAAATAAAATCCTTAACAGAATTACCTTCTCCTGCCCATGTTTTGGGACCATGATGGTAAACAAGTATTCCAACTTTCAAATTAATATCTCAAACAGTTCAGTCAAAAAGTGGACTGGTACTAAAAACTTAACCAAGATTCTAAGTCGATAAAAGGCCTTAATTTTTAAAACAAATCCTTGACAGAGTTACCTTCTCTTGCGTACAGATGGGGGTAATGATGTGAAATAGCATTAAAAGTTTCAAAGCAATATCTCAAAGGGTTAAGGCAATAAGTGGATTTTACCCATATTCAATGTATTTTCTAAGTCAAAAAGGGGCATAATTCTGTCAAAAACCTTGACAGAGTTATGTCCTCTTGTCTGTTGATGAAGGTCGTGATGGTAAACAAGTATGGTCAGTTTCAAAGCAATACCTCCAATGGTTTGAAATAAAGTGAGGTGGTACAAAAAACTTAACCAAGCTCAATACACTTTCTAAGTCAAAAAAGGGCCATAATTCTGTCAAAAACCTTGACAGAGTTATGTACTCTTGTCTGTAGATGGAGGTTATGATGGTGAACAAGTATGGTAAGTTTCAAAGCCATACTTGTAATACTTCTGAAATAAAGTGGGGTGGTACGAAAAACTTAACCAAGGTGTGACGCCAACGCTAACGCCGACGCCGACGCCGACGCCGACGCCGGGGCGAGTAGGATAGCTCCCCTTTTCATAGAAAAGTCGAGCTAAAAACGCAGCATAATAATTTGTTGAGGAATAGAACAATTTTTTTCTGTTTACATACAATAATTATGTGTGTAAAATAACAGAGACATTCTATGATACAACTCTCAAAATTTGGAAACAACATAATTTTAAAGTTTTTTAATTTTATTTTTTTTTAAATTTTTTTTTATCAGATACAAATTAAAGCCTTTTCAAGATAGTTTGTTTGTTAATAGGGTTTTACCTCACACCAACAACATTCCAGCTTTACTGCTTGAGGAAGACCTCATGTGCCCTTCCATGCATTATTTCAGGCACAACGGGCACCTGAGTAGAACCACCAACATTCCATAAGCTAGCTGGATAGCTTCCTCACATGAAAGAATCCAAAGACCCTGTCGGGATTCGAACCCACAGTGGTGAGGGGCAAGTGGTTTGAAGTCAACGACCTTAACCACTCGGCCACAGACGCCCCTTTTAAAGATAGAATAAGTTACAGTTACTATCATTTGACACAACTATAGTAAATTTTACCTCTTATACTTGAAACTAAAACATTATTTGATTTTTTACAGTGAAATTTTCAGTAAAGCACTAAATTCAAACCCTCAAATATTGTACAAGTAAAATGTATTCATCTATGTGAACTCAATTTTATATATCATATTCCACCTTTAAATCAGCTTTTCTTTACCATATTCATGAACATAAATATAAATATTTGATTATGCATCTCAATCCCAAAGTTATTGTAGTAATACTTACAAAGTTCAAGTTGAGAGGAAATATACATAGATGTCTAAGTTTGTGAAGTTCTCCAATATGATTACCAAATGTGTAAGCTACTGTGTACTTTATCAGCTCTAATCTCTCCAGTCTGTAGAAAAACATAAAGCACAGATGATTCATAGAACATAATACACTGCAGATGATTCATAGAATATTATAAAGTACAGATGATTCATAGAATAGAATAAAGTACAGATGATTCATAGAATAGAATAAAGTACAATGATTTATAGAATAGAATAAATTACAGGTGATTAAAAGAATAAAGTACAGACGTTTCATAGAAAAGTAGAGATGATTCATAGAATAGAATAAATTACAGATGATACATAGAAAAGAATAAAGTACAGATGATTCATAGAATATAGTTAAGTACAGATGTTTCATAGAATAAAGTACAGATGTTTCATAGAATAAAGTACAGATGTTTCATAGAATAGACTTGAGTACAGATGTTTCATAGAATAGAATAAAGTTCAGATGTTTCATAGGATAGATTAAATTACAGATGATTCATAGAATAGAATAAACTAGAACAATCACTAAATGTGATTAATACCCCCACAAGTCTGCTTCGGAAATGAGGATGTTACTAGTAACAGAATACCTTGTAAAAGAATTGAAACATAGAGTTATGGTTGTGGGCAATTAAAGATAATTGTGGTTCATGTATGTTGCATTTCCTTTCAATGTGGTTGGCCATTGATGAAGTTTAATTGAATTACTCTGTAATAAGTCCAGAAAGACAAAGAAAAAGAACAAAGGGCAATAACTCTATAAATACTGAAGATAGAGTTATAGTTCTTGTGCACTGCACTTCCTCTTATTGTGCTTGACCATTGTATGAAGTTGTTTTGAATTCCAACCAGTACGTTTTAAGTTATGCTCCGGACAAGGAAAAGTATCAAAGGGCAGTAACTCTGTATTTTGTCAAAATGGAGTTATGGCTCTTGTGCACTGCACTTCCTTTGAATGTCCTTGACAACTGTATGAAGTTGTACTGAATTCCAAACAGTAGTTTTCAAGTTATGCTCTGGACAAGGAAAAGTAACAAAGGGCAATAACTCTGTAATTAGTCAAGATGGAGTTATGGTTCTTGTGCACTGCACTTCCCCTTATTGTGCTTGACCATTGTATGAAGTTGTTTTGAATTCCAACCAGTAGTTTCCAAGTCATGCTCTGGACAAGGAAAAGTAACAAAGGGCAGTAACTCTGTAATTAGTCAAGGTGGAGTTATGGTTCTTATGCACTGCACTTCCTCTCAATGTGCTTGACCATTGTATGAAGTTATAATGAATTCCAACAATAAGTCTTCAAGTTATGGTCCGGACAAAAGAAAGCAATGGAAAGTAACAAAGGGCAATAACTCTGTAATTAGTCAAGATGGAGTTATGGTTCTTGTGCACTGCACTTCCCCTTATTGTGCTTGACCATTGTATGAAGTTGTTTTGAATTCCAACCAGTAGTTTTAAAGTCATGCTCTGGACAAGGAAAAGACACAAAGGGCAGTAACTCTGTAATAAGTCAAAATGGAGTTATGGTTCTTGTGCACTGCACTTCCTCTCAATGTGCTGGACCATTGTATGAAGTTATAATGAATTCCAACAATTAGTCTTCAAGTTATGGTCCAGACAAAAGAAAGCAATGGAAAAGTAATAAAGGGCAATAACTCTGTAATTACTTTAAATAGAGTTATGGTTCTTATGCACTGCACTTCCTCTCAATGTGCTTGACCATTGTATGTAGTTATATTGAATTCCAACCATTAGTCTTCAAGTAATGCTCCGGACAAAAAAAGAAGGCAATTGAAAAGCAACAAAGGGCAATAACTCTGTAATTACTTTAGATAGAGTTATGGTTCTTGTGCACTGCACTTCCCCTTATTGTGTTTGACAAATGTATGAAGTTGTTTTGAATTCCAACCAGTAGTTTTCAAGTTATGCCATGGACAAGGAAAAGTAACAAAGGGCAATAACTCTGTAATTAGTCAAGATAGAGTTATGTTTCTTACGCACTGCACTTCCTCTCAATGTGCTTGATCATTGTATGTAGTTATATTGAATTCCAACCATTAGTCTTCAAGTTATGCTCCGGACAAGGAAAATGCAACGGACAAAAAAAAAAGCAATGGAAAAGTAACAAAGGGCAATAACTCTGTAATTACTTTAGATAGAGTTATGGTTCTTGTGCACTGCACTTCCCCTTATTGTGTTTGACAATTGTATGAAGTTGTTTTGAATTCCAACCAGTAGTTTTCAAGTTATGCCCTGGACAAGGAAAAGTAACAGAGGGCAATAACTCTGTAATTAGTCAAGATAGAGTTATGGTTCTTGTGCACTGCACTTCCTCTCAATGTGCTTGACCATTGTATGTAGTTATATTGAATTCCAACCATTAGTTTTCAAGTTATGCTCCGGACAAGGAAAATGCAACGGACGTCTGGACCGACCGACCGACCGCCCGACCAACCGACCGACCGACTGACCACCGGGTGACTCCTATATACCCCCCCAAACTTCGTTTTTGGGGGTATAATTACAGATGTTTCACAGTATAGAATAAAGTACAGATGATTCATAGAATGCAATAAATTCAGATGTTTCATAGAATAGAATAAAGTACATATGTTTCATAGAAAACAATAAAGTACAGATGATTCATAGAATAGAATAAAGTAAAAATGTTTCATAGAATATAATATTTCTTGTGTCTAAAAAAAACCTTGCCTCGACTATATAACACTGCCTAAAATGCCTAAATCAATCTATTCTTGAACATCGAACTAATTATGGTAATTACAAATGAACATTATTGTTCTCAATATATCCCACTTAATATGTTATATAATTTCACAAACTCAACTATTGTTTAAAAGCTTATAAAAATTTCTTAACGTTACAACTTTACCCTATGACTGAATTTCTTAACCAATTACTAGTATTGAATGACAGATATTCAAGCTTACTCTGTGAGATGTGACAATGCCAGTCCGAGACCTATGTCAGGTATATCTCCTCCATTCTCTAGTCGTAATCTCTCCACAGATGTTAACTTCTCAAGATGTGCATATGTCTGAAAAATACACAATTTTCCCCAAAATGATGATGATAATAATACAAAGAACAAAATTTGATGTGTGTAAGTAATAATGTGTCTTAATTTTCTTTTAATAACAAAGAATATCTGTAAGACGAATGGCTGCTTCTCCAAACCACTTTGGAACAGCTGAAACATCTATGAAAAATAGAAATGTATATACCCCCCCCCATACCCAAGGCAAATCTTTATGTCCAGTAGGGCAAATCTATATAATCGCCAGGAGTGGGGGCATAAAAAAGTAGAAAAAATCAATTTCATAGCCCTACTGACCAAGCATCCTTAAACCCAAACTTAAATGAATAGATAGAGATCTATGTCAGGCACATGTACTTTTTTGATAAACTTAATTTTAACAGCGGGCTTGATGGCCGTTCCAACTCAATCAGGGGGTGAAGGAAGAGAGAAAAATGAGAATTTTGTGTACAGACTTGTATCATCTACCTTTAAAATTTCAGGTCTACTTTGTAAATAAAGAACTATTTCTATTTAATCATTATTGCTGAAAGAAATACTTTAATCTAGGCTTAGTAACCATTAAATAAGCTCTTCACTATTTCACTGGATTTCGAATCATAGCCTACAGTATGAAATTTGGTCAATCCGTATGGCCAAGATGTTCACAGGCCTTGCCCTATACTGGTGAGATAGGCCAATCACAATCCTTCCTAGCATTAAAAGGGTTAATGCAAATAACAAGGGAAAGGAAATATTCTAACCTCTTGTGTCCAGTTTTCACAATCACCAAGGGCAAGTTCCTTCAACTTTGTCAGGTTTGATATGAAGTTAAAATCTGTCCCTTTCAGATTCCTCAAGCTTGTCAGATGCTGGAAACAAAATGAACTCATATATTAGACAAACATTAAACAAGAGCACAATATGCAGGTCTCATCTATTACTGACAACAGATTAAAAAAAAAATTCAAGTGTGTTACAGTGTTATGCACTTCACTTAGATCCACAAATTTGTGATTGTGAACGCTTAAGACATTGGTATTTATACAAAGATTTAGTATTTACTATGTGAAATAGAAATATAACCAATCACTTAAGAGTTTTGTCCCTTATCCTATATAATGTTAGTTCCCATTCAAAGTTAAAATGTGGCATAAGATGACAATATTGCCCTTTATAACTGTACCTTGTCAGGATTAGCATGTACCTTTAAAAGTGTGTGAGTGATCATTACATTACAGTTCCTGCATAACCATGACAATCACAATGACCTGGTGATCATAAAATCTTTACTTTTTCTTCGGAACATACTAGCTAAAAATGTTGTTCTGGAGGTACAAAACTTATTTTTTAGATAAACTGGATTGCTTCCTCTAATAAAAAGATTGAATTTCACCTAAAATTATTTTAGCATTCAGTGATGGGTAAGTATCTAAAATCAAAGATCTTTACCACTTTCTTCAGCCCAAAAATTTCTACAAGACATTATTACCAATGTGTGAAGCGTAGTCAATCTGCCAATATCTGCCAGACCACACCCAAAGCTGAATGATGGAAGTGACAGGCCCCCTGTGCCTCTCAGTTTCAACTCCCGCAGCTGAGCTGTACAGCGGAAATTTCCAACATCTATTTTCGTTGGAACAGTCCTGCAATTTAAACACCTTATTTTACATATTATTTCATATTTACTATAATCACTAAAAGCAGCACCAAAAAACCTCAAAACTTTTCATGCCTTTTAAGTGTTAATGGAATGAGATTTAGATATAGCAATGCTTTTCTAATTTAAATACTATATCTGTACCCCAAGACTGAAGCTACATACAAAGTTCATACATGTAATCACAAAAAAAATAAATAAAAACATATACATACATAGAAACATAAAAATTACATTAAAACAGATAAATAAACACCTCTCTCAGAAGCTACTAATAATATCAAGTATGTGTCAAATGGAACATAAAATATGTAACTATCTTTGTCATACACTTTCATTGAAAAAAAAACATGATTAATGTTGATTAAAAATTGTTTGTTGTTTTTTTACCAATAAAAAACTAGTTATTAACTTAAATTTGCTATTTAGCCGTATCTGAATGCCATTTATTTGTGTGTTGTTTTTTTTTACCTAAATATATATATAAAACAATTTTGAAATCAATTTAAGATTAAAACAGATCTTTAATATCAAAAGATTTACGTTTTTAAAGAAATGAAGGATTATCAATTAAAGCAATGTTTTTACTGTGCAGGGATCGAAATTCCACTCGTCCGCTTGTATTTACAAGAAGAGATCGATGCAGGACGAGTACAAAATAGTAGAATAGAGCGGAAATTTGCTGATGTAATAGGAAGCTAGAATTCTCATAGTCAGTTTGTTTACTTTTAATGATGGAAAACTGGATACAAAGGTTGTGTTTTAGGTTATGTATAAATTGTGCACTTTACGCATTGTTTATTGGATACAGGTGTGACTAGAACGTGCCAGACAATGCTCTATAAAGTGCGTGATTTATACATAACCTAAAACACAAGCTTTGTTTCCGGTTTTGGTACGTTTAATTTGTGTAAACAAATTGATTATGAAAATTTCTAGCTGTTGATTGCATCAGCAAGGTTCAATTGCATCGAGGAGATTTATTTTGAATATCGTGACCAAAATACTGGATGAGTAGCATACAGGACGAGTAGAACCTTTAAGCCACTCGTCCTATATGATGAGTGGCTCAAACATTTTTTTCAATCCCTGCTCTGATTTCAAACTTACCACATAGAATCATCTGTGAAATCAGATATGGATTCAGCAATGAATGACTGGAGGTGTTTAAGTCTCCCAACAACTGATTGGAGGACAGCTGCTGGTACCAGGCCAAATGAGATCTTTTTCAGCATATGAAAATCCTCAAACTGTTCATGCAGGGAGGAAACCAGCTGGTGCCACGTTCTATTAGGTTCTTCATAATGTGACAACCCTTTTAAGTTCTGTTAAATAAGAAAATGAGCCGTGTCACGACAAAACCAACATAATGGGTTTGCGACCAGCATGGATCCAGACCAGCCTGCACATCCGCTCAGTCTGATCAGGATCCATGCTGTTTGCTATTAGTTTCTCTACTTGTTATAGAGTTTGTAAGCGAACAGCATGGATCCTGATCAGACTGCGCGGATGAGCAGGCTGGTCTGGATCCATGCTGGTCGCAAATGCATTATGTTGGTTTTGTCGTGACACGGCTCAAATGTCTGTTAAAAATCCAGATCTGTATCACAATAAAATCTCTCTTAAAATTCAACCCTTAATAGACTTACTCTGGAATTAAGAATATTTTGGGTTTTCCCAGATAATTTCGGGTACAATCAGACTTTTAGTTACAATTTTCGAAAATATATGCATCAGGTTGACTAATCTAATGTGAACGGAAGTGCACTGTGAAGCTACAATTATGGAAAAAGTTTATACAGGGGGATTAGCTTGGAAAACCCCATATTTACAGAACTGTTAGAAACTAGAACTGCCACTATCATGGCGTGAATACCCCCGCATACCACTTTGTCAGAATCAACAGTGGCCATTTAGAGCTCAAGGACAACCTCTCTGCCAAATCTGAGGTTACTAAGCCAGTGCATTGCTATGTTATGTATTCTACATGCTTCAAATGTGAAAATGTCAAAATCAATACATTGCGGACAGGACATTCTTTAGCAATTGAGAAGAAAAGCTCTTTTTTTGTCAACGTCCCTGTGACTTTGACCTTTGACCCAGTGACCTCAAAATCAATAGGGGTCACCTTATAGTCATGATCAACATCAATGCCAAATATGAAGACTGTGGGTCAAAGGAATCTTAAGTTAATGGGTGGACAAACTTTTTGAAGTCAAAGTCCCTATGACCTTGACCTTTGATCCAGTGACCTCAAAATCAAAAGGGGTCATCTACTAATCATGATCAACATCCATGCCAAATATGAAGACTGTGGGTCAAAGGAATCTGAAGTAATTGGGCAGACAAACTTTTTGAAGTCAAAGTCCATGTGACCTTGACCTTTGACCTGGTGACCTCAAAATCAATAGGGGTCATCTACTAATGATGACTAACCTCCATGCCAAATATGAAGACTGTGGGTCAAAGGAATCTTAAGTTATAGGGCGGACAAGCTTTTTGAAGTAAAGGCCCCTGTGACCTTGACCTTTGACCTGGTGACCTCAAAGTCAAAAGGGATCATCTACTTATCATGACTAGCCTCCATGCCAAATATGAAGACTGTGGGTCAAAGGAATCTTAAGTTATTGGGCGGACAAGCTTTTTGAAGTCAAGGCCCCTGTGACCTTGACCTTTGACCTGGTGACCCTGTGACCTTTGACCTGGTGACCTTAAAGTCAAAAGGGGTCATCTACTTATCATGACTAGCCTCCATGCCAAATATGAAGACTGTGGGTCAAAGGAATCTTAAGTTATTGGGCGGACAAGCTTTTTGAAGTCAAGGCCCCTGTGACCTTGACCTTTGACCTGGTGACCTCAAAGTCAATAGGGGTCATCTACTAATCATGACTTACCTCCATGCCAAATATGAAGACTGTGGGTCAAAGGAATCTTAAGTTATTGGGCGGACAAGCTTTTTGAAGTCAAGGCCCCTGTGACCTTGACCTTTGACCTGGTGACCTCAAAATCAATAGGGGTCATCTACTAATCATGACTTACCTCCATGCCAAATATGAAGACTGTGGGTCAAAGGAATCTTAAGTTATTGGGCGGACAAGCTTTTTGAAGTCAAGGCCCCTGTGACCTTGACCTTTGACCTAGTGACCTCAAAATCAATAGGGGTCATCTACTACTCATGACTAACCTCCATGCCAAATATGACGACTGTAGGTCAAAGGAATCTTACGTTATTGGGCGGACAAGCTTTTTGAAGTCAAGGCATCTGTGACCTTGACCTTTGACCTAGTGACCTCAAAATCAATAGGGGTCATCTACTAATCATGACTAACCTCCATGCCAAATATGAAGACTTAGGGTCAAAGGAATCTTAAGTTATTGGGCGGACAAGAAAAAACCGCCGGACGGCCGGACAGCCGGACGGACAAGCTGATTCCAGTTGTTTGTTGTGCGGGGGTATAACAAAGCTTTATAATGACCATCCTGTTAAAGTCCTGCTTTGTTTATACTCTATTATTCAGTGGTTGCTAGGCTGCTTGATGGTTGCTTGATAAAATGACCAATTCGCTACTACTTTCAATGTACACATTCTATGGACTGGTCCTAGTCTGTCTTAACAGTTAAAATTTGGGTCCCATATTACTACCACTGACTGTGACATGCATTTTCAATTATCTTTTTATTTACATGTAAACATGATCTGTTAAACAAGCTAAATTGAAGAATTAATATGTATTCTGTTTTTGAAACACTGTGTAATTAAAAGGAAAGGTATTAAGGTATCATAGTATGTTTTTCATGTTTTCTAGCATAGTTTGATAAAAATAAGCCTTTTTTTTTCAATTATTTTTTTGCTTTCATTCTATCTTCTTATTTCAATGGATGAAAAATCTCTTTGTATCTGTACAAGTTTACTAAGGTAAATAAAATAAAGCAACTGTATCATCAATATAAGGTCACGCAATCTGCACATTATACTAACTTAATATAGATATAACTTACTATAGACTGTACATCTCTTTTGCTGACATACTTCAATGCCTTACCCCAATCAGATACTTTTGTGTCACTGAATCGAACTTCCCTCCACTGAAAAACAAACACACTTCTTTATTCACATTATTCTTATCTGATTTAAATATTATAGATGGAAATTTCAAAGTTTAATGCACTTTTAATCCTCTTTTATATACTCCAACAATCCTTCACAATTTTGTCTTGAATTATGTTAATTTTATTACTAGCATTTACAGACATTTATATATTAATTCTTGAGAATAAATACATAATTGGCAAAAATATTTTACTTTAATTGATACAAGGCTGAAGCATTACTAAAAGACTTTTATATCAGATAAATTTTTATATTTCAAACTGATTATTTATTTGAAAAAATAAAATAAAAAACAAGTAATATAACTGACCAGTTGAATGAAATCTTTTGTACCAAATTCAAATCAAACTAGAAATGTGTCCATAGGACACGGATGCCCCCACACGCCACTGTTCTGTCAATCTTATGACTCTAGGTCAAATATTTTTTGGACTACATGTGCCACAAGTTGAAAACTAAAAATCAACAAAGGGCCATAATTCTGTTAAATTTGGTCGCAGCAAAAATTCCTTCCTTTACTACCATCTACACATTAAGGTTGTTCATCCCTGGAAGTTTAAGCAAAATCTGCCATCCGGTTTAAGAGGAGTTGCGTTCACAAGATTTCGGGACGTACGGACAGACGGACGGACACTCGGACGGACAAGTGCAACGCTATATGCTCCCACTCTGTGGGGGCATAAAAACTGCAACATGAAAACTTACAAAATCTGGTAGAAGCAAAATCCGTCTCCACGCTTTACACACTTCACTTAATCTAAAAATATTTTTATAAACTTTGTTAAAACATCTTTGTCAGATTAACTGTGATAATAATAACAAGTTTAACTGCATGTAAATGACTTTCACATAACATGTTGCTTTCAGAACCAAAAATCACATCAATTAGATAAGCAAAGTATTTTATGAAATTTTGCCATGAACCTAAGTGTCAAAATACTATGTTAATTAAACCTAAAAGAATGTTTTTATTAGGTACCCGATTAACCTACTTAAAAGAGTTCGAAAAAATTTTACTTAAAAAAAAAGTCTTCCTGCCTAGAAGTGGGGATGATGTCATCATTAACTTTAACAAGTTACAAAGCATTAATGAAAACAAGCAATTATCATAGTATTGCAAGCAATCCATAAGTCCCCTACCGGTAAGAGCCCAAGCAACATTCTGAAGGGCCATTCACTTATGTTCCTATTTTAAGTTAATTTGTTGAAAAAGTTCTTTAAAAGTGATCACAGGAAACAGTTTTTATGTACAGACAGACGGACTGAAGGACACTCTAAAGTTATTTTTTAAACATCCCTGTTATCAAAATATATCATTTTTAAAATCCTATCATGATTGAAGAAGTTGGAGTAAAAATTACCAATTTCTCAAAAAAAAGTCTAAGTTCAAAAAGGGGCATAATTCTGGAAATAGTCTTGCTAGAGTATTGAACACTCACAAATGTTGAGTGACAATAAGAAACATTTATATGAAGTTTGAAGTAGATACATTTAGAAAAAGAAGTTATTAAAAAAAAACAATGTTTTTTTCATGAAAATTTTAAGTTCAAGGGAGGTAATTCTGATAAATTTTGTACTAGAGTTGTAAACCTTGCCACATATGATATGGTTGATGACAAGCAACTTATATTTAAAGTTTGAAGAAAATACCTTAAGAAATAAAGAACTTATAGTGAAAAAACTTAAAAACTAGAATAAGAAATCTTGAAATTCAGTCTATTTGTTGCCATAGCAACCAGAATTTTCAACATAGGAAGATAAGAAAAGGATGTGCATAATTTCCATACTGCCATCTACCCATATGTCAAGTTTCATAAACATATTTTCAGTACTTTTTGTGTTATCACTGGATCCAGGTTATGTGTAAAATTTGCCATATTTCAGTCTATTTGTTGCCATAGCAACCAGAATTTTCAACATAGGAAGAAAAGAAAAAGACGTGCATAATCTCCATACTGCCATCTATCCATATATCAAGTTTCATAAAAATATTTTCAGTACTTTTTGCGTTATCGCGGGATCCAAGTTATGTGTAAAATTTGTCATATTTTCAGTCTATTTGTTGCCATAGCAACCAGAATTTTCAACATAGGAATAAAAGAAAAAGACGTGCATAATCTCCATACTGCCATCTATCCATATATCAAGTTTCATTAAAATATTTTCAGTACTTTTTGAGTTATCGCGGGATCCAGTTTTGTGGACGGACGGACTGACGGACGGACGGACAGACGGACGGAGGGTAAACCTAAAGTCCCCTCCGGTAAACCGGTAGGGGACTAAAAAGTGGGTGTAATGAAAAAATTAACCAAAAGTAGGGTACAGATGAGTAGGACAGCTTTACACTTCATATATATGAGTCAAACTAAAAAAAGTTATGCACAAACATCACATATTTCAATCTTTATACATTCTTTTATCAAAATCTTTGTTTACCCTTACAGCAAAAATATCATCAACAAAACAGGAATTTAAATTGATATACTGTGAATATGTAACATCTACATCAACATCTACATCAACAAAGCCTTACTTTATATACATATAGTTAAATGTCTAACTAATAGTACACTGACCATGTATAAATATCAATTATAAAACTTTCTATTTACCTTACAAGATCTATCAGTTCCAGGTGTTTGAATATGTGGAACATACAATCGTAACCTCCATACAACTTCTGTATGAAACAGCATTTACCATAGAATTTATTTCTCTTTATATCCATTTTGTTAGCACTGGTCACTACTTCATTCTTGCCTTTTAATTCTCCATCTGTCTTGTTCAAATTCTCTTTTGGATCAACATCAGCCTTAGCACTAGGTTGAGATTCAGCACTACTTTTTTCTATTGCACTACTTTTTTCTGATTTTGAGACAGGAACACTTTCTTCGTCATCAGTTTTTTCATTAGAAACAGTGACATCATTATCACCATCCTCTGCTGTTGGGAAAGTATTTGGTGGTAGAAAAATTTTTAATCCCTCAGTTGACGGAAAAAATCCTGATGGTGGAACAGTGATTTGCCGATTGTTTATTTTCAGAGCTAGAGGTTTATTTAATGTTAATTTCCTCACCAGTGGTTGTGGTAATGTCAATAACTGACCATTCATTGGAGTAATAGATTTAGCATTAACAACTAATGGTCCGGAATTTCCTTGACCTGCAGCATCTTCTTGTGTGGTCACTATATTTAATGGTACTGGTTTTTCAGGTCTGATTTGTGGTGAAATTGTTAAAGGCCTGATTGGCATGGGCATTAAATTTTGCCCTCCTAACAGAGGCATACGCGCTGTTAATTTATTCAAAGGCACTGGTGGTCCAATAGGAACAATTCGGTACTCCTGATTCGGAGGATATTGACCTGGAGGAGGGGATGCCATATTGAATGTCATCCTGGGCTGATTCAAATTTTGTGAGATCGCAATAGGACTGTTTGTATTAATATTATTGAATAAACTAGTCATCATTCTTACCTGAGGTGAACCTGTCGCAAATGACTGTGGATTTAGCAAGCTTGAGATTGGCACTCCTTTTTTGGTTTTTTGATTAGTAATGTCTTTATCTACTGATGGTGGACTTCCTAGTCTAGCTGATAACACATGTTTTAAATTATCCAAAGCTTCAATACTAGCTTTAGTATTAGTTTCTCTTTTATTTGTTGGTTTATTGCCTTTTATTGCATCCTGGTATGAATCATCTATTGGCTCCTGTTTGATATGTGGCCTAATCTCTGCGAATTCTGGTTTAGGTTTTAGGTTCACTATGTCTGTTAGTGCTGGTGATTTCCTTGCAACAATAGGTACTTTTACAGATCTAATAACTGGTGAAGTATTTGAAGGTGATGCATTTGAAGGTGATGTTGATGATGTTACTTTAAACGCTGAAGTATTCTTTGTTAGTAAGACAGGATAATTATATGGAGAGCTACTACTTATTACTGTAGATTCTGGACTACCCGAAAGAACAGGTAACATTTTATATAATGGTAACATAGAATTTGGTTGCGTTCTTGCTTGTTGAAATGTTACTGGTGTGATAAGACCAGGACTACTAGAGACTGGGTTCATACTAATGTTGGGAAACACTCGTACAATAGACTGATGAGTTGTTGCAGGCTTCTTTTGTAATTGGCTAAGTAACGCTGGATTAGAGACTTTCATTATACTGTCTTCCTGAATTTTGACCAATGGAGCTCCTCCAGCACTGGGAGGCTGCTTACATCTCTGAAAAAAAATTTAATTTACATATGTACAGTTAAATATCTGAAAATCACACCCACTGAAAACCAGAATCCTCTGAAAATTAAACAAAAGTCATTTTTCCCCCTTATAAATGTATAAGAAAAAATATGCTCTAAATACAAGAACCTCTGAGTGAAAAAAAGAGGCTTTTTATTTGGCTTTTTATTTACATGACAACTTATATTCAACAAACATGAAAAGTGGATTAAGATAGGTGACATAAATGCTCAATTGCCAGTAAACGGTCACCAAACTTATCTATATAGGCATGAAAGTTATTCCTAATTTTTAACTATAAAAAGATTGATCTTAAAGTAAGATATTTTCTACATACATTTTTTGAGCACTGCTTATATGTAAAATTAAAGTAAAATTATTTAAGAAAGAATACAGTTCATTTTAATAAATAATATTGGAATAGCAGATAAAAGTGTTAAATTTCAGATAAGATGTTGTTTTTACATTCTCGCCAAACAAAATTAGTCAGAGACTGATTGCAAAAAGAAAGTAAAATATGACTAAGGCTGGAAGGGTTGAACAATAAATACCAAAGAATTTACTTAAAGCCGATGTACAAACACATTTTAATTGTTTGATCAATAAATGATTCTGTGTTTAATAAAACCTCTGAAAACCAGACTTTTGTCAAGTGGAAAAGCTTTTACTCTACAAGTACAGGGATTTGTTTTGCTTGTTTTATAGCCGATATGTGGTCATATTCCCAATTGAAAATAGTATATTATTTTCCCAATCCACAGGAAAAAAATTACCAATTGAAAGTTACAAAATAAAAACATTGACTGTTATAGTGCTTAGATATTGGAAGATGCCATCCTAAACATTTAATCACTGAAAATTTTCAGTCAAGCATTTTTTCCCAATTTTTAACAAAAATTGCTGAAATATCCCTTTTCCATGGGTTCCTAAAATTCTTGTCGCCCTTTTTTATCACACACAATTATCTATAGGAGCATAACTTAATAAAGAGTTGATTGCATTGAAAATCAAAATAAAACTGTGTTTAGCTATAACATAGTTACAACACCATACTATAATACATCCTGAAGGCCTTCTGTCATATAAAAATATTAAACCATTCAATCACTTTTTTGTGCTTTTTTCTAAGAACGGTACAACAAAGTCTATGTCTGTGTACTTACCAGACAGACAAAGTCACTGTCCTCTTCATAATAGTTGACACATTCGTTGTGAAACAAACACATGCATACATTACAATGTAACATTGGTGGTATTCCCTCCATGCCTGGGCATGTTAATGAGCATAAATTCTCAATACCAGTGTATGGCATAGACCTGAAAATAAATAACAAAAAGCATGAGTCATAAAGTATTATGGAAAGAAATATCTTAACAATTTTGACACATTCCAAAATAGCTTAACTTATACTAAAGGTCAAGAGGAATCATTGTAATTAAATGGTAAAAATCATTTTTCAGCAAGCCAAGAAAATGTAATAAAAACTGTCATCATTAATTCAGAATAATAACACCTAATGATAAAATTTAAAATATGAGATAAACAAGTTATAAACATTTTAACAAAAAATTATGAAAAATACTCAGATCACTTAATCCACTGCTACTTCAATTGAAAATGTATTTTTTTTTCCATCAGATATCTTCTTTACAAAAGGAATAGTGAAGATTGTGAATTCATTTTGAAACTGTATACCACATGAATAATTTCATAACTTTACTTTATTGTAATCAGCTTGAAAATGCTTACAATGTATCTATTTATATCATTTCTCATCCTCTACTGTAGTTTCTCTTTCTGGCGATTTTGCTCCTTTAGCTTAATACACTGCATATCCTTTTAAATGCAGTATATATCTTGCATGAAGGAAGCAAGCTTTGTGACAAAATGTCTTCTCTGAGTAGTAGTGGTACTATTTGTGACATGCAGTTTTATGTATCGAAGGCAAGTTTTAACATTTATATCATCTTGTTCAAAGTTCAATTTACATTAAATTTCAAGATATGAAACTAACCACTTACTTTCTAAATGTTTTCTGCGTTGTGCTTTTTCTTGCCGTAGCTTTATGCTTCTCCTTCTTCACCGGCGGTGATATAATTACTTCCTCATTTGATGGGTGCATTGTCTCAACTTTCTCCTCTTTTAATTCTTCCAGGTTTGGAATATTAGAAAGTCTTTTCGGTCGACCTCTTTTGGGTTCTGGATCGAACGTTGAACCTGTGGACTCTTTTTCCACAGCAGACATGATCGGCGCTAAGAAATCATCTGAGTCTCGTTCAATAACTATTTCCGGTTTGTCAAACTGTCCGTCATTATCATCATGTACGTGTGTATCATTTACATTTTTTACAATAAATTTTCTCCTCAGAGAATCCATAGAAGCTTTTGTACGACCGTGAGCTGCTGCGTTTCGTACACATTCACCATCAACACCAATTGCTCTCCGCATAAAAGTAAAATTGTCTGTTGTCAAACTAGTTTCATGTTTTGCCACTGAAATCAATGTTTCGGTTATTAAATGCAAAAAGGATCTTGGTAAAAAGTATTAATTTCAACATCTTTAATGTAAACTGATATCAATGAATGATTATGATACAAATTTGGGTATGTGATGTTAATGGTTATATTGCAGTACACTGGTTCATGTCTATAAAGTGATTCCTTCTTAAGCAAAATCATGCAGTTCTTTTCTTAAATTAAATTTACATCAAGTTTTTTTCTTTCTCTTTTGTTAAGATACTACATTATCAAACTAATAGGAGGGAAAATTTTCCCTACCTGCAAACAAGCCCTGAATCTACATGTAATTTATTATCTATTTTTTTACCTTGCTAAATTTGTGTAACCTTGCTAAATAAGAGTGGCGGCGTGGTCGAGTGGTTAACACGTCAGACTAGTAATCTAAGGATTGCTGACCTATATTGGGTTCAAACCCTGTCAGGCGCAAGCCTTGAGCAAGAAACTTTACATTTATTGCTTAGTATTAGTTGGTTCCAGGGACGGATTTGAGAGTGTTTCAATAAGCTTATAGCTTCCAAAACAATCGAACTAAAACAAGCAAATTCGTTGAATTTATATCCCCCACCGAGTACTGGTTATTATTAACACAACAACTGAAGACATAAGGCTTTATTTATATATTAATCATGGCATAAACTGTAATATTCTTTGAACTTGAAGCCTTGTACCTTCAAACAAGAATAATTTTTTAAGTTTAAGTTTTCACTATATACATATAAGGAAAATCTATGACCCCCGGGAGTTGGGCCAATTTTGACCCCAGGGCTAAAATTTGAACAATTTTGGTAGAGGACCTATAGGTTATATCATATACCAAATATCAAAGCTCTAAGCCTTGTACTTTCAGACAAGATTTTTTAATTTTGCATTTTTGAAACTCCTTTTCCGGCCCGGTGACCTACTTATGAAACAGACCGGAACCATTTCATCAACTTTGGCATAGGACACGGGTGCCCCCACCGCGCCACTGTTCTGTCAATCTTATGACTCTAGGTCAAATATTTTTTGAAAACTTAAAATCTTTTTACTACGTAAAGGGCAAGAACTTTACAAATACTGAATAAATCCCCAAGCAAACCCCAAGTTGAAAATTGCAAATTTATACTACTGTAATTAAAGGGCAATAACTCTAACAAAACTGAAAAAAATCCACATGCAGAGTCCCAGGTTCATAGCATCACAGTGAGGTGAATCATTATTCCTGCAATTTAGTGATGTTGATCATTATTCCTGTAAAGTTGGTCGATTCTAACTCAAGCACTCAAGGATCAAATAAAAACATAATGGAACAGTTTTTACTAAGTCAAGGGAAATAACTCTACAAATACTGGATAAATCCACAAGCGAAACCCCAGGAACAAACTAAATATGCTGAGCAACTTTCCAATAAGGTTTAATGACCCTATGTCAAATCCTTTTTGAGTTACATGCGACACATGTTGAAAATTGCAAACATTTTCTAAGTCAAGGGCAATAACTCTAAAAATACTAAATAAATCCAGACGAAAATACCCAGGTGCACAACTACACATGCTGATCAACATTCCTGTAAAGTTTCATGACTCTAGGTCAAATACTTTTTGAGTTACATGCGACACAAGTTGAAAATTACAAAATTTTACTGAGTCAAGGGCAATAACTCTAAAAATACTAAAAATATCCAGACGAAAATACCAAGGTGCACAACTTCACATGCTGATCAACATTCCCATAAAGTTTCGTTGAATTCCAGCCATTAGTTGCAGAGACTTACTCCAGAAACGAAATTCGGACAAAATTTTACTGAGTCAAGGGCAATAACTCTAAAAATACTAAAAATATCCAGACGAAAATACCCAGGTGCACAACTTCACATGCTGATCAACATTCCCATAAAGTTTTGTTGAATTCCAGCCATTAGTTGCAAGTATCATGACTCTAGGTCAAATACTTTCTGAGTTACATGCGACACAAGTTGAAAATGACAAAATTTTACTAAGTCAAGGGCAATAACTCTAAAAATACTAAAAATATCCAGATGAAAATACCCAGGTGTACAACTACACATACTGATCAACATTCCTGTAAAGTTTCATGACTCTAGGTCAAATACTTTTTGAGTTACATGCGACACAAGTTGAAAATTACAAAATTTTACTAAGTCAAGGGCAATAACTCTTAAAATACTAGAAATATCCAGACGAAAATACCCAGGTGCACAACTTCACATGCTGATCAACATTCCCATAAAGTTTCGTTGAATTCCAGCCATTAGTTGCAGAGAACTACTCCGGAAACGAAATTCGGACGGACGGATGGACGGACGGACGGAACGACGGACAACGCCAAAACTATATCCCCCTCCCGATTCCATCGGCGGGGGATAATAAATTGGTATAAGTAAATTTGTGTAATACTTTTACCATTAACCCATGAATATTTTTAGAAATTTGGGTAGCAAATAAACAACTAGAGTGCCCATATGACTGGGATGGCTCCGCATTCAACTGTGCTATTGGACAAACAGTGTGGCAGTAGTCACAGCATGACAAAATAGGGCAAATCTATGCACACTCCCAAGTGCAAGTAGAAAATTAAAGGCTGTCCTGATTCTATACTGTTTCTAAAGAAATACTGTTATAACTGCTTGCATTTATTTTTTATTAACTAGTTCTAGTGTTGTTGTTTTTTTAATCTTATCATACAATAAAAACTTCATACAGTTATATAAAAGTAACTTACACCAATCTGCAATCTGAACCATGGATCGCTTGAAATAAAAGAAAATTTGTGTTAAAATTTACGTCATCTAATAAATCAACATCTGCAAAATTAGAATACAATATAGAATGGATATTTAAATATCTTAATGTAATAAAAAAGTAAGATTTTAACATAAATTTTGTATCATTCAAAAACTGAATCGGTGAACAGAAATAAATGGTATTGAAAAATAATAACAACTGGTCTGACTTCACTTCAATACATCATGTTTCTTTTTTTTTCTTTTTTTTTCTTTTTTTTCTGCCCTAACGGGCACAGTAAGAACTGACCCTGGCATGTTACCAGTTATGCTCTTCAATAGAAATTTCAATGCAAAAGTGCAGAAAATGGCCTAAATGTGATTTCAACCCCACTTCGTCTAACTATTCTACAAATGACTTAACATGCAGTAGGCAAAAGATATTTCAATACTTCATGCATTAAAAATGTAACTTCTTCAATTTGAATGATAAATGCTATGGTTAATACATGTATGTGCTAAATATGTGTCATTTTACAGTTGAATCTCATAATCTCAAAGTTGTCGGGATCTTTGAAGCAAGAGGGCCATGATTGCCCTGATATCGCTCACCTGTATATAGGCCCCCAGGGCGGGGCCAATTTTAACCCAGGGGCTTTATTTAATCAAACTTGGTAGACACCCATTAGAAGATGTTCCATTCTAAATATCTTAGTTCTAGCTCTTAGGATTTTTTTTTAAAAGAAGATTTTCTAATTTTTTACTATATACATAAAGAGAAAAACAATGACCCCCCACCCCCCTGGGCGGGGGCCAATTTTGACCCCAGGACTTTTATTTGAATAAACTTGGTAGACACCCACTAGGAGATGTTTCATGCTTAATATCAAACCTCTAGCTATTTGGGTTTTTTAAAAGGAGACTTTTTAAGTTTTTACTATATACAAATTAGGAAAATCAATGACAACCCCCCCCCCTCCTCGCAGGACCAATTTTGATCCCAGGGCATTTTTTTGAACAAACTTGGTAGGCACTGACTAGATGATGTTTCATGCCAGAGTTCTGCTTGAAATTAAATTCTTTGAACAATTCTTAAAGTTGACTACCAAAGAAACATTCCTGTGAAGTTTTGATTAAATGGGCTTAGCTGTTTATGAGGAGACAGGTGACAGGTGTGCTTAAATCGAAATAACGAAATGTCAAGATAAAAATAATAAGCCAAAATAAAGGTTTAGATTAACTAGAAACTGTTTTTTGTTGGTTTTTTTTTTTTTTTTTCCACCAGGATTGTTACCTTTTATCTTCGTCATATATTACCTGACAGTGATGTTCAATGTATTTTTGTCTCACTTTCTTTAAGTTATTATCTGACTATTCTATATGTCAAATATGATTATTTCATAAATTATGTAAGTTGTTCCTTGTGCAAAATCATAAATTCAGGTTACCAATCAATTAAAGGCTGTCAAGAATGAAGAAGATCAAGAAAATTTCTTCGCATCTAAATTTCTAACAGAAATTTTTTTAAAACTATTATCTGATAACTTTATAAGTCCCATATGACTATTTCATTAAATTCAGGTTACCAATCAATTTAAACCAGGGGGAATAAGGCTGTCAAAATGAAGAAAATCAAGAAAATCTCTTTGCATCTAAATTTCTGATGATAATTTTTAACTGTAATCAATCTTACATCTTTCTATCATTTTTTTCCATTTATTGTTTTAACAAAATAGAAAGATAAAATGAATTTAAATTTGAAAAACAAAGAGTAACAAGATATGTTTGTAAAACATGTATGCCCCCTATCAGCAGCCAATTATTCATGTGATAAGGTAATTATGCATGACTTCTGACCCAGTGATCAAACAATTAATAAGGGTTATCAAGTATCTACTGGTCATGACCTTGACCTTTGACCCCTTGACCCAAAACTCAATAGGGGTCATCTGCTGGTCAAGACAAATCATCATACAAAGTTTGAAGTTCCTAGGCCTAAGCGTTTTTACTTAATTGATCAGAAACCGTTTTTACTTACAAGGTCAATGTGACCTTGACCTTTGACCCCTTGACCCAAAAATCAATAGGGGTCATTTGCTGGTCATGACTAATCACCATGCCAAGTTTGAAGTTCCTAGGCCTAAGGGTTCTTTTATTATTGATCCGAAACCGTTTTAACATACAAGGTCAATGTGACCTTGACCTTTGACCCCAAAATCAATAGGGGTCATCTGCTGATCATGACCAATCACTATGCCAAGTTTGAAGTTCCTAGGCCGAAGTGTTCTTTAGTTATTGATCAGAAACCGTTTTTTACTTACAAGGTCAATGTGACCTTGACCTTTGACCCCTTGATCCCAAAATCGAAAGGGGTAATCTGCTGGTCATGAACAATCACCATACCAAGTTTTGAAGTTCCTAGGCCTAAGCGTTCTTAAGTTATTGATCAGAAACCGTTTTTACTTACAAGGTCGATGTGACCTTGACCTTTGACCCCTTGACCCAAAACTCAATAGGGGTCATCTGCTGGTCACCACCAATCATCATACAAAGTTTGAAGTTCCTAGGCCTAAGCGTTTTTAGTTAATTGATCGGAAACCGTTTTTTACCTACAAGGTCAATGTTACATGACCTTTGACCCCTTGACCCTAAAAACAATAGGTCATCTGCTGGTCATGACCAATCACCATACCAAGTTTGAAGTTCCTAGGCCTAAGGGTTCTTAAGTTATTGATCGGAAAGCATTTTTACCTACAAGGTCAATGTGACCTTTCCCTTTGACCCCTTAACCCCAAAATCAGTAGGGGTCATCTGCTGGTCATGACCAATCACCATACCAAGTTTGAAGTTCCTAGGCCTAAGGGTTCTTTAGTTATTGATCGAAAACTGCTTTTTACCTAAGAGGTCAATGTGACCTTGACCTTTGACCCATTGACCCCAAAATCAATAGGGGTCATCTACTGATCATGACCAATCACCATACCAAGTTTGAAGTTCCTAGGCCTAAGGGTTCTTTAGTTATTGATCCGAAACTGTTTTTACCTAAGAGGTCAATGTGACCTTGACCTTTGACCCCTTGACCCCAAAATCAATAGGGGTCATCTACTGATCATGACCAATCACCATATCAAGTTTGTAGTCCCTAGGCCTAAGGGTTCTTTCGTTATTGATCGGAAACCGTTTTTACCTACAAGGTCAATGTGACCTTGACCTTTGACCCCTTAACTCCAAAATCAATAGGGGTCATCTACTGATCATGACCAATCACCATATCAAGTTTGAAGTCCCTAGGCCTAAGGGTTCTTTCGTTATTGATCGGAAACCGTTTTTACCTACAAGGTCAATGTGACCTTGACCTTTGACCACTTAACCCCAAAATCAATAGGGGTCATTTGCTGGTCATAACCAATCACCATACCAAGTTTGAAGTTCCTAGGCCTAAGGGTTCTTTTGTTATTGATCGGAAACCGTTTTTACCCAAGAGGTCAATGTGACCTTGACCTTTGACCCCTTGACCCCAAAATCAATAGGGGTCATCTACTGATCATGACCAATCACCATACCAAGTTTGAAGTTCCTAGGCCTTAAGGTTCTTTACTTATTGATCGGAAACCGTTTTTTGCTTACAAGGTCAATGTGACCTTGACCTTTGACCCCTTGACCCCAAAATCAATAGGGGTCATCTACTGATCATGACAAATCACCATACCAAGTTTGAAGTTCCTAGGCCTTAAGGTTCTTTAGTTATTGATCGGAAACCGTTTTTGCTTACAAGGTCAATGTGACCTTGACCTTTGACCCCTTGACCCCAAAATCAATAGGGGTCATCTACTTGTCATGACCAATCACCATACCAAGTTTGAAGTTCCTAGGCCTTAAGGTTCTTTAGTTATTGATCGGAAACCGTTTTTGCTTACAAGGTCAATGTGACCTTGACCTTTGACCCCTTGACCCCAAAATCAATAGGGGTCATCTACTTGTCATGACCAATCACCATACCAAGTTTGAAGTTCCTAGGCCTAAGGGTTCTTTAGTTATCACTCGGAAACCATTTGGTCTACGGACCGACGCACCGACAGACCGACGGACCGACGGACCGACAAGTGCAAAGCAATATACCCCCTTTTCTTCGAAATGGGGGCATAATTATAACCCCTTAAATTATAATGTATATACTTGTACATATATAATTGTATGTACTCATGCAAAATGACAACAGTAAGTGTATCCAATTACACCAGTCAGTTGAAACAAATACCCTCATCCCCAATCTCCTCTTGATGTTTAGGGAAAAGTGGAGGAAAAGAATTTAAGTTTTTCGTTTCATCTCGTTCCACACAGCCGAGTCATGGCAGTGGTTTTGCCTTCACACTTAAACAACAGGGTATATCATGTGTCCAACTTGCAGGGACATTTTGAGAAGGTTTTACCATGTAACTCTTTCTATAGACCAAGACCCAAAACTAGAGTTCCCAGCTGTTCGAAAAAAGTCCCTGCTATTCCCTTGAGGGGACAAGTATACAACTGACAGGTGCATAAAGCATGCTTGAAATGGTATTAAAATAGATAAACAGTTAAGAACAATAAACATTATAACAGTGATATATTGCTTACAAGTTTTGGACCCTTCGTAGGCGGAAAATAGTATGTATCGGCTTGGGTCTTTGTTGCGTTATCAGTCCCACGATATACTAGCTCACGTTTCCAGCCTACAAAGGAATAGATTAGTATTAACTAGGAATATGTGGGTTAATGAACAAATCTTACGATCTTGTTTCCGACAGGTGGAAAATAATAGATATCGCAGGGTCGGCTCTTAGGGACTCCTGTACACGTGGCTGCATCATATACTCCTCTTATAACAACTTCTCGGAACCAACCTGTAAATGTGTGTCTGTTAATTCAATGTACATTTTTTGGTGTATATGTTTATACAATAGAAATAGTTTTAATGATGATTTTTAAAGTAATACTCACCATACTTGCCTTATGCCAAGAAGTTAGCTTACAACTGTCCAAGCCTTATTAGAAATTTTGAATTAACTGTTTTTTTAAACAACATATAACTGCTTTTTAATTCATTTTGTTGGGTTTTAAGACACACCAAAACAGTAAATGTCATAAAGCTTACTTTCCAGCTGAAATGGTGGAGGAACCCTTTCAGGTCCCTTCATGCAGTATTTCAAGACCTAGCTGGCACCTACCTGTAAGTAAAACTACACCATTCAACCAGCTAGCTGGATAGCTTTCTCACATGACCCATGTAAAATATACAAAACAACTACAATGTATACAGGATAAATGATTTTATAATCAACAACCAAACTGCATCCATGACTTCAACTAGCACATCCAAAGTCTATAAAGAGTATACCTAACTCTAACAATATTGATTCCATCAGGGAAGCCTTCCAGAAAAATGGTCATCTTAATTAGTTTGGAAAAATAAACAACATAATAGAAAATTAAGATTGTCTTACTGATTATCAAACAATAAAACAATAGAAAATAATCAAATAACTATTAATAGTCATGTCAGAAACAAAATCCTGCAATTTAACACGAGCTGTCTGTCAGACAACCTGCTCAACTTTTCTCAGAGCTTGAGAGTAAGAGAAAGGGGTATTACTTTGTTAAAAGGTAGCTCAAAGTAATGGGTCCTGTGCCCATTATGTCAGATAATCACAAACAACAAATGTGTGAAGTTACATCCCATTTCCTTCAGAAATTCTGGAGATACCAACTTGCAAGCAAAAAATTAACCAAGTGTGTTGGGGAAGACGACACCAAGGTACAATTACAAAAGCTCTCCAAGCTAATACACAACTAGAAATGTGTCATCATGCAACGGATGCCCCCGCATGCAGCCAAAATTTCAGATGTTATAATATTTAGTTCCAAATTTGTTTGCACACATTATTTTTTCATTTTAAGTTCAAAGCCCTTAAAACTTTTCAATGTTAACACAAACCATTTTCATACAATGTTCAAGGCACTGAATTTATTCAGTCTTAACCTTTTGAAAATAGCATATTTCATATTTGTAGCCAAAATAATGGCTGCTGAAACTGAAAGTTCAAAATTTTTCCAACATTCAAGAAAGTTAAGTTTGTCCAAAATCATTGAACCACGACCAAATTCAAACTTAAACTGCTTATTCCTAAGATGTATCTATACTATTTTCAAAGTGAAAGGGACATAACTCTGCCAAAAAATCATCGAACCATGACCAATTTCCAACTTGACCTGCCCATTCCTTTGACATATCCATATGTCAAATTTGAGTAATGTTGGGTAGATAATGAACAGAAACTGTAAATTTCATATTATTTTCAAAGTGAAAGGAGCATTACTCTGCCAAAAATCATTGAACCATGACCAAGTTCCAACTTGGCCTGGGCATTCCAGAAACATATCCATATGTCAAATTTGAGTTGAATGTGTTATACCGTTGGGGAGATAATAAACAGAAACTGAAAATTTCATATTATTTTCAAAGTGAAAGGGGCATAACTCTGCCAAAAAATCATTACACCATGACCAAATTTAATTTTAATGTGTTATACCGTTGGGGAGATAATAAACAGAAACTGAAAATTTCATATTATTTTCAAAGTGAAAGGGGCATAACTCTGCCAAAAAGCATTACACCATGACCAAATTTAATTTTTCTAGTAAAAAAAGAGTAACCATGACCAAATTCCAACTTGACCTGTATTTTCTCATGACATATCCATATGTCAAATTTGATTTGAATGTGTTGTACCGTTGGAGAGATAATGAACGGAAACTGAAAATTTCATATTATTTTCAAAGTAAAAAGCCATGACATGGCGGGGGCATAAAAACTCACAAGTTAGTCTGCATGAATGTATATGTACATCATTGACACTAATAGCATGTAACAGGTTTACAAAATTTCAGAGCTTGGACAGGACATTATCACATAATTGCTTCTTATATTCTTCATTTAAGAATTACTGCCCTTTCACATGACATTATCAAATCTGTAACATCCTGGAAAAATGTTTTACCTTGTTTCAAAGGTGCAGAATATTTCTCCAACTCGTGGGCAGTGAGAGGTTTAATCTGACCCGGTGAAGCTCTCCTTCCTTGATACAGCAGTAAAGACTTTTTCTTTTCATATCCTATATAATATAAAAAATCATTCAACTATTTCATCATTTAAACCAGCTTTATGTATGGAGGTAGACCTCAAGTACCTCTTTATTCATTTTTTTAGGAACAAAAGGAGACCGACGTAGAACCACTATTCATTTATCATGTAGCTAGATGGCTTCCTCACAAGAAAGAAATCAAAATTTCTAAAGGAATCCAAATCCAATTCTGTACCATAACCACACTGCTACAGCATTTGAAGCCCCTCAAATAACTTTAAATATTAATAAATATAGTGTAGTTTTTCAAGAGACATTAAAAGAAAGTTTACAGATACTTCAAACAAAAATTCCCTAAATTTTTCCAGTAACGAAAAAGTTATATTATCTCTGAAAATTATTACTGAAATTCTAAGTAAAAGTATAGTGATTTAATATTTTGAATGGAAGTCAAAACTTTTATGACAATTTCACATTCGATGCTATTTTATTCAAGGGATAAAATGCTCTAGGCTCATAACCTATGCAGAGCTCCAGATAGCGTGCGTATAAGCGTAAAATACGCATAGAAAATCTAAAATACGCATCACTTTCAAAATTTGTGCGTCACCGTTACGCACAACAAAATGAAAATACGCTCGTATGTCAAAATTTATGCGTAAAAGAGTAGAAGTGTAAACATTTGATATGTAGAAAAAAAATGTTTTGAGCATAAAATACAATATATTTCCATTTATTTGCATTGAAAACTAAAAATTCTGTTGTCAACAACGCATTTTAAAACGAAAGTAGCAGGAAATACAGAAGGGAGGTAACTCCCGTAGATTTATCAACATGTGAAATTATTGATGAAATTTGTGCCAGATAATCATCGTAGGAGTTAACACAGTATTAAGTTTGTTTAGGCATCTATTGACATACTCAATATAAACAAAAATATATTTTAATAAAATTTCTTTAACTTTAGTTGTTGGAACAAAATAACATGTTATTCACCTGCAGTTTTGTACTCAATATTTTCGTACCCAGTCTACAGTTACGGACAATTTTCTCTCAGACCAATAATTTTTTTTAAGGAAAGATAAAAAAATCTTGTTTATGTTTCTTTAATTCTAATTTCAACTATAATTGTTCAAACTGGAGTACATGATAAGGTACATGCCAACAAAAATAAAGAAAGAAAAATATTGACTCCTAGAAAATAAAATAACTTGAGGGCTTCCACTAGTGGAAGTTTGGGAGTCTTTTACTCCTTCAATTGGCCTGTGACTTCCAAAAATCAATACTTTCCTTCTTTACCTATATAATGTGACTTCCAATATCAGAGATTTTGAAGTCTTTGACTTCCAAATTTTGAAAATGGAAGCCCTGATAATTTTGCTGTGTATCCTAAACTTGAGTTCCAGTATACTCTGGAAGTCTGACTTTACATGGCATGTTTTGTATTGTTTCACATTAAATCAGTATTTAATTTGTAAAGGTTTTTCTAAAAAAAGAAAATAAACAAACAAACAAACACAACAATAAGTTTAATTTGTTTATAAAAAATGCAAAATACTTTTTTGACAGATTTTACCCCTTAAGTTTTTCAGAATTTGCATTTTACCCCTCACTCTAAATTTTGAGGGGTAAAAACCCCATGGCCAAAAAAATTATCTGGAGCTCTGCCTATGTATCATAAAACTGATGTTTGGTCTCTGTTTCTAAACAATGAAACATTTATTCTTTTTTTAAACAATGTGCTGTTAATCATGGTTAAAAGCTTTGACAAGTGATAGTAAATTAGTGAATGTTACTATAGCTAAAATGACAAGAAAATTAAAACTTGATTTTCATACTTCTTTCTGTAGCAGAATCTAGTTCCTCTAACTCATTCCCAGTCAAGTAACCTTCTCTTTTCCCTGGCGTTCTGCTTCTTCTACTGCGAAGCCTTTCATCTTGACCATCTGACTGTGAGGTTTCTTCTTAAAATAGAAGGATTGTCTTCAAAAAGAAACACTAAGTTATGGGTCTAATTTAGTATTTTAATCTGTTTTATTTAAAGCAATTACCCCTCAATTGAATTAAATATCAGGCATCTCAGAACACACTGTTTGGAAATTAAATTTGGCCTGAAAAATAATCTAAGCAGCAGAGTAGTTGATTATAAATACCAGTCAAGCCTTATTAACCTCATTATTATTTGCAATAAAATATTTGCACCTATGCATGGATACCTTGATTACATTTAACAAGTTTAAACGTTTCTATAATGCCCTTATACTCAGAAATGCTGAATTATTTTATTTCACTATCAACTACATTTTTGATGAAAATCAATGAAGTGATACTTTTTTTTTACTTATTAAAGTTATTGCTTGAGTATCAATTTTGTTAACCAATACTAGGATGTCTTATCCAGTACTCAAACGGTTATCAGTTACCATCCCCTAAATGTAAGTTAAAACTAATAGAATGATCTAAAATTCACCTTTAAAGCTACTGTCTTCTTCAGTCTGTGCACCACTTTCACTAACATGTACTTTTCCATCTTTATTCACATCAATATCTTCAGAAAATTTACTATCCTTGTTTTCAGCTGGTTCTTCTATAGAAACTCTTTTAGGTGACCCACTGTTTAATCTTCTCATTTTATAAGGACTAGGTTTAGACCAAAGAGACTTCTTTCGCTTTTTCCGCCTTCCTCTACGTTTTTTCATTACTGAGACAACAATTCCATTTCCAATTCCAGTTTTAATTTCACTAGTTAATTCTGTTGAGTTTTCAAGACTGCCATTAACCTCCCCTTCATCTGCATCATCAGTCTCTTCCTCATGTTCATCACCATCATCAAGTGATACATCCATTTCTTCTGTTCCTTTATCACTTTCTGGTGCAACTGGGGCATCTTTAGTATCATCATCCCCCTTTTGATCACTAATGTTTGCTTCTTCTTTCTGGACTTCACTTGTTTCTCCAATAATTTTGTCTTCGTTCGTACTTTCATCTAAATTTCCTTCATCAGATACCTTTGAATCAGATTCAACTATGTTTTCTTTATCTTTATCAAACTCATCTATGTTTTCATTCCCTTTGTCAAAAGTTTTTGAAGTTTTGGTATCTGATGTATCAGAGTTTTCTTTTTCTTGCTCTCCTACTATAACATTCTCTGATTCCTGTAAAGTTTTGGTATCTTGTTTGCTTTCACTTTCAATTGTATCTATATCCATCTCATCACAACTAGAGTTTGTTTCTATTTGAAAACCGTTTTCTCTCAGACCATTTTTTGAAGTCAGACATGAAAAATCAGGACTTTGAGCTATTTGATTAAGAATATCTAAAGAGGCTCCTTTGTTTTCTTGTACAAGCACTTTCCTTGGGGAGTCTTTAAAATTTGTGACAGCATCAGAGTTATGTTCAGAATCAGGATTTGAGTTATTCGCTTTATCAACGGCAGCATAAGGATGGTCAAATAGGTTTGCAGCCATCCTAACACACCCCTGTGATCACACCTAAAACTCCCTGCCTTCCTTTTCCACACACTTTCTGAAAATATAATCATAATAGTAAATATTGTAATTTACCAAATATACCAAATATTACTTTCTTAAAACATCTTTAGTTCTTGAACAATTGGGGAAAATGGCCCGAAATGCTTAAATTTGAGAAAAAATGTAACACAAAATTTTTTCAAAAGGGGAAGAAACAAGAGGGCCATGATGGCCCAAAGTCGCTCACCTGTATATAGGCCCCTGCAGCGGGGCCAGTTTTAACCCCAGGGCTTTTATTTGAACAAACTTGGTTGTATATGTATGCATGTATATATATATATATATATATATATATATATATATATATATATATATACATATACATATATATATATATATATACATATACATACATACATATATATATATATATATACATAATATGTATATATATATGTATATATATATCTATATATATATATATACATTTATATATATATATATATATATATATATATATATATATATAAATATTAAATATATATGTGTATATATATAATATGTATATATCTAAAAAAAAAAAGTCAAGCTAATGAATGACCCCCGGGGCGGGGCCAATTTTGACCCCAGGGCTTTTATTTGAACAAACTTGGTAGACACCCATGAGAACATGTTTCATGCTAAATATCTTAGCTCTAGCTCTTTGAGTTCTTTAAAAGAAGATTTTTTAAGTTTTTACTATATGCACATAGGGAAAATCAATGACCCCCGGGGGCGGGGCCAATTTTGACCCTAGGGCTTTTATTTGAACAAACTTTGTAGACACTCATTAGAAGATGTTTCATGCTAAATATCTTAGCTCTAGCTCTTTGGGTTCTTTAAAAGAAGATTTTTTAAGTTTTAACTATATGCATATAGGGAAAATCAAAGACACCCTTGGGCGGGGCCAATTTTGACCCTAGGGCTTTTATTTGAACAAACTTGGTAGACACTCACTAGAAGATGTTTCATGCTTTATATCTAAACACTAGCTATCTGGGTTTTTTCAAAGAAGATTTTTAAGTTTTTGCTATACACAGTCATATAAGGAAAATCAATGACCCCCGGGGCCGGGCCAATTTTGACCCCAGGGCTTTGATTTGAACAAACTTTGTAGACACTCACTAGAAGATGTTTCATGCTTAATAGCTAAACTCCAACTATTTGGGTTTTTTTAAAGAAGATTTTTTAAAGTTTTTGCTATACACATATAAGGAAAATCAATGACCCCCGGGGCGGAGCCAATTTTGACCCCAGGGCTTTTATTTGAACAAACTTGGTAGACACCTACTAGAACATGTTTCATGCTAAATATCTTAGCTCTAGCTCTTTGAGTTCTTTAAAAGAAGATTTTTTAAGTTTTTACTACATGCATATAGGGAAAATCAATGACCCCCTGGGGCGGGGCCAATTTTGACCCTAGGGCTTTGATTTGAACAAACTTGGTAGGCACTCATTAGAAGATGTTTCATGCCAAATATCTAAGCTCTAGCTCTTACGGTTTTTTAGAAGAAGATTTTTTAAGTTTTTCTTATTGGTTGCCATGGCAACCAGAGTTTTTAATGGAATTTAAATTTTTGAACAACTTTGAAAGGGGTCCACCTAAGGATCATTTCTGTAGAGTTTGGTTGCAATTGGCCATGTAGTTTAGGAGGAGATGTTGTTTGAAAAGTTTGACAGCTCAGGTGAGCTAAAAAAACTGGAGTATATTAAATTTTAGGGTAAAACAGCATAATTTTAAAGATTTTTCTAAGGGAATCAGCCCTTAAACAGCCTCTGCTATAGAAGGGAAATTTTTTTTTTTTACAGACTATTAATCATTTTTAAATCCACTTCTTCAAACTAACTTGAAACATGTAAGAAAACATTTAATAGCACAAGAAGGACTTAACTTATGATCCCTGAATTAAAAGGTAGACACCTAAACCACTATGTCACTGCTCCCATTCTTAAAACAAGAATTTGTAACAAAGTTATCAATGTCTGATGCCTAAGGAAAGTTTAACATGAAGCACAAAATTGTGCTATTTGAATTTTCAAAAGATTGAGATATGGATCCGGACTTTCAGTGCAAAATTTTGTTCAATGCTAGATCTGCACATGCAACAATAAAATCATTAAAGAAATATCATGAAATAACTCCTGTGTATGTGTCAACAAAAATACATTTGTATAGTTGTTATCACTATTTTAAAACCACAAAATGTGAAAAATACAAAATAAATAAAGGGTATGGCCTGTTACAAAGTATATTTCGTGTCTGGTCTTTATCGATCAAGGTATGAGAGCAATTCTATTTGCTTGGATCTGACTTTGAACAGACCATGCTAGGCTTTGACCTTCAACGTGACCTTGACATTTGAGTTTGGGTCCAAGTATTGCACATGACACATCATCTTATCATTGTGAACATTTGTGACAATAAATTTCAAAATCCTTCGGCTCGACTGATGAAAAAGTTATGGACCAGATACAAAATATACACTATAATTAGACCATGTTAAGCTTTGATCCCCAAGTGTGACCATGACCATGAAGGTAGGGTCCAGGTGTTGCGTGTGACACATCGCCCCATTATTGTGAACATTTGTTCCAAGTATTTTCGAAATCCCTTGAACAATTAAAAAATTATGGACCAGACAAACCATGTTAAGCTTTGCACATTTGTGCCAAGTATTTTCAAAATCTCTCGATGGATGAGAAAGTTATGAACTGGTTACAAAGATTAAGTGAAGCGTTTAAAATGGAAAAATCAGCAAAGGATAATAAATATTTTCAGAATTAAATTCATAATATATTTTCATGTGATTCTTAGTCTGATTTGAGTGAAAAGCGTTGCAACACTTTCATTTTTGCTCATTATGCACAATAAAATTTAAAATGATAATTCTGGGAGAACAGGGTGATGGAATGATCTGAAAATTTACACAAAAGGTATTTCCTGGTATTTAAATTTCAGAAAAATGTTTCATATGACATTGTGATGCAGTTTTTCCAGCGGACTTGCAAGCAAACTTTGTTTCAATATTTTCTTTTTCAAAGGAAAAAATCTTTCAAAGGCTGAAAACTCTCCTAACTTTGGCTGGGCAGGCTGTTTCAAAACTTATCCATTGCTTTTTATTTTTACTTTTAAAGCCACTGTTCACATTTAATCACTAAAATTAAACAACACCCAGGCAGCCGATGTATGTGCTCCTCTTTTCACTGAAGTTTTGCAAAAATGACTTGCAGAAATTTGCGAGAGCAAGAAAAATTCACTCTCAATTTTCAAAATACACTTGTAAGTATGCTAGTTGAAATTCAAACCCTCTTATTCAAATTCAATACAATTGGTAAATAAGTTTCGCCTTCCTGTCTTAAGTTCAAAACCTTAAATGAGTTATACATGTAGTAAATACCATCACTTATATTACAGAGCTACAGATAAGCAGGGTATCTGCGTAATAACCCAATAATTTTGACCAATTTACCCAATTAAAATAAAATCTTTGAGTAATAAAAAAGCAAATCAAAGGCTCAGTACCCAATTTGTTTTGATTCTGAAGTATATTTCCAATATCTTGGACCCTAATTCACCTGGCAAAAACACCCAACAAATCCGAATTAGCCTGTTTCCCAATTCCATTTGTTTACCGGGAGCTGCTGAGTAGACTATTTTTTTTAACTTTGAAGAGATAATTACATTGTGGCCCAGACTGAGGTCAATTTCAAGGAAATGGACGAAAAAAATCTAATATTTCAGTGCAGTCTTGCAAAACATTTTAGTTAATTTACCAAGCCAGAGCCTTAAAGGATGTTGTGAGAAATTCTTTTTAGCTAAAACAAGCATACATCATTATCTAATTAAGGTTAATCTACACAAATAAATAAATTTTTCAATGATACCCAATTTTGTTTCTGTGTTACACAATTGTGTGTCAAGTCCAGGGGTAAATACCCAATTAACTCAAAAGCTTATCTGTAGCTCTGATATTAATCATAATATACAATACTGGCCAGGCGAAACCTGCAAAGTTCACTTTAGGCAGCATTCACAGATATCTCAGAGAACTTCAACTTTGCAGAAAACTGCGTCCATGAATCATATCATTACTCATCTCATGATGCACAAAAGAACATTGCAAATCGGCCCAAATATTAATTATAATAATATCAATGTACCAGCCAGAAAATATATTAAACTATTTTTGTAAAAAAAAAAGTTTCAAATAAGTTAATATGTCAAACAAAATCAGGAAAATAAGGTGAGAAAATATTAAATACTTGTGAAATCAACAGCACATCACAGCATGCCTTTTGCAGTGATCAGGAAGAGTGAAAACCAATGTTGGATGATTTAACAGAAGCTTGACTTTGAATTGGATTCCCATAGGGTTGTTTAAACTCCTTCCTTTACAATGCCAATTTTAACAAAGTGCGAAATCTTTTATAAAAGAGCCTTACAAGTACGACTCTTTGGGACTTAGTAATTACCTATGAACTTTTAGGTCAAGGTTCTGTATGTCTTGCGCTTAATATTATATATATTCAAGCATTTTAGATCAGGGCTTGAGCTAGATACCGACTAGGGTGAAGAAGTCGCCTTAGGATGAGTGACTTCACTTAAAACAAACTTCAAAGCGATTTTGAAGTGGCCCTTTTTTATGATCTGTCATACCTATTTATGAGGCTAGGTCTGTTTTTAATTTGTTTACTTCTCAATTACAACCAATTATCCATAATCCGCTGGTTAAAACGTGTGTCAACATCAACAAAGTCTAATACACGCCGCAAGGCAAAAGTTCACTATGTATATTTTTCTCATTATGTTTTCATGTGAATGATGAATCAGAATACGTGTTGTAGCTCCGGCAGTTCGCATGGACCAATGGGTGACACACTAACATGTTCCGGCTATTACTTGATAATAACACAAATGGCGACTGACACAATCAATTTTCGCTGCTTACATGATTAAAGACACTGGCATTTACATAATTGTTGCTAATATGTTTTGGCAAGTAAATGTAAGACAATATGCCCAACGCCTTAAAGGTGTGAATAAAAGTGATTACACGATTGTTAAAAAGCATCGGAGAAATTATCTGGTTGTTCACTAGCCATGAAATCCTGAGGGTCATTTTGACTAAGTTTTACCAATTACAAGGCCAAATCCCCATGATTTTGACTAAGTTTTACCAATTACAAGGCCAAATCCCCATGATTTTAACAAAATTTGACCGTCCTGATGGTCAAATCAGGCCTTTATGAAAATTGAACGGTCAAAGAGTCACTTCGAGGGTCAAACGCACACCCTGATTATGTGAAGATTTGCATCTATTATTTTATTAAGACTTTGACCTCAGTTAGCGTATTTTAATACACTTGTTAAAATTGATTAATTCTTGCGAGTTATAAAGTTTTTATTTGTATCAAGTTGACCCCTGGTTATATCAACTTATCTCGTTGGTTTTAGACATCTCATTGGATTGATTTAATTTTGTAAATTAAGTATTATTATTGAAATTTCTGGCTTGTGTTTTCTTTGTTAAAAATTTAAATTAACACGCTGACAAGTGACAAGGATTATACAAAATTAAATGTCTCCAATATTCTTGCCTGTGGGTAAATCACCCAATCCTTCAACTAACGAAAATTACATCACTACATGTATATATGAAAATATTGTGTTTGATATTGGTATACATTTATGGAAAGTAGATTTATAATAGCATTGTTTTATTTGAGAGGTGTTTTTAATTCTTTTATGGTTTGTAAAGTTTCCTAGCATATAATCCCCACTCCCCCAAAAAAAGACACGAAACATTAACATGGCTCCAGATGACACTTCTCCCTAAAATTTTGACCTAGCTCAAGCCCTTAAGATAGTAAAATTTACTATCCAAAATGCTTGAATATTAAGCGCAAGACATACAGAATCTTGGCGTAAATAAGTTCACAACATATCCCAATGTCTGTAAAATTAATATCAGCACAATATTTTTCTTTGCAATACCTAGACTTTATTAATGTATTTCTCATTTGGCATCTATACTGGACAGGAACCAGTTTCCGGACAATACCAGTTTCCGGACAAGTATTATAACGGCTTAATTTTGGCTTTATCGATGACGATCGGTATTATATGTCATGAAGATGCTTGGTTTGATTGTTTGAGAAAATAAACTTCCTTCCAAGTTGATACATCATTAAAATTTCGTGAGGATATCTTACCTGTGTTTTAAAAACAGCCTTATATCCCTTTGGGGCATGTAATTTGTTCTGCGCATGCGCAATATTTTGTTTATTTCGGGATATAATTTGGGGTAGCAATTAATGCACAATGTACTTCATTCGAAGTTCATTGGTGTTATTCCCCAGAGCTAAATCTGTAACGTATCGGAAAACGGTGTTTAGCTAGGTTTACTCCACTTTCGCACTTCGTTGCTGCCGTACACACAAAAATATCCGTTTCACTTTTCAGTCATTTCGAGACCCATCACGTGATCGTTATTTTTCCTATCATAAACATTTTTCAGTAAATCAGCTTAATTATATAAGAAAGCTAATATGTGAGAAGAAATTTGTTGTTATATTAGAGTAATTATTAGGGGTGTAACAATACAGCAAAAATTGTATTGCAATATATTGCCATTTTGCTGAAGCGTATTGCAATATATTGCAATACGTATTGTCGTGTATATGTTTTGATGTAAAGATAGAGTAACATTTATATATTATTATTATATGTATATATTTTTAGTAGAAACTTAACAAGAGCTGTCCGTAAGACAGCGCGCTCGACTTTTTTATTGCTTGCCAATAAAAAAAGTTTTTGCAGTAAAAGGCAATACAAGAATCTCTGTATTTTTAAAGTGAACAATGGCCATGAGCATTAAGATATTTAGTGAAGAATTATTTTACTGAATTGTGTGATACCCTTGAACACTGCAGCAAAGTTTGAAATGTTTAAGTCAAAAGAGGGCTGGTAAGAAAGAAAAAAAAACTGAGTTGAGCCTTAAATAAATTTAATAGTATTAAACCCACTTTGAGAGAATAAGGTATTTTTACGTCACTCAGAACACCTTGGTAAATGACATAATAACATAATTTTTCAAGAAATCTATGCCAAGGAAGCAGTATATTTTTGTACAATCAGCATAATATATAGATTTGACTTTGTATGTGAAAGTATTATAGTTACCTTATAATACAAGTAATAGATAAATTTTATCAAGCTTTTTTAGATGTTGTCAGTTGGTCACAAGTGGATCTCTTTCACACAGGCTGTGGGTGACTGGTTACTTTTCGTGGGTCCACTATGTAGATAATGCGTTGTAAACTGATATTTGAATTACATGAAGGAAGTTCAATTCATTATTTAATGTCATGCTAAATGTATTTTCTAAGTCAAAAAGGGGCATAATTCTGTCAAAAACCTTGACAGAGTTATGTCCTCTTGTCTGTTGATGAAGGTCGTGATGGTAAACAAGTATGGTCAGTTTCAAAGCAATACCTCCAATGGTTTTGAAATAAAGTGAGGTGGTACAAAAAACTTAACCAAGCTCAATACACTTTCTAAGTCAAAAAAGGGCCATAATTCTGTCAAAAACCTTGACAGAGTTATGTACTCTTGTCTGTAGATGGAGGTTATGATGGTGAACAAGTATGGTAAGTTTCAAAGCCATACTTGTAATACTTCTGAAATAAAGTGGGGTGGTACGAAAAACTTAACCAAGGTGTGACGCCAACGCCGACGCCGACGCCGACGCCGGGGCGAGTAGGATAGCTCCCCTTTTCATAGAAAAGTCGAGCTAATAAAAATGTAAGGAATAAATAGAAAGTAGTGTCACACAATTTGATAAACAAAACTAGTCGCGTGTGACCTTTCACATCTGGGCCGCTTATGTAAATTATGCGGCCGCTTATTGACTTTTAAGTGTACTAGTTGTCGGATACTTTTATCTTACGTTGGCGCCAACAAAATTTGCCAATTAAAGATTTTATGTGAAATTTGTACAAAATTAGAAGGCAATTAATTGAAAATGATGATTTTTATAAAATACCGGTTTTCCAAAAATCGTACTGCGGTTCGAAATTTATTTTTTCATATTGCAATATATCGGTATACCGGTAAACCGTTACACCCTTAGTAATTATCAGTTAAAAACATAAATAAATAGCGGCTTAATATATGTCCAGAAACTGGTTCTGCAAGAGTGAACAATTTACACTTTTGATGACCTAATTTAATCCTTCAGTTTGTATATTGCTTACATCACCAGGCAGTATTAATTGTGTAATTGGACGTAGTTAGAGCTCAGGTTTTTGGTATGTTAGTTTTATTAATGCATCTTTATTAATAAAAATAAACAATTAAAAAAACTTGAATTCTGTCCGGAAACTGGTTCCTGCCCAGTACCTCAATTTCAGCAAACCATAACCTTTCATAACGCTTTAAACAATTTTCACTTCATCACGCGCTTGAAGTTAAACAAGCATGCGACATAGTTACGTGGATGGACAATTCCTAAAATTTATTTTCTTAAAAGGTATCTTAGAGTATACGACTACTGTGTCCATAAGAAAACTCACAAGAAAAAATTTCACAATGCGAAAACTTCAATTATGAATATTTAAAAGTGCGCATGACATGCACTTAGTGATAAGTTGCGTCAAAGTTACGCAGCACTACGTAACAAAATTCTCCTTTCATCTATTCAGTGTTGTACTTTAAATGATCCTGTTGCACCAGATTAAATACAACACCTTGTAAGCTGACCTACATTCATGAGCTAAAAATAGCAGTCCCTGCACACACCTTTGTTTTCATTGGCTGAGCCTGGAGCGCCCTCTGTTGGGAGAAATATACATCAGCCATTTTGTTAAATATCACATGCAAATCTCCATTAATTGAAACCCCTTCTACACTCGTCAAATAAAGCTCTTTTCAAACACATTTAATCTACTGTATTTATCGTCCCGCTACAAATGCTAAAAATAGCTCTGGCTCCAAAATGAAAGTAGATTATCAACCTTTCCCCTTTCGATGTTAACCAATTAACGAATTAAAGAACGAGTGACATTAACTACTATAGTAAATAAATGAAAATATTTATCATTGAATAAAAGATTTGAAACCGGGAGTGCTCGTAACTTACAGTTTTCATTGGAAAATGTTTACGCAGGATTAATTATACATGAAACTTTCAGACAGTAAACCTCGACAAACTCCGGAAATCAAATAGTCTCCAATCCAAAATTAACTTAGGTCAAATATTTCATCAGGATTGTCTTAATAAGTAATTCTATTCGTGAATTGAATATATATTATCAAAGATAAATATTTAATAAACAAAATTATTTTTTATCGTTAAAACGATAATTAAAAAATATTGAGAAAAGATTATTTTAATAAAAGTAACACCACTAATATTTTCTTTTCAGATTGTACATTACTAAATATTTTCCTCCTTCATTATGTTTTATAAAAAGCAGGATTTTGATAACAAAGTGTCGAAGCGTTTTTCAATAATGGATCCAGTCTAAAACAAAAAAGAAAATATACGTATTTTTTGTCCCAGATACAGTGCATCATATATGAGTATAGAACAGTAAAATGCTACGTGTACATTTTGAATGCTTGATAAAAATATTCAGTATTTGAATAAATGAACGTGGAAAATTGCACAGGTTTATAATGATTACGGAAGAAATGCCACATAAGATCAAATGAAAAGCCCATATAAGCCCTATATGTTGATACATCCATTTGTCTGCCGTAAGTCATATCTTATAACGAGTTAATTGTCTTAAAATTTTGCTGAACGTTTATATAAATAAAAGAATGAGGATTGAAATCGTCCCAAAGGTTTCGATTTAAGTTATGATACTTATTACTAAAGTCGGCATATTTAAAGGAAAAATGCCATATTGAGCATATATTGTAATGCAACTGAGCAGAAATATCATGAAATATCATCAAAATCTTAACATGCATTTTTAAGTTGAGATCCTTAATTAAGAAAGAGGTAAATTACCATTTTGAACGAAATTTTACCTGTGGTCTTTAAAACTGTAATGAAAGCTTTTTGAAATTTAAACTTGCTTCTATGAGTTATGTCACTTTGTTACTATATAAAGGACATTTTCTATACAAAAGTGTGTGATTAAACTCTGTATAAATGTATAAAAGTGTTAGTATTTGAAATGTTTTAGATTTTGATGTCCGAAAAAGTGAATTTCTATGAAATGTTCTAGATAGTCAGACTAGATACATGTATATCTCATAATTACCATCTTAAATGAGTTAATATTAAATAATGTTCACTCATGGCAGTCATGGTTTAATTGAATTGCATGCTTCACTACACTTGATCTTATCATCGTAATTCTTGGCTTAATGAACGAATGACATCACAGAATTTCATAAACATAATAATTCTTTTATAACTAAAAAAGAATATTACTTACTATAAAAGCTATTTCGCTTAACATTTTAAATAATATTGGGTTTATATCATTATAAATTGTATAATTATACAAAAAAGCCAAATTCCTTTATAATTGTAATATGTAAAATGTCTAAGGTATACCGAAAATTAAAAACAATGAAGTTGCACGTGTGGACTCTAATAGAATGCAACATAAAGAAGCTTCTATCAATATAAGCATTATAATAAAGCCCAATAAGTTGTCTCATTTTTAATATTATCTATATTTGCAAATTGTTAGAGACAGTACTTCTTTGTTCTTAAATACGTTCGATCTCAGCTAAAATATCATAATTTTGTACTTATGCCATTAGAAAAAGCAAAACTTATTTGCCTAAATGCGTGCAGTGAAATTTGAAAGACCCTGATGCGTGTAATACCGTAAACAGCGTTAAATAACTCGCGTAATGATGTGACGAGGCAATACAGTCATATTGGAAAATTCAATTGGTATTGACCTCATGCCTTGCTCCTCTGTTTCCGCTGACTACAGTCATTGTAAGCATATTTTAGGTCTTCTTTGTTGTAGAGTTAATTAAGCTACAGCATGGTCTAAACATTTTGTAGAAATGGAATAACATTCCCCCCATGTGCCATAAAATATTTTGTCCATTAGATGAGATGACTTTCTGTATTCATAAACAGGAGATTCACTATCATAAATTTAAGTGTCAGTTACATATTGTTTTAAACAAAAACAGAATCGTCCATGAAAAAAACCTTACAATTGGCAATGAAAGATGTACAATAAACAAATTCCCGTCTACTGGATTTAAGAGTATGCTTGTAACAATTTGCCTGTCGTAAATATACCTTGCTCGCACTATGCTGTTTTAGCACGTGCCGTTCCGCATGGATCATTTTCGCAGTATGTCAAAATGTAAACTGTCCTATTTTTAATTTGGAATATGTTTTAACGTTTGATATATACTTTTAATTTAATTTCCTTCATCCCCCGCAAAAAAATAATAATTTTTCTGTAGGTGTGTATATATTTAGTAAAAAGATATATATATGCACCAATTCTTACTTTTTGTGGGGAAAGAATGGAATTGAATTAAAAGCATATTTCAAATATTAGAACATACATTCCAAATGAAAAATACTGCTGTTAACATTGTTTTGGAGAAGTAGGATGGTTGTAGAGTGGATAAAAGGAGGTGGGTGTGTGTGTGGGGGGGGGGGTGAGATATCAACGCGCCGAACACCTGTGCTGGTGTGTATATCATACTATAAAATAATCATACATTTTTTATATAGGCCAATTAGAAATTTCTCTTAGTACAACCTTTACACACATTGTTGACCTGCTACAAAACATGCGACATGTATGCTCAAAAATGCACGAAATTCACACGTTTCTATATAACCAGAGTCTATCAAATACGGATTTCAAAGACCCTGATTTAACCGATAAGTACAGAAACGTTGTTGTTTTCCAGGAAGGTTAATAATTATAATAATTTCGTCTGCCGTTTTTTAGTCTGGGACAAAGGTTATTTTTTGTCCCAGGTTTATTTTCTATCTATCTTTTTGTGATTTCAAAAAGATCTTTTATAAACAAATGGCATTTCCAATATTAATTAAGTACATGTACTTTCAATTCAACTATAGAAGGCATCTGTTTTTATAATGAATAAAGGGATGAGATTGAGATCGTTTGGGGTACATTCGCTTTAGTTTCCGCCACAACATACATATGTTCTTAGTTATTGTTCAGGTATATTTACATTGAGCAGTATTAAACAGTTTCCTATTTAGGTTGAAAGTATACAAAGAGTCACTCTGTTGTAAAGGTTAGCGTTAGGTTTATTTTCTATCTATCTTTTTGTGATTTCAAAAAGATCTTTTATAAACAAATGGCATTTCCAATATTAATTAAGTACATGTACTTTCAATTCAACTATAGAAGGCATCTGTTTTTATAATGAATAAAGGGATGAGATTGAGATCGTTTGGGGTACATTCGCTTTAGTTTCCGCCACAACATACATATGTATACTGTATGTTAGACCTCAGGTTGAATATGTTCTTAGTTATTGTTCAGGTATATTTTCGCTTTACTTTCAATTCAACTATAGAAGGCATCTGTTTTTATAATGAATAAAGGGATGAGATTGAGATCGTTTGGGGTACATTCGCTTTAGTTTCCGCCACAACATACATATGTATACTGTATGTTAGACCTCAGGTTGAATATGTTCTTAGTTATTGTTCAGGTATATTTACATTGAGCAGTATTAAACAGTTTCCTATTTAGGTTGAAAGTATACAAAGAGTCACTCTGTTGTAAAGGTTAGCGTTAGGTTTATTTTCTATCTATCTTTTTGTGATTTCAAAAAGATCTTTTATAAACAAATGGCATTTCCAATATTAATTAAGTACATGTACTTTCAATTCAACTATAGAAGGCATCTGTTTTTATAATGAATAAAGGGATGAGATTGAGATCGTTTGGGGTACATTCGCTTTAGTTTCCGCCACAACATACATATGTATACTGTATGTTAGACCTCAGGTTGAATATGTTCTTAGTTATTGTTCAGGTATATTTACATTGAGCAGTATTAAACAGTTTCCTATTTAGGTTGAAAGTATACAAAGAGTCACTCTGTTGTAAAGGTTAGCGTAAATACTGTACAGTCTTATAGTTAACTCCCTTTAATGAGTACACGCCATTTTCAGCAAAGCAAAGGTACGGTGTTTCAAATTATGTATTTAATTTATATATTTGACTTACCAAAAATATTTAATTTCTATTCCACTGTTTAAGTTTTCAAAATGTTTCTGAACATAAATCTACCGTAGAGTATGTCGAATTATAGACATAACTTATATAAAAAACAGTCTTAAGTTAGGGATACCTACATAATTTCCTAACCAGCTAACATTGTTTGTAGTACATTTCAGCCTGGAAATGGAATTATTATGGACTGATCATATGACAGTTTTGCAGCTTTACTGTACTGTAGAAGGAAGACCTCAGGTGCCATTCACACAAGCAGGCACCTGATTTAATATGCTGTCAGAGTTGCAGTTTTCTGAATTATTTTCATAAAGATTGTTTTTGCTCTTCACTTTATTTATTTTCAGGTCTATATAACAGGTATGAACCCTTCATGCTTTAAGAGGCTGTTGATTCCTGACTCTATGAGCCTGATAAACTGTTTAACATCAGTCAATCTGCGTACATATTGCTTAAAGGCAGGCAAACTGGGATACTGTGGCTTGACAGGTCTAGGTATAACTTCTGATATTTCATTGCACTTGCTGAATTAAGTGAATGATTGCCCATAATTCAGTGCAAAATTATTAATTGTGAGTCTAAATACTTGCGATATGAAAGGAATAGAATTAAGCAGATTCATGTGACAAATTTAAGTATTTATCATTTCTGGCACTTTATAGGTTAAATAAAGATCCCAAGATTAAAATGTAACACTGAACACCACAAATTTGTATTTTGATTTTTATCTTCCCTTAGCTTTTGTGGTGGAATGCTGTCCATGATCCATTGTTTATTGTCTTTTGTTATGAACAATTTCTGTTATCTTAGACCAGATGGTGGATTTAGTCATTTTATTTGATCACACAACCAATCTAGATTTGAAACAATGGAAGATGACTGGATATTGAAATTAAGGCAAATATTTGTGTCTTGATAATGCAAAATATGTACAACTATTTTCAGATGAAATTGACCTACACAACCAATTTTTATTTATGATTTATTTTTAGCTCACCTGTCACAAAGTGACATGTTGAGCTTTTGTGATCCCTTTTCAATCGTCGTCCGTCCGTCGTCCATTGTCCGTAAACTTTTACTTTAAACAACATCTCCTCATAAACCGCTAAGCCAATTTCATCCAAACTTCACAGGAATGTTCCTTTGGTAGTAAACTTTAAAAATTGTTCAAAGAATTTAATTCCATGTAGAACTCTGGTTGCCATGGCAACCGAAAGAAAAAGCATAAAAAGTCTTCTTTAAAAAAAAACGAAAGAGCTAGAGCTTAAATATTTGGCATGAAACATTGTGTAGTCAGTGTCTACCAAGTTTGAACAAATAAAAGCCCTGGGGTTAAAATTGGCCCCGCCCCAGGGGTCATTGATTTTCCTTATTTGTATATAGTGAAAAACTACTTAAAAATCTTTTTTTTTTAAATCCAAATAGCTAGTGCTTAGATACTAAGCATGAAACATCTTCTAGTGGGTGTCTACCAAGTTTGTTCAAATAAAAGCCCTGGGGTCAAAATTGGCCTTGTCCCAGGGGGTCATTGTTTTTCCCTTTATGTATATAATAAAAGCTTAAAAAATATTCTTTTAAAAAACCATAAGAGCTAAGATATTTAGCATGAAACATCTTCTTATGGCTGTCTACCATTTTTGTTCAAATAAGGGCCCTGGGGTTAAAATTGGCCCCATCCAGGGGGTCATTGATTTTCCTTATATGTGTATAGTAAAAACTTAGAAAAATTTCTTTTAAAAAAACGAAAGAGCTAGAGTTTAGATACTAAGCATGAAATATCTTCTCGTGAGTGTCTACCAAGTTTGTTCAAATTAAATCCCTGGGGACAAAATTTGCCCCGCACACATCGAATACATGGTGTAGTATAGTACATAGAAGTACCACGGTTTAAACGGTATCGTTTTGGTTCTTAATAATCGTGTAAACATTTACAAAAAATTGTAAACGTGGGAGCCTTAGTTACAAGCAAACCAGACCATTCCAGATAGTTTGCTTTTAGTTGAGTGAAAAAGACCCATAATTAACTGTTGTCGGCATGGGTTCTATGTCAAGATAGGTCATCAATTACATTATCTATGATATTGTTTCTGTTTTCCCCCTCAGATGCTGTGGTGTCATATATATCAGCTCATATGAGAAAACAAGGAAGAATTGATACAGATCTTTTGGTGATTGATAACCCAGGTATGTTATTAGATTTAGCTGAAGGTATTCATTAAAAACTTTACACATGTTTTTAGTATAATTATTGTTTGATTACTGTCCAAAACCAATATATCTCCAGCGAGGGTTTTGACTGAACTATATTTTGTGATGAATTTGGAAAATTTCTAGTTAAGGTTTTGCTTACTAGTTCTGTCTCCACAACCTTTGAAGGTAGTCATTTATAGATGCCAAAGCCCATAACTCTCACATTGATCTTTACCATATATTTCCACTGTACTCTAAGAAATTTTTTTGCATGGTTCTTGTTAGCCCCACTTTGTTTTTAAAGAAATAAAGCTATTGTCATGGCCCTGTTGTTTCCTTTGGCAGTCCTTTTTGTTAGGACCATTTTCTCAAAACTGTTGAAGTTATTCAAGAAAAAAATCAATATTGAGATATGTATTAATATCAGCTATACATCATTATATTAAGTATAATCTATATTTAATAAAAACTTTAAGACACTATTTCAGACTGGCAACTAAAAATCTGTCTTCCAAAATATATGCAAGTCAATAATATTATTGAAAATGTATATTAGCCAACTCTGTTGTCTGCTTGAAGATTTTTATGCTACTCGTGAAAATACTGTTTTGAAGCTCACCTAATGATATAAATTTCCTTCTTTAACTAAAAGCAAACAAATATACTGTAAGTTATTATAATACATTATTGTTACGTAAGTTGAAATTTGTAGAATATAAAAAAAATCTATCTGTAACACAGTTGATATAATCACCGTTTATACATTTTTTAGTTAGTGGAGAAGTTGTAAAACAGTTTAAAAAGGCTGGTGTCAAGAAGATAGCATGTACTATCAAAGAAGAGGAACACTTTTTGAAAATAAAGGTAAAATTTCTTTTATCATTCTACCATAGATTATGACAAATATCAAAGCCAAAGCAGTTATTTGTTTCCTTTCATGTTTGATATGACCCTTGATCCTCTTTAGGATCACCAGTCTGATATTGTCCCATACAATCACATGGTACTAGAAATAAGCCAAATAAAAGAATTTTGTAGAATAATTAAAGAAAGAAATATTCCGATTGTGGAAAAGGGGACTCTGCTTTTGAAGCTAAAATGTCAAAACATGACTGTTTGTAAGTGACATTTCATTTTCTTTCAACAATTTTATGTTTTTGAAGATAGATTTTGAAATATTAGTATAACGGTAAATTTTGGGTTAAATTCTGTAGGTGAATGGCTTTAGTGAGACAATAGCCTAGTAAAGAGTGAAAGGGTTTGTCTTCTCAGCTGAGGAATTATTTGTTCAAGCCATGCTTGGTTTATCATCATTTCTTCCTGTATTGGACACCTATACTTGATTGTCTTGGTAGCAAACTTGAAAGTAATTAATCTGAGTAAAATAAATCATAATTGAATTAATTGAAACTGACTGAAACAAATGTTTGTAATTTTAGGAGCAGCTAACAGGGTCGCATCATGTTTACCTGTACAATCTATTAGGCATGCATAAACAATGGGCAGAAAAACTACCTAATGTAGTTGAATCAGAGGTGAAATTACTAGCATCAGTTGGAGATGTAACAGGTCAGTTTCTTAATAAATGACATATTGAACTATGAGATGAATTGTCAAGAAGCTAGAAAAATTACCTGACAAATGTAGGAAAGGATTTGCCTTATGACAAATTCAATAAATAAATAATTTCAATTTGACCTTGACCGAGAAATGACTTTTTACTGCCAATGTCAAATTAATGATTGACAAAATTGTTTCATACTTGGACAAAACAATACAAACAAACACATCATTTTGTTGAATAATTTAAGTATGAACTTGATCTATAAATAGCCTTGAATGTCAAGGTCAAATATGAAATTGTACAAAAAATGAAGTTGTCTTGATACATTTGCCTTGGAAAAAGTCATGTGTGGCCCCTGTGTTACTCTTGTTATAATATTGAACATGAGTAATGTAAAGAGAATAATGTGTAATGGTGTAACATACTAAAATCTTTGTCTATACTGATGGATTGTCAAAATATTTAATTGGTCACACATAAGATCTAAATTTGTACATGTACAATTAAGGTCAATTTCAAAGCTGGAGGTCAAAGGTCAAAATTTGTCACAACTTATAGCTGTGTCATTACTTGAAGTATATGGTATATGTCTTCACCCCAGTCAGTCAATGTGTTGCATGTAAGAGCCAGGTTCCTCATTGGTCAAGGTCATAGCAAAGGATTATGCTTTGTTAATTTGTCATATAGTCATTTTAATCTTTAGTGAAGCTGGAGCTTGTATCCAGTCTTAAACATTTGCATGCATAATGCGATTTCAAAATAGATTGGTGCACATGACTGCTGTAAGTGGCCAATTTGTATTGAGCAAGACCCATGTATATTTAATATCTTGTCCTTTTTCTGTATCTTTTGATATATCTTTTTACATGTTCCCTAAATGTCTTCACACTACATTGTACTTTCCTTGGCTATAAGCTTTAAAGATACAATGTACAAATCACGTTTTTGAGTGTATTGTCGGGTTATCCATGTCTTATGGACATATTTCTAGTTTGATAATGTATTATTGTAGGACTTGTAATTCTGGCTTCTGGTATTTCTGATGTTGAGAGCTTGGATGTTCATAGACACCTCCTTAAACGAGTGATGACCAACAATGTGGATGGTTTTAACAGTATCAAAAAAATACATTGGATTTTAGCTTTATCTGAAAAAAGTGTAACATCAAAAAAGGTAAATTTGTCAGCATGCCATAATTTTTCAAGAGTTATACTTGAATGAACTATTTATTATATGGTGTATTTTAATGATTAATTTGTTTTAGATGGAATTTTATTATGATAAAAAGAACTATGGTGTATACGAAAGTAAGGCCAAGATATAAGGAAATATTTTAACCATGATTATAATTTTGTAAAAAATTGCCCGGGAATAGCTTATTGCGTGTAGTTTTGAAATATGCAATACTGTAATTATTATGAATTCAAAGGTCTAAGAGAATGATCATGTACGATGTTAGGCTGGTACTGAGAAAACAATTATGATTTATCTTCCAAGTTTCATTTAATTTTATTACCATAATAGAAGTCTGGCTATTACCTGTCTAAGGTACTTTAAATAATGCAATTAATGAAATATGATATTGTTAAGATTCATACCATAAATTACAAAGTGTTTGTTGAATTAAAGGTGAGTGGTTATGCACAGTTGACTTGATGTCTGCTTAATACAAATCATATATCTATAAAAAAATTTGTAAGGCCATATATTGTCCCATTTAGAGTTATCTACCTTACATTTAACAGCCATGTCTACATTATATTTTTCTACCTTACCTCCTTTATGGAGGACCAGAGAACAGAAACACAATTTATTTTTGCCTAACCATGCATAATAGAATTGAATTGCAGATTTGTAAAGTTTCTTTTTAACCTTTTTTCAGCACTTCCAAAGTAATTTTTCAGTAATAAAACTGATTAATTCATTTTATAAGCACAAGAATGGAATAAATGTAAGTATATTTTATATTTTTTTAATGTCCTCGGGCATATAGTTATTGAATCGTCTGTCCATCCGAGAGAAACTTATTGGACTGTATGAAAATGTTGATAATATGATGTTCATTCCATTTTCAGTACATAAAATTATGCTTTTCTTATGGGCTAAATAATTGCACATGTGATGCAAGAAAAAAAGATTGCTTGTGGGAATTAAAAGATAAAAGTATAGCATCAAATCAGTGTGACTCAGTGCAAGTTTATCCTAAACTAACAAGTTGGATTTATCATATGTTCCACCAGTACTAATGGTTTCATTAATTTACATGGATACTTACAAATATAAAATTCATTTTGCAAGTTGTATATTTTTCCAGTCATTTCCCTTTCCAATATTTTGAAAATAGGTATGGTTAAGCTATTTTGGCAAGTTGGGTATATCTTGAGTTTTATCTGTACCAGCAGCTTAATACTATATGAGCCGCGACACAACAAAACCAACATAGTGCGTTTGCGACCAGCCTGGATCCAGTCCAGCCTGCGCATCCGCGCAGTCTGATCAGGATCCATGCTGTTCGCTTACCAACCCTATTACAAGTAGAGAAACTGGATGCGCAGGCTTGTCTGGATCCATGCTGGTCGCTAACGCACTATGTTGGTTTTGTCGTGACACGGCTCATATATACTTAAACTACATATTTAACTGTAACATAATGACATTAAATTGACATCATACTCTTTTACTATGTGTGTATTTTCTGTCTGTTAGCTTATGTTTGTGTGTGTGAAACATAGCAAAAAATGCACAGTTTGATATTTTGAAATTAAGTGCTAAGGGAGAATATCCTCACTATTTAGTATGTACATGTACCTAAGCTCCAAATAATGCTGTGTAAAAGTTATATCATTTAATGACAAATCACGCTTTAAACTCACAGAAGACTGTAAATATATTTTTACCTGATTAAAATATGTCTCTTTCAGATAAGTCTCGATGAGTCCCGCTCAATATTTTGTGAAAATCTAGATTCAAAGGTAAGTTTGTGAAGATTGGTTAAAGCTGTAACTATGCCTCCAGATGAAATATTTGAGAAAATCAAAATGGAATAATGTACAAATATTTTAAGAAAAGTGAAAAATACTAAACCTCTAAGTAATGATTTTCATGTTATGTGCAATTAATGACCGATTTTGCTATATTTATTATTTTAGCTATCTTTGCATATTTTGACCTCTGGTAATTATACCCCTTGACAAACGAAGTTTGTTGGAGTATACTGTATTCAGCTGGTGGTCAGTGGGTTGGCTGCGTGGTCCATTACAGATTTCTTGTCCGGGACTTAACTCAGAATGTACAAGAGATTTCAACTTTAAATTTTGTTGGTAAAAAGATCTGAATGAGTAAAAGTGTGGTGCATAAGAACTTAAACTATCCCTTCCTTAATTTTAGAGTTATTGCCCTTTGTCCTTTTTACACATTGAACTTTGAGAACATAATTTGAGAACTGTAACAGTTATCAACATGAAACATGAAACTTTATAGATAGATAGATCTCACTGAGGGCAAGTGATGAAATGTCAGGGAGAAAGAACGGTATTGCCTTTAAAAGAAGTCCAAACTTTAATTTATATTATTGACGTAGGACAAATAATTCAAAAACATTTGAAAAAAAATCTATAAACTACTGCATTCTCTCTATATGCAAAATTACCTACTTAAAAGCATGTTTTTCGACAATCGGCACATGTTACAATTTCTAGTTTGTACTTATTATATTAACTCACCTGAGCAAAATATGGTCAGGAAGAACTTAAGTGTTCGCCTCTTGTCTCTACAGATACCCACCTTTTTCTCTGAAACTGCTTGGTTAGATTGAATGAAACATGCCTGTATTGTACCTTGCATAAAGCTATAACTAAGAAATCTCTTCTCAGGAACCTCATTCATCAGAACTTAGATATTTAGTATAAAGAATAATGAATAACCTTTTGGATGTATACAAAATTTACATATATATTTTTTTTTTTTTTATGTCGTCTCTACGGAGTAGTGGGGACATATAGGGATCACTTCTCCGTCGTCTGTCCGTCCGTCTGTCTGTCCGTCTGTCCGTCACAAAACTTGTCGGACTACTCCTCATAAACTACTGGTACAATTTCATCCAAACTTTACAGGAATGATCAGTACCAAGTCTAGTTGTGCATATTGTCAGCATTTTCTGGTTCAATGATTTTTGTCAGAGTTATGGCCCTTTAATAATTTTTATTTTTAAAGTTTGTCCGGACTACTTCTTGTATACCACTAATGCAATTTCAATGAAACTTTACAGGATTGATCTGTAGCTCAAGTCCTTGCGCATATTGCACGGGTTTTCCGGTTGAATGATTTTTGGCCGAGTTACATTGCCCTTTGATAAAAACGTGTTTTTTTCTGTGTGTTGCCAGATACACAAAAGCTTGTCCGGACTACTTTTCAAAAACTACTGGTGCAATTTCATCCAAACTTTACAGGAATGATCAGTACCAAGTCTAGTTGTGCATATTGTCAGTATTTTCCGGTTCAATGATTTTTGTCACAGTTATGGCCCTTTAATAATATTTATTTTTAAAGTTTGTCCGGACTACTTCTCTTATACCACTAATGCAATTTCAGTGAAACTTTACAGGATTGATCTGTAGCTCGAGTCCTTGCGCATATTGCACGGGTTTTCCGGTTGAATGAGTTTTAAGCAAGTTATGGCCCTTTGATAAAAAGGTGTTTTTTTCTGTGTGGTGCCAGATACACAAAAGCTTGTCCAGACTACTCCTCATAAACTACTGGTGCAATTTTATCCAAACTTTACAGGAATGATCAGTACCAAGTCTAGTTGTGCACTGTCTGTATGTCTGTCTGTCTGTCACAAAACTTGTCCCAACATAAAATTGGCCATCATGAGGCGCCACATGTGATAACTGATCGCTCTTGTGTTAGAATTAGCTCACATTGTTCAAGAGGTTAATGTATAAATATGCTTATTTATTGTTTAGGGAAACATATACAGTAGATTCTTGGTCTGTAGCAATACCTGAAGTGAACTTCTTCAAAAGTTTATTAATTTATGACGCCCCCATTATCCAGCTGAGGTGAGCAATCTAAGGCCATCATTGCCTAATTTTTTTTTTCATTGTTTCCAGAAATTTCATAAAGAGTCTAGTATTAATGTAGTGAGGAAGAAGAGTAAGATATCTAGTATAAAAAACTCTGATGTACATTTTATGCACTTTGTTCCGAAGTCAAGTGTGTTACAAAAGTTGAGAGTAGAAGAGAGGATTGAATTTAAAACTTTTGTGTGTACAATAAATGGACCTCAGAGACTTATACCTGCATTAGAGTAAGTGTAAAATTTGTTTATTAAACAAAATGAACATGCGTCATAAAAAATTAGTTTAAAAGAAAGAATAGAAAGAAGATAGAAAATGAAAAAGAAACACCCTAGAAACAAACAATAATTGAATGTTTATTGAACAAATTACATTTCTCTCATGATTTTAGAGGTAGAATCTCTCTTTTTCAAGGAGTAAGCTATTTACTCACCTGTGTGTCTGAGTTACTCTAACAATGGTCAATGTTTATAGGCAACTTTCTGCATATCAGATCTCATCAAACACTAAAAATATTTGCTTTCAACTTTAACATGTCTTTGAGTTCATATTAAGAAGTCAGTTTCAAAAGTTCATACCTCTAGCATGGATTTTGACAGAATTATGGGCCTTTGTAGACTACATTTCAAACTATAGATATTTTGTGTATTTAAAGCCACTGTATAAATGTTACAGTTTCTGTTTTATTGACCCAAGCTTATAAAAGATGAAGGGTGATATTGTGCTATCAAAATAACCTACACACCAGTATTGCCAGATTGTACTTGAAAATCATGTTTAAAAAACAACCATTGTTTCAAATAGGAAGTTGATACCTGGATGTGGCCTTGAATTGATAGAGCTTGGATATGGAATGGCTGATGAAGTTCAAAAGATTCGCGCAAATAAGTTGTTGAAATTATACAAGGTAATATATGTTTAAAATAAAATAAAATTATTTTGCTGTATTTGTTATGGTATGGTAACATAACCTATGGATTAGTGCAAATTGAATTTCAAATTTTATTAATAGCCTTGGTAAAATGTTATTTTGAGCATGTAATAAGATGTTAATTGTTATGAAGTAGAAATGGTTTTCATCGGCTATTGGGATTGTGGGCATAACCAGGTATCGGTCTTCCATGGTCATCAATATTGATCAGAATTCTGGGAAAGGGAGGTCCTTCCAAAAGCAAAGACCCCTCACAAACTGTGGGTTTGAATCCCGACAGGGACTTTGGATTTTTTAATGTGAGGAAGCAATCCAGCTAGCTTACGGAATCATCCGAATGTCAGTGGTTCTACTCAGGTGCCCGTTCGTGCCTGAAATAATGCACGGAAGGGCACCTGAGGTCTCCCTCCACCAGTAAAGCTGGAATGTCGCCAAATGACCTATACTGTGTTGGTGTGACATAAAACCCCCCAAAAAAACAAACAAAAGCAATGAAAACAAAAATTAATTGGTGAAAATTTGCATACTCTATTTGATTGAGCCTGCATTATGAGAGTCAGTGTAAAGTGAGATATATTGTGAAGTCTCTAGCGATTGAAGTCTTAGCTACAAAGTTTGTTGTATCTGGTCCTTATTAACCAATGGTGTTGTATATGTAGTCCTTTATTTCTTCTATAAGCAATTATACTGTGGCCAAATTTTGTTGACATTTCACAGGAACAATAATAACATAAAACTGTTGTTCATCTCGTCATCATCAATTTTGTTTATGCGAAATGAAGCTTTTTAGCTCACCTGAGCTAGCTCAGGGTGAGATTTTAGGATCGTTGAACTGTCATCCGTCATCTGTGGTCAGTCTACATTTGTTCGTTAACACTCAATCATCATCAAACTTTGTCAGGATGCTTATTTAGTTAATTGCTCTGAAGACTTCGAGCATGGGTCATCTTGGAAGAAAAACTAGGTCACAGGAGCTAAAAAAAAATTCTTGTTCACACTCTATTGGCTACTGTTTTGATCCAAATATCCTGGAAATGGGTCTGAAAGTTTGTTGCCAAGTTCGAACATGGGTCATCTCAGATGAAAAACTAGGTCACACCGCCCAAATATGGAAAAACCTTGTTAACACTCTATTGGTCACATTTTTGACTCAATTATCATCAAACTTGGTCAGGATGCTTGTCTAGGTAATTGCTCAGATGAGTTCGAACATGGGTCATCTCGCATGAAAAACTAGGTCACTGGAGCTAAAAATATAAAAATCTTGTTAACACTCTAGTGGCTACTGTTTTGATCCAAGTATCCTGGAAATTGGTCGGAAAGTTTGTTTTTATGATTTCTAGGTCAAGTTCGAAAATGGGTCACCTGGGTAAAAAACTAGGCCACACTGCTCAAATATGAATAATCCTTGTTAACACTCTAGAGGTCACATTTTTGACTCACCTGTCATGAAACTTGGCAAAAATGCTTGTCTATGTAATTGTTCGGATGAGTTTGATGTGTCAGGTGAGTGATCTAGGGCCATCATGGCCCTCTTGTTTTGTTCATATGGTTAAATTACAGATATTATTGAAATTTAAACCCTTAACCTGCTGAAACTTAAAGGGATATAGCCTTTACCACCAGTTTCAGTGTTAGGCCAGGCAGCACAACTGTGCAAGAAACTTAATATTGTTTTTTACTTTCTTGAATATTCATTTTCAGGATGTTAAGAGCTTACCAGAGTTCAAAGGGTCAGCACTTCATGCTCTGTTAACAAGAAAGGATGCTGAGATAGATTTGCAAGACTTGCAATATGATTATAATATGTCTATGGTGAAATGGTGACAGAAGCAACTGTGGTCAAATTTTAATATGATAAGATGCAAGATTTGATTCATTGTTTCTTGAACATGAAAGTAAAGTATGTGTTTCTGATGTGATAATCCACTGTGATTGTGATATCAATAAGTTTTAAAGTAATCAGTGAAAATTTGGAGTTAGCCAATGATAAAACACTTGTTATTATGAAGTATTTTTATTGATCATTGATTATATAATAAAAGTAGAAGACAGTAAAAAATTGCAGTGTTTGCCATATTATAAAACTTTGACCACACTTTGAGGCTTTGACTGCAATATGAAACTTTAACCATAATATGAGGCTTTGACCACACATTGTGGCCCTGACCACACCGAGGCTCTGACAACAATATGAGTCTCTGATCACAATATCAGGCTTTGACCTTACATTGTTCCTCTGACCACATGGAAACTCTTACCACAATATGAGGCTGTTACCGCAATATGAGGTTCTGACCACACCTAGTCTCTGACCAGAATGAGGCTCTGACCACAATATGAGGCTCTGACCTATCAATGAGGCTTTCAGCACAAAATGAGACTGATCTTTTAATGAGGCTCTGACCACACAATGAGGCTTTGACCACACTATGACGCTCTGACCACATAATGAGGCTGTGATCTTATAATGAGGCTCTGGCCACACTATGAGGCTTTGACCACACTATATAACTCTGGCCACATAATGCGGCTTTGACCTTACAATGAAGCTGTGACCACACTATAAGGCTCTGACCACACTATGAGGCTCTGACCACACTATGAGGCTCAGACCCCACCATGAGGCTCTGACAACATTATGAGGATGAGGCTTACAGAAACCATTTCAGTGATTCAGGTATAGGTCTAAAGATGGTTTACTAAGGGAATAGTCTTTCTTTGGAAATTGATATTGTTGTTGTGAAGAGGATATTGCTCTATACCCTAATAACGATATAACATGGAATATGTCACTGTTATTTTAACAAACATGAATGTTGTACATAAACAGAATAAAATATTTAGAAACAAAATATGCTGTTGTTTTTGGGAGTTTTTAAACATTGATTTTAGTTAATTTTAGCAATAATTAAATGCATGCTTCTTCTGCTGATAAAAACATATTTCTTAACGCAGGTATTTTGGAAGTAGATCCTCTATTCCATTACAACATTTAAATTATCATTTGTAAACAAAAGGCGTCAGTTACATAGTTTTATGCAATTTATTTTCAATATTGTCAACAAATTTATCATTTTAATGTCTGTTTATTTATCGAAATATAATGAATTAAACACTTTGAAAACTTGAATTTAGAGTAGACAAACAGCTGCATGCCTCCAGAAAGTGAAAAAATTTAAAAAAAATCCCCTGCCCCCTCTCACCCCATGGAATTGTCTGTATATTATTGTAAATAGTGGATTAAAGTATTCTAAAACTAAAGCAAAATGAAAGTAAACTACTTGCATAACTTTTAAAACAAATTTACACAGAAGTATTTGTTTTTCTGGTTCTATGCATTAAAAGGTAATGTCATCCTTGCCTCTCAAATATGTCAACATTGATAACATTCTTTCTATTAATATCAGTACTTGTGAGGTATTAAGGTAAGCTGATTAAGCTGCCAATAAAAGTTGAATGATGGCCCTGCTGTGGCTGCCGAGACCCGTTTCAAATGTTTAGTAAATTGCCTGAATGTTAGCACTATTCATAGGAATTAAAAAATTGCGCCAATAGATGGTCTCCTGCATGTAGCAAACAATCCAACAGCTTCTTGGCCAGATAAACGATGAATGGCAAAACTACATTATGCCTCCAGTTCCATTAATGATTGATGCTGACATATTAATTTGAAACTTGCCAGTTTTGAAAACTTGCCATCTGGATTATAATTAAAGATCAGTTACCAGGACCCATATTTAGATTAACTTTCACACAGTTATTTCCCTTTATATATTTTTCTACACTTTACAGGCCATCATTTATACTGTGAAGCATTTGTAATACAAGAGTACATGACTGTATGCTGCTTAACCGACAGCTGTTGTTTGAGGAATTATTGCCCCTTAACTAATTGAAAGTGAAAAAGTATATATTTATTTGGAGCTATATACAATTCCAGAGTGGCTTAAAATTTTGTCTGATATTTTGTTTTTAATCTCCTTGGTATTTTGAAGAGTACCGGTACAAAGCTATATCTTATAAATTATTTTAATATTCTTATGATATGGTCAATTCTCAAAAGAGTTGTCACAGGGGATGTTTTTTTTATTTAATACATACGAATATTGTATGTAAAAAGAAAAAAATGTTCTGGGACAAAATATTTTGCTACTATTCTGAGTAGGAATTTAATCATTTAGCAATTGTATAGTGCAAAGGAAATATACAAACATATTTCTTTCATACGGGCATTTTTGAATTATTTTTTTTTTTTTTAAAAAAACCCCAAAGAAAAAATTTTGAAAAAGAAAAATTTATAGCTTTAAAATGATTGGAAAGAGTAACTGGCCCATGCAAACTACAAATACGGGGAAAATTTTATCTTAACAAAACCAAAAACAGAAAAGGGGTATGCGAAAGAAATAAAAGGTCCCAAATTTTTTAAAGAAAGGGGGTTAATAATTTTTGGGAAACCCCTTGTATTGATTTTTAAGGACTGTTTTTTAAAATTCCTGAACAATTTTAAAATTTTAAATGTTGGCCTTAATTTTTTGACTTCAGATATTTGGTAATGACCCAGTCCTTTTTTTTGAATATAATGAAAACCAGAATATTTTAGAAATAACTACATGACCTGGTGATTTCTATTTATGAAATATCAGAATCCCAAGTTGCAGCATGCTAAAGGAAACCAGATATATACAATTATATTTAGCACAGATCAGGTGATAAAAATCCACTCCCTGATAGAATTTTTGGTCAAATATTTAAGATAGGAATTGGAAAAAATTATAAATACATAAAAGCCATGAATAGATAACAAACCTAACTGTAGTATTTTTATAAAATAGGTTGAGTGGTAATATACTTAAAGTACCTTTTATTGTATTCATTACAAGACATATAGTGCATTTTAAATTTATGATTCATCACACAAAATATTTGATTGCAGGAAACTTTTTGAAATAATTATGCTGTATTATCTTTTCTAGCCGAGAGTTTATCAGTGATGCATTATAATCAAACATGCAGCATCCTGTTAAGGGTAGGTTTGAACATTTCCTAATGATTCATCCGATAAACATCAAAGTCATCAAGATCATTAAAGTTATGGAGGTCATTTAAGTAAAAACAAAGATACTGATTGCTATTATTAGAAATTAAATCATATTCATATAGGTCATTTTGGGCGTGACTGAAAGAAAAGTACAAGAATTGTACGTCAAATTGTATGTATAATATAAACAACTGATTTTCTGGTTGACTGCTGGCCCAAAGCTTTTATAGTATCTTAAACCTTTTATTGTATATTTTTATAAGGCATTGATGTGAAAGAAGAAAATAATTTTCCTTGGTTGAGAGAGATCTTACCCAGTTACTTTTATTTTGGCTATTGAGGAGGGAAACCCATAACAGATAATTATAATTTGCCAAAATGTTTATTGATTAAACTGTATTTATTTGAGACCAACAAGAATTAATATTTTAAAATACAAGTCAGTGGTTTTACCTGGGTACATTCTTGTGCCTAAAATAACTCCCTGAGTGGCGTGTTTGTAGCATGTTGGAAGATACAGTCATATGACTGTTAAGAAACAAAAGTAAAGAAAAGAAAAAAAAACATCCAAGTGGGGTGAAATTATTATTTATGTTCCAGATTTTTCAGTGCAACTATGATAGATAAGAAATATTTTCAATAAACATAATATGTGGGATAATATAGCTTTTTATCAGAAGTCTGCAATAAAAATCTAGTAAACATCCTGTTTTAGTATTTACTTGTTAATATATATATCTTTGTTTAAACCTGCAATGTGAAATTGCGTGGGAGTGCCAGTCATTGACATATTGGATAAACTTAAATGGTTAACTTATCAGCTGGTGTATTGTAATTACTACCCTGCACATTTTTGATGCACTGCTTTGTATTTAATCAGTCATGCAATTAGTTGTATAGAGTACTAAAATTAACTATATGGGTTGTTAAGCTGCTCAAGTGCCTCCTGGCCTGGTTTTATGACATATGTCCAAGCATTATGCTTGCAAGATGTTATAAAATATTTATAATATTTCAAAAACAATAATGTGTGTATTTTTTAGTTCATTCAAAAATGGTTCATAAAAATTTTAAGTAATTATATATTTAAACACACCCATCAACTGTCAAATTTAGTATATCTTACATGTTTAAATATGCAAATATCATAAATATATGAAAATTCATTTTGCAACTCTGGTCATAACTAGCAGAAAATGGGCAATTCAACTAAATGTTCCATAGTGGCTTCTCAGGTCCTAAGTTCAGGCTAGTGCTAGTTGTATTAAACACAAGCACATAATCTGTACCAAGAAATAGAAAGCATCATACATTTCGTTATTTTCCTGTATTCTAGTTGATATTTGCATCTGGTCCCAAGCACAGACTAGTGCTAGTAGTATTAAACACAAGCACATAATCTGTACCAAGAAAAAGAAAGCATCATACATTTTATTGTTTTCCTGTATCCTAGTTGATATTTGCTCCTGGTCACAAGCACAGGCTAGTGCTAGTAGTATTAAACACAAGCACATAATCTGTACCAAGAAATAGAAAGCATCATAAATTTCATTGTTTTCCTGTATCCTAGTTGATATTTGCATCTGGTCCCAAGCATAGGCTAGTGCTAGTCAGGTATTAAACACAAGCACATAATCTGTACCAAGAAATAGAAAGCATTATACATTTTATTGTTTTCCTGTATCCTAGTTGATATTAGCCCCTTTTCCCAAGCACAGGCTAGTGCTAGTAGTATTAAACACAAGCACATAATCTGTACCAAGAAATAGAAAGCATCATACATTTCATTGTTTTCCTGTATCCTAGTTGATATTTGCTCCTGGTCCCAAGCACAGACTAGTGCTAGTAGTATTAAACACAAGCACATAATCTGTACCAAGAAATAGAAAGCACCATACATTTTTATTGTTTGCCAGTATCCTAGTTGATATTTGCTCTTGGTCCCAAGCACAGACTAGTGCTAGTAGTAATTAAACACAAGCACATTAGCTGTACCAAGAAATAGAAGGCAGCATACATTT